AGTTATAGGGTACGATAGCCTCCCGCGCTCTCTTCTTCGCTAGATCCTTATCCTTACCTTTGAAGCTATCGACGTATCCCTACGCTAGGATATAAGCCTATCGGATCGAAATCAATCTTTTATTACTAAGGCCTATCTATAATTAGAACTTACTACTTCGGCGGTATACTTAACATCGTTAAGGGATACCTTAGCGACTTTAGCTATCTTAGGAACCTAAAGACGCCTTTCGGACTTTAAATAATAGGAAGCTTTAAGAATTAGAGGACCGAGAGAAAAACGATATATTTAGAAAGAGATACTGTATATATAAAAGAAAAGTTTCGGGGGGTGATGGGAATAATATTAGGTAAATAAAATACGGTAGAGTCGAGCGCTAAGCCTATTAGTATACATAAGTCCGTTGGTTACGTAGATAATTTAACGTCGAGGGACTTTAGATAAATCTTATAGCCTTTATTACTGAAAGCGCATTATAACGATTTGTCTAGAGTAGCGAGAGGAGTTTATCGTCACAAAAGGAAAAGTTTAATATGTCTAGTATAATAATTACTCTTGTTTATAAGATACCTCGTAAAGGAGGATATCGCACGATATTTCCTAACGAGGGGAAGCAATAATACTAAAGATAATATTTAGACTAATTTACTTATATAAATGAAGTTCGGTAGAAAGTAGAGTAGAGAAAGAAGCGAAGGGAAAGAAGAGAATAATAATTGAGGTGGAAGACTATCGAGGAGTCCATTATATTAATATGATAAACTAGGGAGAAGGGGAAGATTATCGAATAGAAAAAGAAGAGAAGGGATATCGAGAAGTCTATCATATTAATATAATGAACTAGGGAGAAGAGGAAGATTATCGAAATATAAAAAGAAAAGGAGGGATATCGAGGGAGGAAGACTATCGAGGAGTCTCTTATATTATAATATAAGATCGACTTTCCTACTAGCCCAGTTTACTAAGGAAGTCTCTAGTATACCCGGTATGCTAAGGAAGTCTCTGGTATACCCGGTATACTAAGGAAGTCTCTGGTATACCCGGTATGCTAAGGAAGTCTCTGGCATACCCGGTATGCTAAGGAAGTCTCTGGCATACCCGGTATACTAAGGAACTCCCTTGTCGTCCGAAATTAATATATTGCGTCGATGTTGAATATCAATCAGACAAGGTTACAAAAGAGTTTAACGGATAGCTAAGCCTTCCTAAAGGCCATTAGAGTCGATAAAAGATCGAAAAACGGGGAGATTTTTCTATTCCCTAAGCCGAGTTATACGGGTAGAATTATAGTATATATAGTATACTATAAGAGTACGTGGGGGGTGATTCAACTTGCTCAGTTCTGGGCCAAAAACGCCAAGACTGGGTTCATTCGAATCTGCTGACCGAGATGAGCATTTTGCGACCATCAGAAAAAAAATAGATGCCAAATCCGCAGACTTTGTCTTTTTGGGTGGACCATATGCTTAGTCAGCACAACTTCCTCGGCAGCCTAGATGACTAATCAAGACGTGCACCAAGACCGATCAAACGGGCCAGGCTCAGCTACATTCAAAATGTTGGTGTTTCATGGTTTATTCAATCCTGGGAATGTACGGTTAACATGGTCGGTCTATCTTCGACCGTGACCACGACTGTGCTGTCATCAGGTTTTATGCAGCGTGCCGGGTGAGGTGCAGAATTCCGAGCATAGGATGAAGACGGAGCAGGAGATCACGGCTGAACAGTACTGGAGATTCAAAGCATACATCGTACTACTGACGGTCTGTTGTGTTCACTTCATTGTTCTCGAGTTGATGCAAGATAACTAGACGATGCGGCAAATTATTGGATATTGCTACGGTCACTATATTCAAGAGTGTGGTGCTGAGTAGAGTGGTGCTGAGTAGAGTGGTGCTGAGTAGAGTGGTGCTGAGTAGAGTGGTGCTTGGCAGGATAATACTGTTGAGTAGGGTGATTCAACGCAGGAGGATGTTTAGCATGGTGGTGTTTAGTAGGATTGTGTTGTAACAGAGTGTTCAGTAGCATGGTGTTGGCAGGGTGGTCAGAGGGTGTTGCTGGGGGTGCAGAGTGGCTGTGTACGGGGTATACCGAGTAGGGTGTGCTGGACTGAGTGGTCTTGAGTAGGCTACTCTGGGTAGGTGGTGCTGGGTACGCCGGTGCCGGGCATGTTGGTGCTGAGGGTTATGCTAGGAGGCTGGTGTTTACAGTAGTGGGTATAGCAGTACTGAGTATAGCGTTGTTGAGTAGGGCAGTGCTAGACAGGATGATATTGTTGACTAGACGGTACTAGGCAGTATAGTATCAAGTATGGTAGTTCTGAGTCGTGCTGTGCTGAAGACAGTGGTACTGAAGGGATGGTGTTGAGTAGACGACAGGCAGTCCTAGGTATAGTGGTCTTGGGTATGTTGGTGCTGAGAAGGGAGATGTTAGGGAGGGTGATACGAGTACGGTAGGTACTGATAAGGTAACGGTGCTGGGTAGAGTGTGCTAAGTAGGGTGACTGTATGTACGGTGGGTGCTGAGCAGGGTAGCGCTGAGCAGAACGAAATGCGATGAGTTAACTAAGTCAGTTCTTTGGATATTTGATTCGCCTCATTTACAATAGGAACAGTATCGTCCCGTGTTGGAGTATCTTGCGGTGTCGAAGTTTGACAGCCGCCTCTCGTTCGGTTACGATGTTTACACTCCGCACCGTCTTCAATATCAACTTCCTATCTATCCTTTGTGATGAGTATTGTGGTGCTACGTAAAGTCGTACTGAGAGACTTGCGTTGAGCGTAGTGTTGAGCAAGGTTGTGCTGCGTAGGGTGGGCTTGTGAAAGGTGGTTATAGGTATGGTAGTTCTGGCAAGGTAGTCCTGTATTCAGTGGTGCCGGTAGGGTACTGCTGAGCACAGTGTGCCGAGTAGGCCGAGTTGAGCATATTTTTGAGTCTGTCAGTGCTAGGCAGTGTGATACTGAGTAGGGTAGCAGTGAGAGGCTGTGCTAGGTATGGTGGTAGTAAGAGGACGGTGCTGGTTTGGATGGTTTTGAGTGGGGGATGCTGGGCAGGACCATGTTAACTGGGCCGTGCTACCATGGTCATGTTAGGCAGGATAGTGATGTTGAGTAGAGTAATGCTGATAAGTACGATAGTACGTAGGATAGTGTTGAAGAGTAGTGCTGAGTAGGGTGTACTGAGTAGGGTGTTGAGCATACGATTCCAATCAGGATAGATAGGGGATGCTGGAACGGTGATACTCAGAGAGTGATACTGAGAGGGTGTGCTGGGCCGGTGATACTGAATTTGATAGTATTGGAAGGTAGTGCTGGAAGAGTAGTGGTGCGACCGTAGTACTAAGAGGAGGGTAGCCAGAGTACAGTGATGCTATATAGCAGTAGGTGGTGTGGTGCTGAGACCGTGATGCTGAGAAGATGGTACTGGTGTTTGGTAGGGTGTTACTGGGATATCAATACTGTGTCCTAGTAGGATAGTGCTAAGCAGGGAGATACTGGGCAGTTTGGACATAAAGACCAAAATATGTCTTGGTCGGTGACTCTACGTGCGGGCGATAACTGAGGCATTCTTTCGAGTAAGTGTGGTGTTGGGTAGATTACTGCAGACGAGGCAGTTATTTCTTATCTCTACTGGTAAAAGCTGAGTCTGGGTGGACAATGGTATATCTGTTCTGGATGGTACTTGACAGGATAAGACTACTCTAGTCCATTTGAATAATACAGTCGAATCTAGGTAACACCATTCCTGCCTTGTTGGCTACCAGTGGGTGCTCGGCCTATGATCCTGGTTGAATGCTCTGTTGGGCTGGAACCGCTTCGAGGAATTCCACGGCAGCACTGATTGAGTGATGGATCACTGACATAACCTAAAGGAACCTGGCAACTTTCAAGCATAATGGTTGAGCAATGAGTAGGAGATCCCAGGTACAGCGCTGGTCACCTCGGTCATGTGGAACGATCCCGGCGGTGAGAGGAGACAAACATTCAGGTTGGTCAAGCAGTCAGCAGCAATCTTTGGCAAGTTCTTTGATCATGGCTAAGATACTGTGCCCATCATTGTCAGCCTTGTTGTATGTCTTGCTTCCACTGTGTCCGCTCCTGCACCAGATAATAGATCCTGGCGATTGTCTGCTTTGACTCTCGATGCACTCCATTTGTTGCTCTTATTCTGGATTGTAATAAACTCCTCCTGTCTTTTGGATGTCACCACCTTCTCCTCGAGAGATATAACGGTTGTTGCTCGATATGGAGATCAGTGATAGATGTCCGGTTCGAGTGCCAAGGGGTGTCAGTTGGAGAGACCATCCCAAAAATAATTCAAGTGGTTCTGTCGAAAATGTTTGAAAGTTGTCGGCCACGGCAGTTTGGTATAGAATCGCTTTCATGGTGCCCACAGTTGGCCGATAACTCTCCTGTATTATGTACCCACTCTTTCTGGCATAAGGATCCAAGTCTTGCACATCAATGCACCAGATCCCAGAGCAGGTTGATATTCGTCTCCATTGAGAAGCTCTGGACTGCTTGCCTTAGTCCTGGTTGTAGAAGTTCACCGGTATGAGAGGTTTGCGTAGGAATGGTTGGAGATAAACGGCCATATTGCTGCAGAGATTGCAGTGTTCATGAATTGAGAATGGAAGGATTGCTTCTGTAGCAATTGAACGTAGTACTGTAAAGCTGAGAAAGCCGGCCGGTTGTACTATGAATCGAAGAGACCGCAACTGGCTGATACAAGGCTTGGCGAGACACCGTAGCAGGTAGCCTTATATTTCATTTCAGTGTCAATCTCAAATTTTTTCTCTCCAGAGCACTGCGACAGCGACAAGTATGTGGCCCTTTTTGCTTTATTCTACTTGAGTGCTTGTCTTGTTGATGTATACTGACTGATCGAGATAGCGTCAACAACAACAGCAGCAACACCAACACCAACACCAACACCAACATCAACATCAACATCAAACTTAAGTCACCCCTACCTTTCAAACCTCCACTAACATACACTAGATGCCTAAACATCCTCGACTTGGTGGCAATGGCAAGCGCCAATGCCCTCGATGCAAGCTGCGCCACTTTCCCGATGAAGAATGTGGGCCGCTTTGCTGGAATTGCGGGTGGTGGCACCATGGAGGGTGCAAGAAACACTGTTGGAACTGTGGAGCCGAGGATCACAAGTTGTGGGATTGCACTCGACGCATCACTCAACTCCCGGCGAAGCAGGTGGTTGAGAATTACGGATTAGAATTGAACACATTCTACCGTTATGATCATACCACGGGTCTTTGGGAGGTCAGTGGTCGTGACCGAATGAGGGATTTCCTCGAGACAAATGACAAGACCCTTCCAACAGGAGAGAAACGTCGGCATTCTCCCAGTGTCGACGAGGAGACCAATGGTGAGACGGTACTGGTCGCCAGACGTCAAACCATTGATGACAATCCGGAGGGCAAACCGGCCAACCCAAGCAGCCCGAGAGAAGACACTGGTCAACTCTCGATCAAAGGAGCTGCCGGCTTCTCGATCAAGGGTGCTGCTACGCGTCAGCAGGTACCCCGTCGCTATGCTCCTTATCCTTCCGGCCGCCCCAACGCTCCTGGTGGTCAACCATCAGGCCGAAGGTATATGCCACCTCAACCGAAACCTCCTCGGAGGTCGGGCGAGACTCATCATGCCTATGCGGCTGCGGTGCGCCAGGATGATAGGGAGCGTATGACGGCACAGGGGCCACCACGTGAGCGTAGGCAAGAAGCACCATACACCCTTGATCAAGAGGACCGTTACAGAAGATAGGACAATTGTGTGCGTGCCATTGGATCCAAGCCACAACCTTGACAATTTTCGCTGTTCTGAGTGCGTGCAGAACTGGCCGTGCGAAGCCGCAAGCAACATATTGGTTTGTCGAGAACAGTTGACAACAGCCTACCACCGCCATATGATGCGAAGCCGCAAGCAACATATTGACTTTGTCAAAACAGTAAAGCAAACCACTTAGATTGCTCGACGCTTACGGAGCGACCAGTGGCACATTCGGAAAGCGAGCGATCTCACACATTATTCTCGACACCAGAAGCCTACCGTTGTCGAAATTATGCTGGCCATGCGAAGCCTCAAGCAACATACTGGTTTTGTTGAGAACAGTAGCTGTCAACTGCCAATATTTCTGTTTGCAGCAATATATCCATGGGCGGGTCGTTGGTGGAGCACAGTCCTGGAATTCATCGATTGGATGACATTCCGTCTGAAGTTGGGTTCTTACGACACCATCGTCTGCCTCGGAGATATCGTCAATACATCTCAGACAAGTCGCGCAATTGACCGACAGCGTGATATCAGAGCAACTCCAAAAAACTTAAAACATCTGCGACACCCATAGGCTTGACATTGGGACTCCTCTCCGACAAGACCATACTCTCGACGAGCTGAGAATCAAAGAACTCTCATGGATTCATGTTTGGAGGATAAAGAAGACAGACACTTTATCGCCGATTTGGACGGCAGAAGCGAACAACTTCATCAATATTGGATAGCTGCACCATGCGCATCGGACAGACTGGAGAAGGGTTCAATGCCACCGTACCAACGAACCTGCTTCGACCAAGCCACGCGTCTCAGTGTCAACGGCTGCAGGTAGAGGTGTTGCTCCGAGCCCGTCTTTGAAGGTATCGATTCATCCTTGAAGAACCCGGAAACAGAATATGTCGACTTGTACCTGGGGCTCTGGGCGTGTTGAAAGTGACGAGCGGAAATATAAATTAGCGATGGAACCCAGAAAAGAAAAGTGGACGTCCGTCAAGCTGGCGAGCAGACCCTCACACCCAGTCTATCGTTTGTGAACTGGATGCCCGGATGGAGCAGCATCACTCCGCCGCTGACGGCAAGCACACTGCTGGGAGTTTTTCTTCGAGCTTGAACAGCAGGTCGGTTCGGGCGAACGAATCTTGCGCATGCAGCAGGCATATCACATCGAGAACGTGAATGGTGACAACAGCGAGGGTGTCCATGGCATGTCTGAACTGCCGACATATGATGATCACTCAGGTAGACTATGGGATCCACCAATACCGCCTCAGCTACTGCGGCCTTCATCTGAGAGGCTCATCACTGTTTGCGAAGCCAAAAGATTGATCCCTACCTTGTGTCATCGGTATAGCAGTACAGCCCGGGGGACCCGACCGAGGATTACGTCTACGACCCTGAATAATCCAAAGGCTGCACACAACGGGTGACACATCCATGTCGAAACCATTCGATCACGAACAATTTCGAACAACAACCCACGGAATTCGACGGCCTAGGGATAGCTTGCCAATCCAGCACCGACGGATATAGCGACGATCCCGCGTTTACTGAGCTAGATTATCGTCTGCCTCGGAGGTCGTCAATGCTATCTCGGGATCGCCGGTACTGTTGGATACTGACGGCATAACCCGAATTCCTTATGTCTGCAGCTGTTGAACTGATGGAAAAGGTTGCAGCGTGAGTTCGATCAGTTGTGATTACGCAATGAGATTTCCCTCGATCTGAGCTCTCCTCGTGCAAAGCTGGGTTGGATCCGTGGTGCCTCCACGAACTTGAATTTTAGGTTTTTTCAAAGGAGGTCGTGCAAGGTCACTATTTCTTGTGTTGGTGTGAGAAGATAGCGCCGTTCAAACAATTCTCACAACGGAAAGGCCTCACCGATATCATCAACAATTATCAGAGTAGGCACGTTGCCATACCGAACCGAATATTGAATAACGAAAGAGACGCAGCTCCTCTTGATACGACCTCGTTATTGACAACCTCTCAAGCTCCCAACGGAGAGCCTTGGCAGTCATCAATCGCTCGTACGATTGACAGCAATGCCAAAGCTGACCCTGCGCCAGTGGCTCGGCCAATACTGGCTTTCGTGCTCTCATCTCGGCAAGTTGCGCCTTTCGAACATTAGACAGTCCTCATCATCGCAGTCGGCTCAAACACAGCTAAATTGGCCTTCAAAGACACCGGCGCCATGGATAAAAGAGACGCTCTCGTTGCACGACTTCTACTTCAGTCTACAAACTATGTAAAACTCCGCTGTACATCTTCTTCGCCGTCGAGTCTTGCGGGATGGATGCGGTCCAATGTATCCCGGAGTTTTGTTGCTTGTTGCGTTGCCTCTTGCAGGTTGCGCTTAAGAATGCCGTACTTCTTGACATCCCTCTAGCGAGGTGCTGGTTTCCCTGCGCAGCCAACGTCGAAGTACGGAAGGTCGGTCTTGATCAAGTCGCCGAGCACGACGTCGAGGCGCTTGCCCTGCGGTGTACCCTGGACAGGTTTGGTGATTTCGGCGGCTCACCGGTTTGACGCATCGGCCTTGCAACGGCAAGCGTGTCATCGACAACCCAATGGCCAAAGCCGCGCGACGAGTCAAGACCCATCTCAGGCCTTCGCCCCGATGTTCAGCTGTCTGTTCGGTCTGGTCGCGAACCTCACCGGAGTCGTCGTCGGCACGTACTCGACCGCAAACACCGTCGCCGGATAATTGCAGATTATGCCTGTACGTGTTCTCGTACTATTGTGGAGATAATCTATACCAACTAGGGCATAGGGCGAGAGCCCAGGGGCATATATCAAAATGGCATGTAGACCGCACGCAGATAGCTTCAAGAACACACATAGCAGAAATCGAGCATGCATGCGAGAACTCGGGAATAGCTATGCGTTCCATTTTGTACGCGATTTACTATGGTGTGAAGAACTGCCTATCCTTGCGTTTGCCGCGCCATTGCGTGGTTTCGATTGTAGATTGTTTATTCCTGTGTACACATGGTGCTTCCTTGATCCCCCCTATAGTATACTACGATGAAATGCACGATGTCGCCCTTTCCGAGTTTTCTCGCGCCCTCTACTCAACGCCCGACCTTTACACGGATATAGGTGGGGTTTATTTCGCTTTTCAAATGCAGTACAAGCCGTAGAAGAGCAGACTTGCACATCCGGGGGTTAACTATATCCCTTCGCTAGGTTTCTCTCCCGTGCTATATATTCCTAGATGAAAAGGACATCCCAATACATTTCGAATTTAGTGCATTAACAATCTCGACTCCCGTGTCAACGTGTATCTTACAGGAAGTTATCCGGACAATAACCCAGTCGTCTTACAGACGAAAGGAAAATGGTACTACGCAACAATAGAGGCCTCTTCTACTCCGACGGTGATCTTTTCAGACCACAACCCCGGTTCAATGATGCCCTTGCGGCCAGTTAATATCGAGAACTCCCTAGATCATCATAACTGGATAAAGGATATCCGCGTCGAAGTAATTCGGCGTCTCGGCTTCGTGGACATCTTTATAAGGTTCCACCCCACGCTGACATCCAGCTGACGCAAGCTCCGAAACGACCGTTAGGACTGCCTTGGACCTGCCGTATTGCCAGCACCATCTTGTTGCGCATGTGTACGCTGGTCATGCATCATACGGCAAATTGTCTCTAACAATATAGACTTCGGCGACGAGAATAGCGCAGCCGACAGCCATTGCCATCGAGATGATTGGCAGATTGACCTTTGCAAATTCTAGAGGCTTGACCTCAATGTACTTGCGTTGCAGAATGTCCCTCCACAGCAAGCCGGCAAGAGAGGCGCTGAAGGCCGCACTGAAAGCACCGAAATTGACGCCAAGTGCCAAGCTATACACGGTAGCCCAAAAAGTCCTATCTGATATCGGGATGCCATTTTGGCGGTGAATCTCCTGCCATGCTTGCACCACACGAGAAAGGAGAATGGCGCTACCAATATTGGTGCCGGCGAACTGGAGTTGTGATGCACGTGAGTTACTGTCTCTCCGAGATTGCTCCGAATTATGCATTTCCAATGGAGTAGTACTTACATTGCACAAGATCACAGAGAGAAAACCCATGCCGCCAATGGCGCCAACAGTGCCTGTTTTGTCCACCCAGTGGTCCCATCCGTAAGCGAAGACTGGAACCCAGCCTTTGGTGACAAGTCCCTGCACGAGGGCGAACATAGACAGCGCGAACGGCACAAGCGGAAATGGCAGGTTTGCGATCACGACCATAACTGTTGGAAATCGCTCCTGCAACCACTTGAATGCTTTTTGTATCAGGTTTTGCAGAGTTGTCGGGCCAGAAATCTGCCGAGACTCGAAATCATTCGAGGAATCATCAGCGGACCTGTCCCTTTTTTCGTCCATCGTGAAGTTGGTTTTGATGCTCGGTTTTTCGACCACTGGTCGTGCACTCGCAGAACGGCTTGCTGAGAAATTCTTATCAACCTTCGATGGTGTCGTTGTTATGCTAGGAGCATCAGAACGTTTTGGTTCACTGTGGTGTCTGGCGACCATCGAAACCGGCGACAGTGGAGGGCTCTCAAATAGCCGCGCTGGTGCATGCTCGGCCATGTCGCAGGCCATATGCACAGGAATTAAAGCGGGTCGCTGTCGTGATTCGGTGACGATTGCATAATCAGTCAATGCCACAATCTCGTCTCTACCACGCCCTCCCCAGACGTGATACTCAGCACCGTTTTCGGAATGACTCGGTGCAAGAGAACCTGGGTCAGATTCGCCCATCTGAGTCGGCTGCATTTGCTCTGGTGCCAGTCTTCCTAATTCTTCTTGTTCGATCCTATCAAGCTCTTCTTGGTAGTTCTGGAAGCCCTGCCGCCAACTATCCCGCTTCAACCATCCGTAGATGACATCCCAGGAGAACATGACGAAGGCTGCTGGCACCGTCACCCAGTAGACGGGATGTTCCCCAGTGCTCTGACTGACGGCATTGAGCACCAAGATGGTGACAAGCGTCACTGACATTATGATCGCCCCGACTGTTGCGCTCGTCCTGTCGAGATAAGGATTCATGATCTCCTCAGCCATCCGAAGCTTCCCACTCTCATTGTTGGCCTTCTTGTCATGTTCTTCCTCTTTCCCACTCTTTCCATGCGTGATGTTCGGATTTGCAGGCTTCAATTTCATAATTGCTGGTGGCAATTCCTTGAGTGCAATTGAGTATGGGATGAAATCCTTCTTGTCCACTTCATCCTTTCCGGAAAAGACGACATAACGTAGAAACGGGAACAGAATGATAGCGGTGATGGCGACAGGGACGATCATGTTTGCCGTATAGTGTACGAACTTGATATTGAAGGCTCCTGCGAGCACGAGATTAGTGGGATTGGAAGAGACAAGGAGCGCCGAGACAACATTCGCCACGGTGAATTGCGTGTGAATCCATGCCCTCGGATTGTATATGTTCTCTGACACTCGAGTCATGTAAGCCAAGAATGCTGTGCCAGATAAGATGATTGGGTCGTTGCCGATAAAACTGCCTAAACTGAGAAAGAAGGCATAGAGGTAGAGAAACAGCGCATGCCCATTCTTGCCGCCCTTTTCGAGCGCTTTTAGAGCCAGCCACCTGATCAAGCCGGAAGCATCGATTGAGATCGCGATGTAGGCCAAGCTCAAGAAGAACGCCATTATGTCGATCGGCGAGATATTATCGGCACCAACCGTACCGTCATATACTTCTTGTCGACCGATGGCGGAAATGGCAAGCAGAAATAGGTTTGCCAGCAGAGGTGCCGTCACGAAGTTCATCGGAAACTGAAGTTGCGTGAAAGGCCCGACTTTTCCATGCTTGCGGGGATGCTGTTGCGGTGATTTTATACGCAGCCTTCTAAGCAGGTGCACCAAACTATTCCAGGGTAGTAAAGGAACATAAACTGGCACCTTGAAGGGAAACAGGACAGTGAGGTCTGTGCAGTCATGAGACGTCAATCTATGATGCATCAAACCATGAAGGAGCGGCTTCCACGTACTGGTGAGGACAAAAGTTATCAATGTCACTATCGACCGCCATTCTTTGATACGATCGGTGTCTAATGCTTCCGCCATATCATCCCCACCGGATTAGACGTCGTCGCACCAATACCGGTTGTCCTGATTAGTAGATCGAATCTGGTAGACAAGCAATTTCAAGTTGAGTGTGGTGAGTGTCGTTCGGGGTGGAGAGAGAGCCACATCATGGCAGAAGGCTGTTTATGGGGACATAAAATAGAAGGGTGGGAATCCACGTAGCCCCGGCCTCTCGTCGCGAGCACACGAGGGGTAAATTGTCGTCCTGTTGTCCGATATCAGGTCATTTCAGTGCCAGTCACCCATCGATCCTCTTCTGTCATTCTCCTCTTGTGCTACCTGGCATTGGAGATGATTTGCTGAAACTCTGACCGGTGTAGGGATAATTCAGCCGTTCTATTTCAGGCTTAGCCAGATGTCCAGCCCCGCAACACAGTGGGACCAGTTGAAACCATGACAAGCTCAAAGCTTTGCGCATCGATCGTCGCTGGAAACACAAAGGCAACCTGGAAGGCGTCTTTTCACTTTGTGCCCAGGATGGACTTCAATTTCTGACGTTGTCTAGCCAATGACATGTCCTTTGCCTTCTGAGACTGGAGTCGATCATCAAGGCTGCCCTTACCATACTCTGCGCCACATACCAGCAGCTCGCTCGTGACAATGTTGAAACCTGGTACGGACACACGACCTCCTTCCCGAAGCGTGACGGGCACACGACCTCTTTCCCGAGACAACAGGGCAAGAGCAGGAACCAAAATCCCTTTCTCACGGTTCGGAAGCTGCTTCATGACTCCATAAACACGTAATTTAGGATGAGCAGTGCCCAACGGCTGCCTGCTATGCCGTCTTTCGTTATATTCCATGCGGCCCAGCTTGTCAAACAATAGGCATTCCCAGCCACCTAGACAGCTATATAGCTAGCGGATCCCCTGGACCCTTAGGCACTCAACAGAGATCTCTTCAACCTTCTTTGATACAGCTGCCTCCTTTCCAAGTGATGTTTCTCTTGAGTTATCGAGATATCACGCCTGTTCTTCCTCCAAGCTTGTAGGTATATGTCTCTGCCGGATCGAAGCCTACCGGCAACGAATATAAGCAGCACTGCTATGAGAGTCGTGTGTGCATGGCCATTGTCGGGCCAGTATGGCCCGGGCACCAGATTCCTGTAAGTCCGTCATTGACTACCTCCCTATCCTCCATCAAGCCTATGCCCACCTAATAACATTCTTGTGACAGGTATTATGCTCTGATCTGTGCATGCTTCTTCGGTAGGGAAGTGGAATGGCTTAGAGCTGCCTGCTTGGCAGCTGCCCTGCTGTTCCCTGCTGTTGCTGCCCTCCATGGTATAGTACTTGCAGCTGTCCATGTGGATGGTATGTGGTCTACTATATTTATGGTCCAGAAACTAAAAGTGGAACACTAGGTGCTGTCGACATGGATATCTACGGCGCCCTCCAGGTCTGCGCCATCGGTATTCTCCTTGCACCCGTAACAGTCATGCTGTCCCGAAGCTATTTCGAGCAACCCGGGAGCAGCATAATCATTCTGTGGACCGCGCTGATACTTGCTGGTGAGTAAACCCATCTGCTCATGCCATGTTGCCACTTATCTAATTCTTATCAAAGGCCAGATAAGCTTGACCATCGAGTTCTTTCGCGCTACGACCACGGTCTGCACCTACGATAACACCGGCAATCCGCTCCCGACCCCTTCTGGTGCGACATGTTCCCTTGTCTGTTCTGTTGAAAAAGGTCCTTATTCTCTCATACGTGGTGGCTCTGCAAACAATATCTATGTGATACCAGCTCCAGACAAGCTTACATTCCACTCCGGAACGCTCCTCTCTGCAGCTTGCTGCATACCAGCCATCCTCCTCCTCATCTGTAACTGGAACAAGATCCGTGAGATCAACCGCTTGAAGGCAAAGCAAAGCAATGCCAGAGGTGACCATGATGTAGAGGCTCAGGCAAGGCCTGAGGTGGATGACACAAACAGGCCAGAAGCTCAAACTGGCTCGGAAGCTGAATATTCGAACGACCAACAGCATTGTGATGGTCATGATGATGAAGCTCCAACGCGCCCTTGCAATTGCAACGGGCTTAAATATGAAAATACCGACAATCGACGGACTCGCAATATTGTGGCTACAACAATATTTGGTGCGGCGATCCTGTCTATCCTCATAATTGGCGAGTGGAATTTCTTCAGCGCTCAAATCCGATACCAGACTGAGCCAATAACAAGTATAGGTAGGCGGACCAATTCCATTCTCATGAAGTGCTAACTGACCTCATTCTTCGTCTAGGTCAATGGGCCCCAGTGGTTGGTACATGGCTCGCACTGCTTGGTTCAGTTTATGTGCGCCTTGCAAAGGATGTTATATTTGAGCAGCTGAAGCAGGACAAGAAAAAGCAGGGAAAAAAGAAAGCTGACACGGAAAAGCAGGAAGAAATGAGTTCCAACACAGAACACGAACACGCTCATGTGGCGACAAACCCTGTTCTCCCAGGTCTCGCTTCGGTTAATAACGCCGTATGTCACCGGTGTGGTGGTGTCTCGCGAGACAGTGTCCAGTCTAGTAAGGGACCATCGCGAAAGGAAAAAGCCTTGCGGATCCTCGCAGATTGGCGGCGTCAAGGAGTTCGAAAGATGATCGCGGTTGTCGACTACATCGGCACCGCTCCGAAAGACACGTTTGAAAATACGGCAGCATTTCTACGCGCAAAGCTTATATGGATTCATTATCCTGGCGAGAGCCTCAAGAATCCTCTTTTGCCTGAGACACAAGATCAATATGGACGCTCAACGAGAGAGTTCTCTAGGACCATTGATCAAACAACTTCGAGGGCCGGCAGCATTCGGTCAAGTTATGACCCAGAAACTACCTCTACTGGATTCATTCAATCGCCGAAATCGCCTTCCTTGCCACGTTTTAGCTCCAACGAGACACGGCTTAAAACTGTCACAACAGTCTCAGACGGCAGCTCTCAAGGAGGACAGAGATCTTCTGAGTCGCCAATACGACGAGGCACATCGAACGCACTTCAGGTGCCGACCCTTCCGTCCCCTGTCCATCGTGCCACCCCAATGGGGAGCTCTCCCCCTTCACCAACCTCGTCGGTCATTTTGGCGGGTGGGGTCAATGTGCCTTCACTCGTTGTTACTCCTGATGGCGATACTTCTTTATTATCTCCACTGATGCGAGGATCTCTTCGAGATTCGCATCCATCGCCACCGGTCACAGAGTCGCATAAGTGGTATTTCCGCCGCCGCAACGGCACCCTGTAATAGTGGCCCTACACCAAGTTCTGTGACCGTTAATCAGAAGATCTCAGATATTGATTGGCAATAAGGACCTGTATATTGGGTGTTTTACCGATAATAGTGCCCTCTGGTCAATCCATGTTTTGCGGTTTACACGAAGGAGAGTGGCCGCTGCATGGCTGCTAGCGCAGGTCTGTTAACGTTGTAGTGGAACTTCCTGCGCTGCCCGTGGCGGGCAGCAAAGTACGTACAGCCCAACGCCAGCTCAGCGTTTGACAAGATAACGTCGTTGAAGAGGAAACTACTCACCTGCTCTATCCGAGTATTCATGTCTGAGAGATTTGCCCCAAATATGCCCCTTGTTTTCGCCTGTAGATCGCCTTGCCAAGGTGACATGCGGTCCGCATTTGTGGCTGAGACTGTTAAGGCATTCAGCTGCCCGCTGAAGTTTCACGGACCAAGTATGAGGCGACTACGCAGAGGCTGTTAGGCGTTCCTGAAATATCAAAAGCTCGCATCAATGCAGATCCGTCCATGACCTCTTCTGGCTGGCTGGACGTTGACTCTCCCAAATATCTTTGACGTAATGAACTCTGAACTGCGTGGTTCTATGCAGGTGCCACGGGCATAAGGAGCTTCGTGCCGAATTGCCGCCACAGCCTCTCGTTCGAGGATATTTTCTCCGCTGGAAATCTCCCTTTTACGAACCAGAAGTGTGGGCTTTTGTGCGTTGCACTTGGGTTGACCCTATTCGTGGTGTTCGAGACGATTTGTACTCGCAGCTGACTGGGTGTGCCCTGGCTTGGTTTAATGAAGGGAGATTATTCAATGCGATAAGGTCTCCCTTTAGGTCGTTGTTAGGCTAATATTCCTATTGTCAAAAGATTTTAATACAACTGGGAGTTTATAGCAAGATCTCATAGACCTAAGCGCTTGCTGACTTGCGATTTATCTACAGTTCTTTGTTTGTATCTTTTTGTACTGCCCCTTCCGTATGCGACAGTTCAAACATTTCCACCTTCGCTAAAGGACCCACGATGTCCTGGACGTTATCGTCCAAGTTTTTACAATCTGAGATCAAGGACACAGAACCAGAGGCTGGCTATCCTACGGTTATGTTGCCCTAAAGCTCACAAAGTTTTGCCCTCTTGAACCAGTAGACCTCCGTATCCCGGAAGGTTCAGCTTCTCCCATTTCAACGTACCCAAGTAACGTTTGCCGTCCTGTAATAGTGTTAGCCAAGGCAACTCCAGGTGAGCTCACTCTTCGAAGAGTCGGTCATCACAGACTTACCGTCATCAACATAGGCTCAACCGGCTGCAAAGTCATATAATCGTGCCCGTTTGATCGCTCCATATGGAATTTCCGTGTTTGGCGACCCCCAATCCAGGCAGGGTTCAGGGCCAGTTCAACCTCGGTATGTATCAGGCCATCCAACCCTTCTAAATTGCTCAGAGACAGCCGCCCGCAATAGCTGGAAAACGTTCGGGCAACTCTGGCGACATCCTCGTCCGAATTGGCCACGAAGTCGGCCTTGGGTAGTTGGATGATGTCCTTCTCCGTCGAAACAAAGGCACCCATATACCCATTTGCCGTCATGATGCCACGTCCTTTGTGATCTTCCCGCCTCGGACCATGAGGCATGATCGGTTCCGCATCTGGATCATCCAGGGACTGCAGCTTGAAGGAGATCAATTCCCAGACGCCAATCATAATATCGGCAACTCTATATAGCGTCAGGAAATTAGGAGGCAATGCAATCTTTCGCCGCTTACCTTGCTTCCGCCATAACGAGAGAAATGTAGATGAGATGTGTAGACAAAAGAGATATAGGCAAAGAGGAGTGATGGAAGAGATGTAAGTTCCCTGCCGTTGCTAGTTTATCCTACCATTTGATTGTGGTGCATCTAGGAGGCTTTTTCTTGAGATTTCACACTCCTTGTTAGAAGCTTGACCAAACTATTTCCTCATATTCCAATCATGGGGTATGGGGTACCACTTAATAGTTCATGATCCTAACGGCAAGTGGGGTGTGCGGGGTTCTGCGAAGACCGCTATAAGTTTGAGGTGAAAAGCCCTCAAACTTCACACATGATTTAGGAGGGCAATTTTCGGGAATAACAAGACCGCGGAATAACAAAGCCAGCACCAGAAGCAATGGGTAATTTAGTGACTCAGAGCGACGAACTAGGAGATAACGATGTGAAAACGACCATCAACTACCTCCTTCCTGAATCAACTGTTGTTCGGAGGTACGTCTGCGCCGGTAATGCCTTGAGTACAGGCCAATATAGTCCGTATGATGTGAATATAAGAGACGTGCGGCCGACGAAAGAAGAGTATACCTTGGAAACCAAGGGGTTTGAACTCGCGACGTGCCCGACAAAAGTAAGTCCTTCCCACCTCCAACATTACTAGTGTGCAAGGCCGATGATAACACAACCGCAGTGCGAAGACTTTAGTGATATGGCAATTATTGAACGAGACTATTTTCCAGAACTAGAAGCGTATATCAGGAAAAGGACAGGGGCGGATATTGTCTTCTGCCACATGCCCAGACTGCGACAATCAAAGAAAGATCCAGACCGCCGCGATGTTCAGCCTGTTGCAGGTGATGTTCATGTCGATGTCACCGAAGAGACTGCTCGGAACCTCGCTGAAAGATGGTTGTACGAGCAGGGCATGGCAGATTACAAATACAGCCGGATACTGTTCATGAGTACCTGGCGTGTTCTGAGCGACCCTCCTCAGGATTTTCCTCTGGCGCTTCTTGATCCCGACACTCTGTCAGACGAGGATGGCGTGTTATCCTGGCTGATTGCATGTCCAGAGCTGCCGAGTGCACCATATCCTCCACTACCGCCCCCAGATACTACGATGGAAGACAGGCTCGTGGATCCACGACAGATCGCCAAGGAGCACAAACTCATCGGTGCTGGATACGCATTCCACTACAAACCAGACTATCGTTGGGCCTACTATGCCAATATGACCCGAGATGAACTACTGTCATTCAAGTTGGCTGATACCGATCACTCTTCGGCATGGCGAGTCCCTCACACTGCCTTTTTGGATGATCGCCCAGGAACGGTTCCGCGCAGCAGTCTGGAAGTTCGGACTTATTGTATCTTCAAATGAAGCGTTGCGGTCAAACGCCATCTTACGAATATCAAATGACACTGTCCGACGAGGCTCTCCTCTTCAGATTCGTTGTAATCCCCCTACCTCTTTGTCCTTCCTCTCTTATTGCCTCTTCTTCCTTCTCTCAGCAACAGTCGTTCCATATGAAACCTGTTCCGGGAGACTTCTGCCTGCCTTGCGATCGCGAAACGAATAGCACTGCATTCAGTTCTTCTATGTATCGTCTTAAGCAACTAGACTACTTCACCCTGGCCAAGTCGAGAACATCACTTCTAGCGGTGGCGCAAACATGTCGTGTTAAACAGCCATTCTTTGCTGTTGTCAGAAGACAGCCCTTTCTTGACAACTTGGCAACCTCGGCATCCGCGATGACCTCGATGCCACGCGACGGCGACGCCGAGGGCCTCGACGCTCTCCTTTTGCTAGTTTATGCCCTATTTTCACGTTGTAACACGCTTGCAACTGAGACATTCCATGCCTTCAATTCCACGCAGTCTGGACCACGAAATCTCTGTACAGGGGTAATCTTCACTCCGCGCCACATGGATTCGCCGTTAACTACGCGTTAGCCCTCTCTTATAGCGCATTCATATAGCAACCTTGCCTACCCGTGGGCTTGAGAGGACAGACTTCTCAATCAATTCAATTCTGACGATGTTGTTGCGTTGGCGCAGTTATCCGTTTAGCATTGTCATTTAATCCCATGCAATCCGCATGACAGGGACGTGCATTAGTGACTGCAGGCAGCCTGACCTGTGGTCTTGCTACACCTTCGCTGGTCTCCTGAATCATTCGCGACGGTTGCTTTTAGATCGGTGGTAATGTAACAGATGAGTTGAGCGTAAACACGAAACGTAGTTGATTCTCCTAGGCTTGATGCTGCTTCTGGATTCTTGGCCCTGAAGTACTGACTGCGAAGCGTTGCTACTGTAAAAGCAGATAGGTACGTCCGGCGCGACTGACCATGCAATTTCTTCCCAGAGAAAGATTGCACGGATAGACCATATTGGTAGAAGCAACACAGCATTCTGCTCAGGATCCGGCAGTGTTTAGTAAGGGTTGTTCTCAACTGCGGCTTTGTGCGGCGGCCATAATTGTTTGTCAGAGCAAGAACACTGGCCTTCTCGATGGAATTCCCTCATAGCAACTAGCAGCAAGCCCCTACTGATATTTCCGTATCGTTCAGTGAGTGCAGATGTTTGCCGCTCGCACTCTAACATTCGTGAATTGGTGTCGCGAAAAGGAAAGCGCGGAACGGGCTTAGGTCTGAGCATAGAACGTTTGTACGGCCGATTGCATCAAGCCCAACGATTGCCAGTCGAGTTTGACGATGCAATTACCCTTGAGTCCGACAATCTGACCTAGGATGAAAAGCAGATCTCAGATACCTTCGAGTATGATCCGGCATTTGACCTCGAGCACAGGCGGGACCGGAGCTTTCTAGACTGAAGAACCACGAGCAATACATCCATGTCGTCTGCGGGAAACAATTTCTGCTGTTGGACGCTGCCTGACCGCAAACGCCCTTGAGTATCCAATAATTGCACTCATAGAGTATCTCCAGCATGTTACACTCTCAGAGAGATTGAAGGAACTTCACAACATGGCTTCGTCCCTGGGCTTTGGTCATGACTTCAGTGTGTAAGGCCCCGGCGATAGTCTTGCGATCGACCTGAAGGCATTGCTGGGCGCAGACCTCTTCCAGTGCCTCGGCTTGCCCAGGAGGTACTATCTCGTCATTGCCAGCTTCCAGGACCAATACCTTCAGATTCGGCTTGCTCTCGCCAATGCTGGTGAGCGAGCTCTTGCTGTCCCAAGTGGAGCGTAAGAATGGTGCCAGGTACCGGTAAGGTAGGAACTTTTGTGGATACAGAGCCACAAGCACTGCTTTCAGATCGACAAAAGGGGTTTCGAGAATAAGTCCACGGAGCTGCAGTAGGTTGCCCTTACTATGTCTCAATAAATTCGCCAAACTCACCGTTGCAACTCCAGCACCGATCGACTGCCCCCAAACGACAGTCTTAGTGCGGCCTTGGTCATATCTCTTTCGAACCCATTCGAGCGCCGCTTCAGCATCGAGCTCAATTCCCGTCTGTGAAGGGCTGCCCTTTGAGGTCCAGTAGCCACGGTAAGATAATGCGACAATGGTGTACATTTTACTATCATCCTCGCGAGCTAGTCCTTTCAACACATTGGAGAGGTATGGAAGGCGAGGAGGCAGAGAAGAGGCATTGCTGAGAACGCGTTAGAAAGAAGAACAAGACTTGATAAGGTCACATACCCTTGGAAGTACACGATAACAATATCCTCGGTAACTTTGAGCTTCTTAGGCAGATCAACTGTCCCTTCCACAACTTTTATCGCTGTTCCGTCGGCTGCTCTCAATGAATGGTCCGTCCAGATGACGGGTTTGCATTGGGCAGCATAATCGCTGATTTTCTCGGATCTGGAGAATGGCGGAACGGAAGGCATATAAATGATCTTGTTCTGGAAAACGACCATCATCAAGCATTTATACGCCCAAAGTGTCACCAAAAGTCCGCCAAACACTGTAGGAGGCATAAGTATGACCGGAAGCGATTCCAAGCCGAAATGATAGTGATTGGTTAAGGAGAACGATCGGGTCTGCACAGGCTCAGTCCATCTTTTCGGCCATGATGGGGCATTGTGATTGCGTGTTGCACGTGAGGGAATTAGTCGTCGCCACATATGAGGATGTTGCTTCGATACATGTGCGGTTCAGATTTTCTTGAAAAGGCGCTCTATCTTCGCCGACGAGATAAATCGAGGACGACGAGGTTCGACATGGATAGTTGGCCTGATCTGCATCGGCGCTAAACCTGATGCAGTATAGGTGTTTACGGCACGTGCCTTAGCTATATTTTCGCCCGGGCCACTTCCACATCTTTTATTGGAGTCGTGATCGAGCCCGGCGCCACGACGTTCAGTCTGATACCCTTTGGACCGAGTTCTAAGGCCATCGCTTTCGAAAATTCAATTACACCGAACTTAGCAGCGTTGTAGATTGCATAGCCGGCGTCGGCACGGAGCCCTGCGACAGACGAAACGTTCACAATGACTGGCCCGGCCGATAGAACTGGAAGACATGCTCGAGTCATGAAATACGTTCCTTGCAGGCTTGTATTGACAATCTTGTTCCAGTAATCATCCGTGGTCTTCTCGAGAGGGAAATACATGGGGTTCACTCCAGCGCAATTAAACAGGAAGTTGACTTTTCCGAAGTGATCGACAATCGAAGTGAGGGGGCGATCGCAGTGGGAGCTCGAGGTGACATCAAGGGAACAGATCTGATGAACGTCATGTTTCAATTCGTCTTTGAGATTCTTTAAAGCTTCGATATTGATATCACACGGAGCGGGTCGTGCTTGCTGGCTGTCAAGTGTCTTTGCCGTGGCGCGCCTAGATGGGATCCCGGTCAGGGAGAGCTCGCAAAGAGAGATCTTTTAGGGGAGAAAGACCCGATAGCGCTTGCTGCTCCAGTGATAACGACGACTTGCCGCTAAATTCGCCCAGCCATAGCTAAATAGGGTAGAATTTTGAGTGGTGTGGAAGTAAATGATTGTCCACTTACTTTCTCCTGTTGGAACGTCGGTGTCTACGTCAGTGGCTTTCATACCAGAAGCTGTCACAGCGAACCCTGTCCGAGGTCGTAAGAAGCATCTAACCGTGCGTCGATTGATTGGCCCAAGGTGCGGGTTCAACCTCCCGTGCTACCGCTTGTTCCGCCCAGTCCATTTCTTAGTCCACTCCAATCACTCGCCGTGGGAATGTCATCGAGAGGGCGAATTTCGTCCTGCATCCTGCACATCAAGACTAGCACGGCCTAGCCAGCAGCACGTGCTTTCAGCGATGTACAGAACTCGCTTACTGTACAAAAATGTCCACAATGATCTTTCTGTAGCTCCAGGGCTTTGGGATGCACGTGCTCCTCCGCATAATAAGCATTGGTAGTCCCTTGCGGATACTCATCAAGCTATTGCTTGTCTCACTTGGCTGAAGAAACCTAAAAATGCGGCTCAATACCTTCCTATATTGTCGATCGGCTACTGCTTCATAAAGTCGTAGAACAATCTTTGACCCTCGTCTTCAGTTCTCTTTTTCACTGCACTCACAGTTGCACGACGACCAAGCCAGACGGGGAAAATGGTACGCTTCATATATGCCAGCCTGTTGGCGGTTGCCTTCTCTCAGCTCTCCCACGCTGCCACCAACAATACGATTAACTCGCAGCTTCGTCTCGCTTATGCAGGTAACACTGGGATGTATGTCAGCTGGAACACCTTTGAGAAATTGGATAATCCAACGGTTCATTACGGCCTGGTCCCCAATGACCTGAATATGACGGCATCGTCCAAGGTTTCTGTCACCTATCCGACTTCCTTGACGTACAACAACCATGTGAAAATCACGGGCCTGAAGCCAGATACGCTCTACTATTACCTTCCAGAACATCTGCTCCACATGCAATCACACTGTCCATACAATTTTACCACTAGTCGACCAGCTGGACAGCCAGAAGCATTTTCCGTTGCTGTGGTTGTTGACTTGGGCACCATGGGAGCCCAGGGTCTGACAACCTATGCTGGCACCGGCGTCTCTGTCAACAACACCCTCTCTCCAGGTGAAATTAACACTATCCAATCCCTGGAAAAGTCCAAGAGCGGATTTGATTTCGTCTGGCATCGTACGTTTGTCTCCATCACTGATCGGATGAAATCACTAACATTTGGCCCCTAGCCGGTGACATTGCCTACGCAGACTATTGGCTGAAAGAAGAGATTCAGGGCTTTTTAAGCAACACTACCACCGCTGAAGGATTCCACGTGTATGAGTCGATTCTCAACGACTTCTACGACGAAATGACCCCAATTACTGCCTTTAAACCATACATGGTCGGCCCGGGTAATCACGAAGCCAATTGCGACAATGGCGGTACCACCGACAAAGCTAAGAACATAACGTACGACGTGAGCATCTGCATCCCTGGCCAGACCAACTTTACAGGCTATCGCAACCACTTTCGTATGCCGAGCGCCGAATCTGGTGGCACGGGCAATTTCTGGTACTCGTTCAACCACGGCATGACCCACTTCGTCCAGGTTGACACCGAGACGGACCTAGGCCATGGCTTCACAGCTCCCGATGAACCTGGCGGGGTCGAGGGTGAAGACAGTGGGCCCTTCAACACCACGTTGGATGCCCAGACCAAATGGCTCGAGGCCGATCTTGCCGGAGTTAACCGCACCGAAACCCCCTGGGTGATTGTCGCCGGCCATCGTCCTTGGTACTTGAGTCATGCCAATGCGAGCGGCACCATCTGCTGGACATGCAAAGATGTCTTTGAGCCTTTGTATATCAAATACGGCGTCGATCTAGTTCTCTCCGGCCATGCACACGTCTATGAGAGACAGAATCCACTGGCCAATGGAATCATCGACCCGGCTGGCCTGAACAACCCTAAATCCCCGTGGTACATCACCAACGGTGCTGCAGGGCACTACGATGGACTCGATGCCCTCCAATATCCGTTACAAGATTACTCTCGATTTGGCCTAGACACACTCAACAAAACCTATGGATGGAGTCGACTTACATTTCACAACTACACGCATTTGACGCACGAGTTTGTCGCGAGCAAATCTGGCGAGGTGCTAGATGAGGCTACCCTGTACGGAGAAGTGCACCAAATGTAGTTGCCGCGCTAAAGTTGAATGACGAGGACGTCAAAAGACCATGTATTTTCTTTTCCGTCGCTCCGGACAACTGTCCCCGGAGATATCGGAGCTCGTAGCTTTACCCTTAATACTCGCCTAGTCCTTATCTCTAAGCTACCTAAAGTAAATTATCTTTAGTTAAGACTTTAGTTAAAGTATGACTATTCTCGAAGATATCGAAGCTTATTACTTTATCTCTAATACTCGCTTAATCTTTTCCTTAAGCTACCTAAAGTAAATTATCTTTAGTTAAAACTTTAGTTAAAACTTTAGTTAAGGCCGCCTAGAACAAGAGAAAATTAGCTGTCAGGTTGTGATCCTTCGTCATTCAACTTTAGCGCGGCAACTACATTTGGTGCACGTCTCCGTACAAGGCCAGGAAATAATACCAGTCTCGAACCATCATGGCTCGCCCACGATTGGTCTTGCATTCGCATTATTAGTTCTTCGGGATCAAAGGTTGCAAATTCGATCAGCATGAGCAGGCGCCCTGTGAAAAGTATTGCGCAGTAAGAAAGGAGGATGTTCTTGTGGTACCCTAGATCGAGATTGACAGGTTCATTGTGATGGTCGTGCACAATCAAAAGCGAGAATATTGTAAAGATTTCCGCTCCGGGTTACAAGTGAGCATGGTCCGCAAGACTACCTCCACGGGTTGGTGTCATGCCAACCCATTAGACACTCATTCCACATTATCCGCGGAAGCCGTAAACTCTGTTCTTCTTTGCTCAGCGACCGCGTATGGACCTTGTTTCCGTTGATATTGTGCAAGCGTGTAGTCACGGGAATCGATCGATATGCTACTGCGGGATAGTATTGTGTAATATCGTATTCGTCTAGGTCGTCGTATTTGTTGAATGTAACCCAGACCAACAAAATAGAAACCTTTTAGCATACCTTTTTGGATCATCTGACGCCGAAGTCTGAACATCACAATATAATTCCGTCATCTCATTCCGTCATCTCATTCCATCATATCATTCTATCAAAGCTTCCTACATCTCTTCACCACGACCTATAGACGTGCAGACTCGTGCGTAAAGCCTTTGAGCTGCGTGTACATCTTCGCTGCCTCTGCCTCAGGTAGGCTGTCGATAAGGTATCGAATTTTCTTGCTTGTTGCTTCAAGAATCGCTATTGTTTGGTTGGTTTGGGCGATTCTCTGCTCGGGATCATCCGGAACATTGCGCTTGAATATATCCAGTCGGGAAGACCCAAGCCAGGAAGCTGTTTGTGGGTGCTTGAGCCAGGCTATAGTGTTCAAATTGGTCTGGAGCATGACGAGAGGAAAATCGATGGGCTCGTCAGGCAGTGGAACCGGGTTACAAAGCTCGTTCTTAAGCTTTTCGTCTTCGTAGGTTGCCTCGACGTGAGCAATCATTGCTGCGCTGAATGCCTGCTGGCAGTATCGGACGGGCTGAAGCGTGATGTTGTGGTTTCGAAAGATTCTCACAGGAGCGACTTTAGGAATCGATCCAGCCGAGCAGTCAATGTAGAGTGTGTCAGGGATGGGTTTGTAGCTACCATGCTCTAATGTCACTTCTTCCCTCGTGACACTAGTAACATGGCCTTTCCGGACAACAGATTTGATCTGCTTGAGTGCTTCAAACTCAAGACGTGATACCGTGGCGCAATGAAACATAGTAGGAATAACCTTTTCGTCGAATTGAAGCAAGAATTCTTTGGTCACTTGGTGTCTTAAAAGATCTTCCACCGACGAGGCGACCATAACTGACTCAATCATACCTCTAGTAGAAGCTTGAACATGCGCAGCAAACTGAGGTCCAGGCTGAAATGTAGAACGGTCGAAGACATATGAGTCACGCGGTCTGATCCACGTTATTTGGGAGGCGTTGATGCCATTCTCGAGGAGCCATAGGCAAGTGTCCATGCTTGTCTTTCCGCCTCCAACAACAGTATAGCCTTCGTATCCACGGGAGACTCCAGCGAGACCATTGGGCGTTACAATATCGACCTGGCTAGCGATGTCGTAGGGAGGGGGTCGCATTGATGGAACAACAGTTCGGCTGTAGGTCGCGTCCACAATGCACGTGGCGTTGGCAACGCGGTACGTTTTCCCTGTCAGGATGGAGCGGAACTTGCCCTCGCTGATGTAATCGCACTTAGGGAAGTATTGCACACGTCCTGACGCTAAGAATTTGTTCTTCATGACCCTCTCAAAGTAGGCACACACGTCATCGCGTGATGAGCAGTCGACGAGGCCTTTATTCCAGCCGAACTTCTCGATGCCATCGTGTTCGAGACGCGTGGAATTCACTCCGTACGAAGCAGCCGGTTGATGTAGGCGGACGAACGGATAGGCAGTCGTCCAGTGGCCGCCAGGACGGGCATAACGGTCGATGATGACGATTGTTTTCCTACTCTCGGTGAGAAGGGTGTCAACGAAAGCCATCCCCATGGCCCCGGCGCCAACGACAAGGTAATCAACATCTGTGATCTCATCCATCTCCCGTGGTGTAGGAGTCATCAGTAGAGATGACGATGACACAATTGTCAAGAGAAAAGAAGATAATACATATACTCGTAACATAAGCTAAAGGGGGCCTGATCGGATCAGCTTGAGTGGCCTGGTGAGCCTGACTAAGCGCCTAGATTCTAGCAGCTTTTTGCGTATACGTATTCGTACTTACACCCAAGGAATACGAAGTGGAGCTCATAATCCTAGCGAGATACTCCGTAAGTCACTCTTTATTTGCTACTAGCTGTTCTACAGTATGCGTTATTGTGTCCTGTATTCCATGCACTGCCGAGATCACTATCACCGGACAGCTTTTTCGCCGTCAAGAAGCTTGTCAATCTCTTGCGGGTCTTGTTGCTGATCTCGATCTAGAAGATGATGAACAAGACTCCTAGGATTCAGGGCAGCGGCAAAGGACGAATTGCACAAGTTTGTGGTTAAACAACCTCAAGGCCGGCATCTTGAACTGGATATAAGACTTTGTGAGCAAATTAACACTCGTCAATGCGGCTTTCACAGCATCAGCATCAATCCAGATGGGGCGGTGGGCTAACGAATATCACAATTGAGCTTCCATTTGGCTCTACTACGATGCATCGACAGATAAGATGCTATCCATCCACAATTCATGCTCTCTATTGTAGGCCGCGTACCTTCTTCTCGGCTTCCAAGTATCCCATGCCACGGTTCGACACGTCTCTGCTGTGACCAGCTGCTTAAGCTTGTTAAGATCCTGATAAGGGTACAACGCACAATAGCAAATCACTTAGGTCACGAACTACACTGATGAAGACTTTTACTAAGCATAAGATCTGAAGAATTTCCAGCTGGATATTGTCAATTTTGATTTCTTTTCAGCTACATAGTTGAGCTGGAGTCGAGCACTGATTGTCTTGGATGACGTTGCCTGTACCAGTCGTGTTGACAAATATGTCGAAATCGTTGTTCCGCAAAACATTCTCAACGACGATATTACCTGACGCAGGTGTACCTGTCCCCGGATCATCGATTATAATCACCGCCACCGCCGTTGCATTGTTTACTCCATTTGCGGTGAGACCCTCAATGATATTCTGCTTCACGAGTGTATCTGAAGCGCCAGCCATGATCACGCCCAAGACACCCAGATCAGGAATAGAGGGACAGATTGGGTTCGGGCTGCTGATATGGTTATTACTGATCTGCGCACCGAGAATGCCCGGGTCAACATAGGCACCGATACAGCTATTGCTGACCTCGTTCCCGTGGACGAAGGCACCGTTGGTTTGAACGCAGAGGCCGATCGCGTAATTGTTGATATCATTGTTCGTCACATGCACGTCAGACATATCATCCATGCATATACCAATGAACAATAAATCACCTGTTGCGGCGACCTTGTTGGCATCGATGAGAGTGTTCTTTGAGCCGACGGTAAGACATCCGTACTGTGCGCCATCATACAGCGTGTTCTTGGTAACTTTGCAATTTTCTCCTCCGAGCACAGCGATGTCTAGGCCGGAGAAACCTTGAACTTCAAAACCAGTGACAAGTACGTCGTGCACGGCGCGACCCACGGAGAGCACCTTTCTGTGCTCTTGCACGTAGTCTGCCAACTCAATATCTTGTCCCTCGATGCAGATGCCGGCTTCGGTGCCTGGACCTGCAAGGCCGGAACATGTATTTTGTACAGGTACACTGGGAGGAACGATGATGGCGCCTTTTCCAACAAGCTTGATTCCGTCGGTTTTAATGGTAACTTGCTCCGCGTATGTGCCAGCTTCGACGATGACAACCTGTCCTGGGTGAGCACAATCGACTGCGGCTTGGATGGGTTGTCCAGGTGCAACGTGCAAAGAGCTGTCCGGTCTTGCAAGAACGGCCAGTATATTAGGTACAAGGAGTGCTAGCCGGAGTCGGCTGGCCCAACGCGAGGCAAGTCCTGGCATTTGGAAGATTCTGTGCCGAGTTGTCTCAGCAATAACTGGAAGCTGACTTAATGACAGATAAACTGCTTTGATTTTCAACGACACTGTGCTGGAGGATGCGGAAAGAGGAGGATGTGGACAAGGACACCAACTTTAGTAGATGCAACGGATCCTTAGCGGAGAGTTGCCATAACATTGTGAAGTAGGCCGTTCACATTGACTCATTGGTTACGGCTGGTTTGAGCTTCCTCGATTTGCCAGGACCTGTGATCCGGCGATTTGGAAAAGAGCCGAACCTTGATGCTCGTTGAGCTACAATCAAGAACCGAGAAATTCGTGAATGTGGAGAAAAGCATGTTCGGAGGTTCGTTCAGCTACAATCAACAAACGGGACGCTCGTAATGTGGCGTAAACTCGTGTTTGCTGTGAAGTCTTTCGCATTCATTCGATGTTGGTCTCATATCGATGCCCACATGAAATCGATTCTTCGCTCGTAAGATGGGAAATAGTAGAAAGTATGTAGAGATTGAATCAAGTTTACCCGGCTTTCCAGCCGGGTGTACAGCCGGGTGTACATGACCTTTGCGCATCGCCATGTACCGTAGATGATCTAGGAAGACAACCAAGAGAGGCCTTGAATCTAGACCTCCAAATGCATTAGGAATATAGGCTTGGCAGCGCAGCCGAGACCTAGATACGAGCGAGATCCAAGAAACTGACGGAGAACACGAGCCAGTCGCCGGATTTGTTCTTCACCGAGGACTGTTTGAGAGGGCAACTTGTGTCATGTGGCTACTGGAAGCTGTGGCTCGCTTGGGGCAAATGCTTCATATCAGTTGAAAGAAAGAAGAGGAGCAGAAGGGAAATTTGGTTCTTTTGATCCCGCTTAGACTGAGTGCCCGCATTAGGTAGGTGCAAAACTTGGTTTGTGCTGTGCAGCGCAGCTTGCAGCACGACCTACGATGACAGCAATTAAAAGGCAACTCCTCCGAACACGCTTGGCCGCGGCGTTCGACAGCCCGTGTTCCTTCGTAATAATCTCTTGGCTGGTGTTGCCGAAACGCCCCAAGGCATCCCTGCCCACAGATCCCCATGAAACTAGGCTGACCATGCGATTCCCGAGCCTCTTTCCGTAGAGCTCCAGACCCAGGACCGGTAGCACATGAGAATGCTCATGAGAGCCGACACTTCCGTTATGTTTGGCCCGCTCAGGGAGGTCCCAGTAAGACGCAAAGCTCTTTTGCAATAGGAAGCGAACCATCCAACCAAGCGACGCTAACACAAGGCATGCTTGCAAGCGCGACAGGCTAGAGTTACTGCTAACAGTCACCCTGATCAGCTCCTTTGCCCGGAGACCAGGTAAGCGACCGGTGCTCCATCCGGCAAGTCGTGAGAAATCCAGCATCTCCGACGTACCGTAGCTCGCCCTGTTTATCAGAGAGGAGTTGGGTCTCATCCGCCTCGACCGCTTTACTGCCAACGTCGCTCTGAGTTGTGGAAGCTTCTGGTGCGTCCGTGTTGCTGGGAGGCTCTCCATTCGTGTCATGGCCACATAATGGGTAAGCAACGTGCGAATCTCTTCCTCTAGCGGCGCCTTGCTTCGGAGCAGCTCTTCTGCCTGCAAAGCGTATTTTCTACCTACTAACATCAGGCTTCGACTATGCCCTGGTGAATGAGAGTAACACTTACTTTCTGATTGATTGGCAGATACGCTCCGTTCTAGTCTCAAGACTCCGTTAGGTTGCTCTACTGGACTCTCTGACACGCCCCGAGACTTCTTGAGGAAACAGCAATTGTTCTCCGTCTTTCGCTTGCAGCACTCATCGCAAGGCACAGACTCGCTATACTTCGTTTCTCGCCACCGACAAGCATTACATGCTTTCATCGACCGTCGACGGGCTTCGACGGGAACACGACGTCGGACTCTTCTTGCCTCATCCTTCAAGATTCTGTCGAACCGGTTTCATGTCTTCGACGCTAGGAGGAGACCTCAGATGGAATCTACTCACGCCAATGCGGAGGGACGAAGGTCATAAGTTTCTGCAGCCGGTAAGGTATGCTCCGTGTGCATGATGGCGCCAAGGTTGGTGTTGCGGAGTCCATGCGTGGGACTTACCAGCTCGACTTAGGCATGGCGAGCCTGGGGCTGGCGGTGGGGCCAGAAGCTTCGTGAGGCTTGTTTGAAGGTCTCTCGGGCTCGAGGCCCCATCATGCCCGTATTCGATTCCTGACCCAACAATGCCTTTCATTACCCTGTTCACTCTTGCAACACCTTGGCCAGGGGAGACAATATTCCTACGTATAATTTTGACACTTGGCGTCATTGCACTAACAAACAGCAAGCTCACAAGCTGGGTTGCTCTGCACCTTTCCAGGTCTTGAGTCCCATTGGCCTACGCAGCTCTGTTTGCAATCGCTCACCATCCGCTTTAGAAAATTATCCACATCGAACATCGTTTCCTTACATTGGCATATAGGATAATCTCTCATGTTCATTGGATATAATAGAAGCGATCAACCCACGGTTCTTAGTGTTCGCGATCAAACAGTCAGGACCTGCTTGAATTGGTAACTGTTAAAGTTGTAAGTGTTATGCGTAGAAAGCTCCTTTTAAAGGTGCACCTTGGGGCGCCGGCAGTGAGCTCATGGCAGGGAAAAATGGTCGAACACCTTAGCGAGAATGGGAGAGCTCAGTTTGGGTGGTACGAACAGGCCAGAGAACAACTCACCAATATGCGGGATGACGATCTGTGAGTCACCGTACGAATATCTATGGCTGTTGTAATGTGGCTGAAAGCGGCAGCGTGGGTCAAGTTTCAACAGCATGGACAGCACGAGCAATGGCATTACTGTTCATGCGAACGTGCTCACAGCCACAAGATATATCAGAGATCGATACTGAAAGTAGCCCTGATCTAGATCAAAATTTTGTTCTGGCCTTTCCTTATTCGAACTTGCTCAAGCAGATAGCATCCACGTAGGAGAGACTAATACGTACGCTGGAAAGTCACAGGCCCGTTACAAGGCTGATAAAAGGCGCGGAGAGGTCACCTTTTCTATTTTCTTTTGCTCGTTCATCATATCACACGTTCGGCAAACAAACCAATTTCTACCTTCAAATGGGTCTCCTAACCAAAGTCTCGCTAGGTGCTACGGCCGCCTTCTCGATCGCCCGTGTGCAAGCAGCGCCAGCCTCCAATGCGTTGTATAAACATGTCTTGGTTTTCAGCGTCGATGGCATGCACTCGAGCGACGTTGAGAAATATGTAGCGGTCCGACCAGAATCAAACATATCCAAGCTATTATCAACCGGCTACGAATATTCCAATGCCTTCACCTCCGCAGTACGTATGAGTCTGCTTGACTTGGGACAAAACAACTGACCCTTTGTGCAGCCATCTGATTCATTTCCGGGCTCCATTGCGCAGTATACAGGTGGCAGTCCAAGGACTACTGGTATTTGGTACGACGATGTTTGGGACTGGACATATTATCCCGCTGGCAGCAACTGCACGGGTGTTCCGGGCGCCGAAGTCCAGTACGCCGAGAATGTTGATTACAACTCGACATTACTGTGGTCTGGTGGCATTGACCCGGGCAATCTGCCAATGACTTTCGTCAACGGCAAATGTGAGTCAATCTACCCGCACATGAGACTTCAGGTCAATACCGTCTTCGAGGTCATCACAGCTGCTGGCCTGCAGACTGCATACGTGGACAAACATCCGGCATACGAGATCATGAATGGACCCAGTGGGAAAGGACTATCGGCTGGTTACTTCCCTGAGATTCAAGCCGTGCCAAACAATGTCAATGCCACAATCGCATATGATGAACTACACGTGCAAGCTTGGCTCAGCTTCATCGACGGCACAACACCAGCCAACTCAACAGGACATCTAGCTCCGTCTTCGATGCCCGCATTGATCGGAGGTAATTTTCAAGCAGTATCGGTTGCCCAGAAAACCGTCGGATATATGAATGATTCTTCATTCAGCCCAGCACTACTTCACGCTTTCGATTACGTTGACGGAGCGTTTGGCCGAATTGTGACAAAGCTTGATCAGAAAGGGCAACTGAATGAATCTTTGATCATTATCGCAAGCAAACATGGTCAAGCTCCGATCAATCCTCAGCTATGGAATGAGGTCGATCCAGATGCATTGGTAAATGCGACCGGCGTGCCAACAGCCTTTCTCACGGTGCGTTCTGAATAACAGCCTTGAGTGCGAAACTGACAATGTGCAGGCGGATGATATTGGTCTTCTCTGGTTGAACGACACCGCTGACATTCCCACCGCCGTTGAAAATCTCCACAAGAATGCTTCGAACCTGAAGATCCAAACCACGCTTTCCGGGACACAGCTCGTTGCACAAGGCTTCGGCAACCCAATGGCGTCCTCACGCGTGCCGCATATTATCGTGCAACCCGAATTAGGGACCTGTTACACCACTTCGCAATCCAAATTAGCAGAGCATGGTGGATTGAGCGACGATGATCGAAAGGTAGCTTGCTTCATTAGCAATCCCAAGCTCCAGAAGAAGGTGTTTAATGGCAGGGTCAATACCACGCAAGTGGCGCCAACTATCCTGAAGGCTCTAGGGCTTGATCCTAAAGCTCTTGAAGCAGTGTTGCAGGAAAACACCCAAGTTCTGTATGGCTTTCAATGATACGAACATGCAATCACTCAGCTGTGGTACATCTCGGGTTGCACATTAGTTGGATACTAGAGATCTGCTATCTGGAAATTTCCCTAATAATGAGGTTCTTCGATTTTCATTAGGTCCTTCGACCTTCGTTAGGCTTTTTATAGTTTAAATCGTCTTGACGTGCAAATATTTAATTATGCAACAGCTACCCAATACTACTAACAATAAAACAAATGATACTAACAACACACAGGAAACAGAATTGGTGCCTTGTGAAAGACGTCATGTTGAAGAGCGTACTTTCTACGTCGCTCGAGTACCAGTCACCTTGGTTGATGACGTTCAGAAGATTAGTACATGTATGCATGAAAGCGTCGTTCGTTCTACTCCATTTACCTCAACCAATAGTTTTACATTTGTTAAGGCGGATGTATATTCATTCTGCTTAAATGATCGTATGCAAAGGGGAAAAGGAAACTTATTGAGGTTGGAGGCATCTTCATTGTGCCTCCTATACGCGTCACTAATTACCTAGTATTCCTAATCTAAGCGCTCGGATCCATCAACAGCTTCCTACCACTAACTTTGCCATCCTCCATCAGGTCCAGGGCTGCCTGTGCCTGACTCAATCCGCCTTCAACCCACTGTGGCCTTGTGGGCACGATCACTCCCTGCAGTCCCTTCGGCACGAGTTCAGTGTAGAACCATGCTCTGAAGTCTCGGTTCTCCGGTTTATCAAGTGACAAGCTGTAAGGTGCAAACTTGCACTGCACATCATCCGGCAAAGGCTTCTCCGGATAGATCAGAGAGTAATACGTTCCACCACCCAGCGAATGTAAGTACTCTGCCAGCACGCCGGTAACTGGTGGAAGGCCGATGGCGTCGAAGATGGTTTCATAAGGACCATGAGATCGAATATCGGTCAACAACTCTTTGCTAGGTTGCGAGTGGTCGATGATGATTGACGGACCTAGAGACTGCACGAAGTCTTTGTTCTTGGGTGATGATGTGGTAATGACTTCATATCCGGCTGCAGTGGCATAGCTCGTAGCAATTCCACCCGCAGAGCTAGAACCGCCGTATATAAGGATCTTCTTGCCGTTCGCCTCCGCCTTGCGTGTAACAGGCGGACGGTCAAGACCCATAAAGATTGAGAAGGCAGAGGCGACAGCAGCAAGGTTGAGAATCGTTGTTGCACCGGTTTCGAGGCTGACTCCCTCTGGGAATTTGGTAGTCGAAGTCTGCGATGCGAGAGCGTACTGCTGGTAGGCTCCAAAGCGAGGATCAGCAGCCTTCGGCCCGTCGCGAATGGTCGCAATCCTGTCGCCTGGCTTGAAATCGGTCACGTCGGGCCCAACGTCCTCGACGATACCAGCAAAGGACATACCGAGGATGTTGGGATACGGGATTGGAATGAGAGCGGACCTGAATTATTAGCTGTGCCCCCTTGCTGGAGATGAGTGAGCTCACTTTTGTATTTTCGCCTCGAGTGGAGAGAAAGCAATGATCTTGATCTTGACCAGCAATTCGCCTGGCCCAGGAGTTGGAATTGGAGCTTCGTCAACCACGAGGCTGGCATGTTGCTCTTTGATCCATGCTGCTTGTTGGCTCATTTTGTGCGTTGGTATGGTGTCACGTTTCTGTGTCAATGGTGCTGACTTTGTTTTGTCTCTGAAGATTCTGGTCACTTGAGATTGAGAGGGGTTTCTTATAGGAATTTGCATATACCCTTGGGAATAGTTTCAGGCCCAACTGGCGAACGCTGGGCGGAGGGGTATCAGTAACTAGAGTCTTCTACTTTGGGGATGGTCAACACTGCAGACCAATTGAAAGAGAGTGCCAAGGACGCTATGGACTGGAGTAAAGTAGCTAAAAGCCGCGGTCGATATGTCAGATAAACGATCTTCGGTCAAAGTACAGGCCGAGTTTGGCGCATGCTTACAGAGCACTCGCGCACTTTTAGATACGGCTTACATAGCGGCTCCTAGCTAGAATACAGTTTACATTGAACTCGCATACTGGGTGAAATAGCTGACATTGCATCGCATGCTGGATGACATAGCTTAAGGCACCCAGTAAAGGTACCCAGGTACGATCTTGTCTAAATTGCCGAACCTTAGCCATCGAGGCCGCCTCGTGGGACGGAGGTGTCCGTCTGGCCCGCCCTTCTGCGTGTCATTACATCCCTTGGCACATTTGCAGCCACATCGATCACGTGAGAGGGCCGCAGTCTCCAGAATATGTATCCGGAAAGCAAGTCTCGGGACCATCACGTGTTTGAATGCTTGGCATCAACAATGACATCAGAGTGACGGCATAATTTTCCGGGTCCAGACACACGCGTTCAACGGTCTTTCGTCGCCAAAACACCTCCTGATACTCGCCTAGAATGTTTTCTGATGCAGAATGACTTCATTCGAATAGCTGTAGAATTAATTTTACCTTTGCCACCAGAATCCCTGTCCTTGTATCGCAGGTCCAGTACGGGAAACTTCCAGCATGACCCTACAATATCGACTTGACCAATTCGATGATTCCTCGATAGGCCACGTCAAGCATGGACTCTCGACCTCGGGTGGCGCACGCATGTGACCGATGCCGTCGAATGCGGACAAAGTGCTCCGGAGGAGTCAGATGTATCAAATGCGAGGTTGATGGGGCGGAATGCACGTACAGCGACCGGAAGAGGGAAAGGGCGAAGAAGTACGAGCAAAGTCTGTTCAACGATGGAAGATGCAAGACTGAAACTCGACCAGAGAACTTATCGAGAGCAAAAGCAGTGTCGCCGAATTACAGGCAAAGAACGAAAAACTCGCCAATCTACTGGCTGATCTTGTTGCCTCCACCGAAGGCGATTCCGAGGCGCGATCACTGGCATTGCAATATTTGGAGGTACCGTGGTACAATCCGTCGTGCCTAGATCACTACCATTGACTCTTCCCACAGGACCAAGAGTACGAAGACACTCCTCACAATGTCTCATCAGGGCCGGGGTCTTCACGGTTTCCTCATGATCCAGCACAGGGAACTCCTCCGACCGGCGGAAGAGACACAGAGCCAGACCGTGAAATGCACATCGAACTTCCGGGACAAGGCGAACATTCGGGCTGGCGATCACCTTCGGACTTCAATCTGGTCGGTCCGTCACGTCTTTCGCATCTCTCCCAGATGATCCTGACCGACAATGAACCTTCACCCACTGAAAAGTACCCACCAGCGGCGTGGACGAAGGCGACAAACGACGACAACCTTGTACAACACTTGATATCGCTTTACTTTTCCTGGGAATATCCTGTCTTTGCAAGCTTATCTAGAGAGCATTTCCTCCTTGATTTCCACACGGGCAACGAAAGATTCTGTTCTTCCTTGCTCGTGAATGCGATGCTTGCTTTGGGCGCCAGATTCAGTGACCTGGTGGAGGTGCGTAAAGACAAAGACAACCGGGGTACAGCAGGAGACCAATTCTACGAGGAAGCACAGCGCTTGTTGGGGTTTGAGGACATTCCATCGTTGAACAAGGTTCAAGCACTGGGCTTGATGTCGCTGAGGCAAGCCAGCTGCGGTCATGATGTGAGTGGTTGGCACCTTTCACGATATGCCATGAGGACTGCGCTTGACTTGGATTTACACCTGGCCGACTCGCAGGACAGGCGTGCAGACCGACTGCTATACTCCAACCCGGAGCGTCAAGTCAGCGCCGCCACATTTTGGGGGTCTTACACTCTGGAACAGTAGGCGTGGTACCTGAATTTGCTTCCTACGTACTAACTCAGCTAGGGCATGGTGTCTTTGCATCGGTCGGTCGTCACAGGTTACTCTGGAAGAGACACTGGTTCGTAAGCCAGTCAAAATCGACGAAATCGAACACGAACCGTGGCAGCCATACACGGATCAAGGCATCCACGGTGATCGCTCCCTCCACCAGCCCAGTAACCTTAGGTCGGTGTACAAGGCTTTTGCCGAACTTTCGGAGATTGTGCACAAGACCAATCTGTGCCTGCAATCGGAGGACACGCGAGACATCACAGCGCGAGTACGAGCGCTGTACACCGAGTACCTTCAATTCTACGGCTCACTTCCGGATGCGCTGCGGCTGGGTGGCAACTCAACACCTCCAGTCCTATTCGCTCAGTAAGTCGTCCCTCGGTCACACTCTTTGTTCTTCGTACTGACAGCTCCCAGCATATACTATCATTTTGCCGTTTTGCTCCTCTTCAGACCCTTCTACAATACCGGGATCCTCGACACCGTCGCTTTCACGCGGCTGGTATGCGCAGAGGCAACCGAGAACATTCTGTCCCTAGTAAAGGCGTACCAGAATATCTACTCCCTCCGCCGCACACCAGCATTCTTCCCGTACCTCGTCATGACGGCAGAACTCGCTCGAATGGCAGACCACAAAACAGGACCGAACAACCATCGCATCTACCATACACCGAGTATCAAGTATCTTGCCGAGCTTGCATCGGCGCATCCCTTTGCTACAAGAGCCATGGTGATCTGCAAGTTTTTCCGGGAAGGTTGGGAAATCGAGCTTGCGCCAGAGGATGATTGCGAAGTTCCCCGGGGTGTCCCCCAGGATATTGACTTGCCTCACAAGCTAACATTCTTCCGACCGGACGCGGACTTGGAGCGGCACCACAGGGGGACGTCTAGCTTAGAACCACTGCGCTCGGGTTCTACAGCCAAACTGCGCTTTGTACCATTCCCTCAACAGGGTTCGCATCTGGGTAACATGACATTATCAACCTAGACTTGCTGAGACCACAGTCTAGACTTCGATATATGTCTCTACATTTGACAAAACACCAACTAAATCTATTCTCGTATTCGGTCGTAAATCCTGAAATGAATAAAGCTCGCCTGACCCTAGAATTTCTATTATGATACGACGTTTTGAGCTCGAAAATAATAACTCGTGTGCATGAAATCCTCAAAACGTGAACTGCATCAACCCAGGGTTCAAGACTAGCGGTAGAAGAAAGTGAAACGCAACAACCAATGACAACGGCCAAATGGCCGTGAAGTCTTTGATCTGCCAGTCATGAGGAACCATTTGCCCAAGAGGACCGACTCCGGCAAGGACAATCATACCCGTAGTCATAATGACGCAGAAGATGAAGGTGAACTTGAAACGCCGGAGGATGGTTGGCACTTCGTCGAAGAAAGATGTCCGAGTTGCTTCCTTGGCTGTTGCGCCCCATGACATGTTGATCGATAGCATGTGAGATGCAATTGCTTGTGAGACGTGAAGGGAGATGCCACCCAGGAAGATCGTCAGCAGTGGGAGCCACGTTAGGTTCTCAATGAAGGCACCAATGAGAGAGCGGCCAGCAACGCGCTGAGGAAATCGTTAGCCATGGCGATTTGGGCGGGAATGGGATCAACTCACATAGCGTAGGACCGCCAACGATACAGTACCAAGAGCTTGGAAAACAACCACGATGGAGAAGTAGATCTTGAACGAGTCAACATAATAGTGGTCAAGATAGCCATTGAACCAGCCGATGAGAAAGTAGTTCATGACCGTAAGAACCCTGCGAGGGGAATCATTAGCTCGGATAGCAGCATTCATGGATGCATTCGGAACCTACCATGCTGATGCGATGGCGTAGTACGTGCCGATGTAGGACATGATCGTGAGTTTTGCCATCAATGACATATTTGAGAACCTTGAGACGGTCTGGATCAGTACAAAGTCTTGCTGAATGCTTCACATTATGGCTGCAATGTTTTCGTCGGATACTCGGTGGAAAGGTTGAACTCACATAAACTTGCGAAACAAGGGAGTGACAGGCCCTCGCGTTGGCCAGTATCGCAGCGGTTGGAAGATGAGTTCCGAACAGCCTACAGCGGATAATCAGTTTAGCCCTCGACACTGTGGAGGTTTGGGCCGCTTACCGTAGGCATATTTCTCCCACCGTGCCAACTCGTCGTATACTGTCAAGGACACACCTTCTTGGAAGCCCTCGGAACCGAAATATGTACTGAATCGCAGATCGTAGCCTTTGGATTGCAACCTCAGCGCCATGTCGAAGTCTTCTGACACCGTCGTCTCAGCCCAGTATTTCTCTACACCGTCCTCCTCATAGGCAATATCTTGCAGAGCAGACCATCGTAGAATAGCATTATGACCAACGAACGGGGCAATGTCGCCGTTTGCGACTGCGAATTGGATGGCAGTGTAGACCAGGTTGGTGAAGAAGGTAATGCCCTTCTCAAAAAAGCTTGAAGTAACGTTCATCACACCAGAGCTGAATTGGATGATCGCCACTTGTGGAGATGCTTCCATTTCGCTGACCATGTCGAGAAAGCAGTCGGCAGGCACTCGAGTATCTGAATCGATGATCAAGATGTAGTCGCCCATACGCACATCACCCTGAGCCCAGGTTCTACCTTGATCCTCTTTCAAGATCTGGTCAAGCATTTCTTGATAGACTTGGTCTTCATCTTGCTGTGTCCATCCGTCATGACGTGGAACTCCGGCGAGCTTGTCCTCAACCCGGGCAGAAACATTCATTGCGTAGTTCATATTGGAAGCCTTCTTGAATTTTCCAGGTCTGACGAAGGCTTTTTCTCCGCTCTCTGGCTTCGGGCTGGGATTATGCTTGGGCCGAGCGACCCAGCCAATGTTGTGCTCCTCGTAGTAGTCTTGACGCTCTTTGGCCTCGTTGTCCTTGAGGAGCTGCATGCCATCGTCGTTGACAAAGATGTTGACGGTACCCCCTTGCATCTCGTATGTCGAGATTGCTTCGCGGATGGAGACCATGGTAGGATCGATGACACTCCAGAGCCTATAATCATTGATCAGCAATTCGATTCCGTCTCTGGCACTGGATGATATTACCCTTCTTTGTAGACGGGACATTGCACAGTAACATGAGGAAGGGATTCGGTCTCGAGTCTCTTTGAACGCAGTCCGGAGAAAGTTCGAGAATTTGAATCCATCTGGTTAACAGGGCCAAACATTTGTGATATGCCGTTAACAAGGGTTTGGAAGAAGAACCATCCAAGCCATATTTGAGGCAGAATGACCACGGCCAGAACAAGTCGAAGGTAGGTGTGATCTGTCTTGACCTCGATCGCGACCTTCCGCCATCCGAGCCCGATGGTGAGAACGACCAGGATACCGACGAAGCTCATGAGAATTGGTTGATACAATAGCGTCTTCCTTGGCTTGTCATCATATCGGCGGCCTTCTTCCTCGTCGCTTGCATCCACCTTCTCAGTGATGTTGATCGAAGGTGCCTTGCTCTGTGCTGCGCTTTTGAGAACAATAGTCTCGTCTTTCCAGAGCAGAGAGACAAGATGCTGCTCGATTTGCTCTGCTCTGCTGATGATCTGCTCGGGATCATCGTGCCAAACGATCAAAAGGCCTGGATCTCGTATGAAAGCGGCGAAATGGTGCTTTTTGCAGCTTGACAGGAAGGTGAGGTTTGGCAGCACCTGAATACGCAACCCGTCGACATACGGAACATAAGGCAGTTGTGAGGTCTGTAAGAATGACTGAATGACGTCCGTCTTAACGGTCATGGCAACCTGTTGTACTCAGCATGAGAAACCGTTGGCTTGTGGTCGTCTTACCTTAACATTCAGGCGATTGACTTGCTCGAACAGGCCATTTCGAGCAAAGAGGAGCTCAGATGGCTGGCAGACGAAGTCGTGCTTGCCTCTCTTCAGAACCACGCCCTCTTCAATGTCGCTGTTGGACCAGAGCTTTTCCATCTGGCGTTGACGAAGGAATTTGACCATGATGTCGCATTTGAAGGCTCCAGCAGAGCCGAGTGGTGCCATTGAATCGGTTTCGGATATGAAAGACAACTGTGACGGCGACCTTGGAAAGTGAGGGGGCTCCAAGTCGAAGTCCATATGGTTGTTGAAGTGTGCCGCGTTGGGCATTCGTGGCAGCTGACCCATCTCCATGGCAGGCAGCTAGGCGGAATAGTCACGACACTCTTTCAAGTACTGATGTTTCCGCAAATGGGAGATGAGGCAAGCACTTGGTTCAAGCTGTAACTGATCAAACCGAAAGACAATAAATGAGAGACTGGAAAAGCGAGTGTAGTGTGAACGAGCGGCGGAAGTTGGAATTCGCCAAATGAGTGTGGTCGGAAAGAATGGACAAAAGGCAGCACTAAACGAAGGTGAGTGTCTTGCGAAGATGCATAGACGTGAAAAGCGAACGAGCAAGAGAAGGTAAACAGAAATTGCAACCTCTGGTCGAAACAGTCTGTAGCGATGGAAGACGGCCTACCTCCTTATCGATGAGTATCAGTTCTCTGACCACATCGTCTCAGCCCTCAATTCTCCAGCAGTGGACCAGGCTTGTCAAACTGCAGCGCCCATTCCACCCCCGTTCCCTTCTCGGTGATGAGGTGGCCGGAGGAGAAGACGTGGGAAATTAATATTCGCTTGAATGCGTCATCTTACCACTGAACTCACCGTCGAGGATCACCGATAATCAAAGCACACCGTGAGTCTGTGGAGCCTCAGGCACCGGCTATGCAGATATGGAACCCGCTGCACGGCTATACGAGGTTTATTGGGAGATGTGATCAAGCATACTCGGTACCTGTATCTCTGACTCGCCAGCCGCATTAATACTTGGTACTTGGCGTGCCCTTTTGGGGAAGGGAGACGCAGGCGAGGGCTCGATTTGGTGCGCATGTTTTGCGAGACTCTTGGTAATTGGTGGGAAAGGCGGCTGAAGTTGGATCCGATATCCAACAGATGCGAGTAGAACCAGGGTGAGTGGGCATGAAACAGGTTTTCACGAGGCGGGATGGTTGTACCTGCATCTGTTCGCGTTTGACCCTTCCCACCTGGCTTTTTGGTTTCGATGCTGAGTTGAACACAAGGAGATATCCGAGAATACACCCAGCGAATTTGATATGATTCCACCATACAAGCAGTGCGTTGGTGACACTGTAACGGCACCATAGCCGAATGGACGTGATGGAACAGCAATGAGGTTGAAAACAAGGTGTGGCCCTTGTTTCCTTGGCGGAAAATCAAGCTGATCGTTGCTCTTTGTCTGGCAACGTCTGGCTGTCTTTTCCCTTCGCTACCACGGGTGGCTGTTGCCGATCACACCGTATTCGTCATTCTGTCGGGCCCAATTGCCATCGTAGCGAACATGGGAAAAACCCGCAGGAGTTCGCGATGGCAGCTTCATTGGTGCGCGTTGCCCTTGTTTCACCAATCGACTCTGGACCGTGACCAGAATGTACCCCCTGGTTGAAGCCACAGAGGCAAACAACATCACCATCTGGGTTGTCTCCTTCCAGGTCACCTCGCTTGGGATCTGAGCTGAAGCCATTGGGCTTGGCTAGCCTTGTGCTGTCCAATCACTGCACACTATAATGGTTTCTAAATTTGCCTCCTGGGTTCCTCCATCCTCGGGATTCCCTTGTCGTTCCATATCAGTACCCATGTCTCAATAAAAATGTGCAACATGGGTCATAACAGGCTTTTTGCCAGAAGCCCGCCCATACTCCGCGCTGTCACACTTGCATGTGCTCAGCCAACAGACTTGGATCTCAGTTCTCGCGCCGTGATGAAGATCAGGTGAATCGCCGCATAAGTCGAGCCATGTCACAATGCAAAAGATCCTACCGTCCAGCTTGAAGCATTGGGCTGAAACGGTCTGATGGTGATATGCAAGAAGTACTCTGATACTGCGCAAAAGAACCAACAGCCGCTGTGTATGACACGTGGATGATCGGCTGTCACAATTTTCTAAGCTTATCCGGGTACCTGATAAGGTCCCACTGCTGTTAGACGCTTTGATGCAGGTATCATGCAGGTACGGCCCAGTTTTGATTGCTTGGTAGAGTGCCGCTGTCCTGGAACATCCACCTCATGGACACGATCCTGGCAACCATGCTCTCCCTTGCGGAAGGTGTCTTTCACGTAGACAGGGATCAGCCTCCATGGACTCCATCCTCAAACAACAAGGCTCCTCCGAAGACTGTAGGCGTCATGGAAAGGGGCCATATCGAGTCGGGGGAAATTGCGATCCCTAATGCAGGAACATGCAACAGCTGCCTCACAGTTCGCAATATCGAAGCGGCGCGCTGAGGTGTTGTCTCCCTGGGAGATTGCGGACTTCAGCTCGCATGAGGCTGTAGCGGGTTGACGAGAGTCTTGCCAGGTCTCGCTCCCATCGTCTGTGGATCCAGCTGAAGCACCAAAAGAGTCTGCTCGAAGGGTGACTCGCAGCAGGAGAGCGCCGACCATTTTCGTCTTTTCCTCACAGCCGCTTGTCTATTGGAACATCTTGAACATCCATCTACGGCCCATTCCAGCAAAGAGTCTTTTGCCATCTACCGTGCTTATCCAAATGGCGTACTCGATGCGGGAGAAAGACCCTAGAGACTTTCAACCCTCACCAGCATCAGCTCAAGCAAGATTCGATCCCACGTTGAATGCTTCCTCGGCCTCGCTTGCCCAACAGCACTTCCCAGCCAAGTATTTCCGGTCACGGCGGAAACCCCAAGGTGAAATCGAAAAGCCATGGCTAGAGAAAAAGGACCCTCGACAGAAATGGTTGACTCTTTTCCCTTTGATCGGGCTCATCATCGGCTTCATTCTGTCAGGATATCTTGTGTATGACGGCCTTGCTTCTGTGGAAACACCGGAGTACTGCTCGGTCTATGAAGATGATTTCGCTGGCGGGTTCGATGAAAAGATTTGGACAAAAGAAGTCGAAGTCGGTGGTTTTGGCAACGGTCAATTTGACCAGACGACCAACACAGACGAAAACGTCTTTGTCAAGGACGGCATACTCACCATCAAACCTACTTTGCAAGACCAACACTTGATCGAAACCAACAATGTCATCAATTTGACCGCCAGTGGACTGTGCACAAGTGATGAATGGAACAGTTGTGTCGTCAGCACCAACACTACCAATGGCACCATTGTGAACCCTGCAAAAAGTGCCCGAATCAACACCAAGAAGGGCGCTACAATTCAATATGGCCGAGTCGAAGTCGTTGCGAAAATGCCCCGGGGTGACTGGCTTTGGCCAGCGATATGGATGTTGCCTGCGAACAACACCTATGGCCCCTGGCCGATGAGCGGAGAGGTATGTCTGGCATTACCAAATGGTGCAAGAGGGCTCACACATCCAGATTGACATCGCTGAATCGCGAGGCAACAACTGGTCGTATCCGATGGGAGGCGATAACATCGTCAGCTCCACGCTTCATTGGGGACCCGACATCGCCAACGATGGCTGGTGGAGGACAAATTCCCGGCAGCACGCTTTGCATACCACTTATACTGAGGGCTTCCGTACGGCTTATTGCCACCATTTCCCGTTTCCAATGCTGACAAGGTCTGCAGATACGTACGGCCTCGAATGGACGCCCGATTACCTTTATACGTACATCGACACTCGTTTGATGCAAGTGTTGTACACCAAATTCAAGAAACCGTTCTGGCAGCGTGGCGACTTTCCGCTATCGGACACCAATGGCACTGCCTTCGTTGATCCTTGGTCACAAACGGGAGTCGATGCGACACCGTTTGACGAGCCGTTCTTCTTGATATTGAATGTGGCAGTCGGAGGCACCAACGGGTGGTTTCAAGATGGTAAGGGAGGCAAGCCATGGGTCAATCAATCGCCCACGGCAAGGAAAGATTGTAAGTTGTCCTTTCAAGTGGTTCGCCAATCAACGCTGACAACTTGTCTAGTCTGGGACGCCAAAGACCGTTAGTTGCTCCATCTCTCTCGTCCTGATCACAATATTGACATCCATTCCAGAGTGGTATCCAACGTGGCAAGATAACAACGAAATGCAAATCAAGAGCGTCAAGATGTGGCAGAGGAAAGGATTTGGTTCCTGCAAATGATAAAATCTTCCAACAAGGAAAGGTTTTGTGTTTTTGTATGGCGTTGGAGGATATACACAGGGCGGGTTTACATATAAGAAATATTGCCAGGGCCAAACATCAGTGTTTGGGACGTTTTCGCACAAGTGACGGCTGGAGAGTCAGCCATTTGATTTGACGAGTGACGGTTGACAGTTGTATTCGAAAATATTCTGTTCAGATATTGACAATGTATGGGGACATCGTACCCACCCGCAGTGTCGCGGTTGGCGATGACCAGGTGCTTGCAAGAAGCCCGCTGAGAAGAGCATGTCAAGTTTGAATTTCTCGGGCGATTTCAGGATGATAGAAGCTTTGGCTCTTCGGCCGTGTGAACATTGTTACGCACGATGCCGAGAAGTCTGGAGGAATCATCTTCCGCCATCGAACAAGAGAGTGCTCGAATCCAAGATCCCCCTCTTCAATGATGACGACTTTGCCCGTGTGTGACTTGACCCTACGCTCTTCATCAACCATATGTTCCGATGTTCGAATCACAATCGACCGGCATTAGTGAGGGACGGCTGGTAGAGGAATTGTATGAAGGATCTGGGTTTTCGCTGACGATAATGGCCGAAAAGGATGCGAAGATGCAATATCCCAAAATATGGCAGTTGTTGACGGCATACAAGGACTCGTCTCTGGAACAGATTAGCGGCAACAGGTTGTCGATGCAGGTCTTGGTCAGCGAAACGTATGATAGCCAGGACTCTGGTCAGTACTTCTTCTCAGCGCAGCGATTTGGCTCATCAAAGTCGTGAACATGAATGAGGGCAGCAAGATGGTGCGCAGTCTGTTGGAGGTTGACATTGGACGACAAGCTTCGCGTCAGATCGTACGCTATTTATGCCGAGCCAGGAACACAAATGATTGGCTGTAGCGGTTGGTTACAGATACCTGGTATGATCAATATCAACAATCACGCAAGTTTCCAGAGGCCCCAATGTTCAGGAAGTACATGAGTTGGTGACCGAGACTGATACTTTCTTTAGCTTGCTCGATATTGGCCACTCTTCGGCCCTGCTGTGGTGTTGGTCAAGACTGTATGAGACCGTCGACCCACGGGCGCTTCCGGCCGCGGCTTGGTGATAAGCACCATCCATCACACATCTCGTTGAACGACAGCACGTCTTTATCAAAGTGTCGTCGCATAGCAGCTTCCACTTCCATCGTTCACAGCTTACCCTCGACTTACCTTGCCCTCAACCATGCCTTCAGTATCTGTACCAAACGGCAATGCGGCCGCTTCTGAGGAAACCATCGACCTGCCTCTGTTCGACATTTCCAACGAGACGCCCGAGTTGGGCAAAGCCGTTGTAGAGGCCGCCGCCAAATGGGGGTTTCTATGGATCGCTGGCTCTCCAGCGCCAGAGAATGGCACATATCAAAATGGCAACGGGACGGTCGCCAGGACGTACGACCTTGATGAGGCAACTGTCGACCACGTCTTTGACATTTCCCGGCGGTTCTTCAAAGAAGCCTCTACGGAAGAGAAACAAGCATGTGCAATCAAACACAATCGAGGATACGTTGGGATGCATGTCGAAAACCTCGATCCCAGCAAGCATTCACGCGGTGATTTCAAGCAGGCGTTCAATCTCTCTGGTCCAGATCCCATAACCGACGAATGGCGCCAACCACTGCCAGCCACATTTCAAAAAGAAGATGCTACATTTCGTGACTTTCATGCCAGATGCCGGAATATAGCAACGCGCATTCTTCGACTCCTTGCAATGGGCCTGGCTATCCCTGATGTCGACTGGATAGCTCGTACCCACGACAACTCTCCAAACACTTCTCGATTCCTATACTATCCTACACTACCTTCCGATACTGACTACGACGCTGAAGCCGACATTCGAGCGGGTGCACATTCTGACTACGGGAGCATCACCCTTCTCTTCACTCGGCCTGAGCAGCCTGGCCTGGAGATATTGAAACCGAACGGAGACTGGGCGGGTGTACCTATCTTCCCGCCAAACTACCATTCCAAGTCATTTCCCCCGATTGTCGTAAACATTGGAGACTTGCTGAGCTATTGGACCAATGGCTTACTGAGATCAACAATTCATCGTGTCATCTTGACAACACCCTCTGGTGAACAGACCTCTTCAAACAGCCATACCGATACCGGTATCGGGTCCGACCGCTTTTCAATTGCCATATTTGTGCAGCCTCATGAGGACACCAAACTGACCCCCATGCCTTCGCCGCTGGTCGCGGATAGGGCAGCAAGCTTCCAGAAAGAGGTCATCGGACATGGAGGCGGTGTTCTCAATGCCGAGGGAATGAAAACACTCACGTCAGGCGACTATCTGAGCGCCAGATTGCAGGCGACGTACGGAAATGTTTTCGAGAGGGAGAAAAAGTAGGCCTCCCGGTTGCGGGCTCTGCAGATGGACCGATAAGAGGTGTTGTGCCATTACTTTGACGTTCGTAAACTTCATGTTGATATGATTCATGGAACTATACCTGGGAGATTTGGAAGTGGATTCCGGGCAATGTTTGGTTCGCTCATCTCCGTCTCATCGGCGCAAAGACGTTGCAGCATCGCCTGAGCTTCGTCGCGACTCGAAGCTTTAGGAAAGAAGCGAACCACAAATCCAAGCACTTGTTGCACGCTCTCCATCACATCCACCTTGTGCTCTTCTCTCATGTTACCGATGGTCAGCAAGATTGATGCTCGTTCTACCACGAAGTCGACCATGGCAGGATTGGCAGAATAGCTGAAACCTGCAACATCATGCTCAGGAAGCAATGCCATCGCAATGTGGAAAAGTAGGATGAGCCCGGTCAAGGACGCTGATGGCGTGGACTCTTGATCCCATTTGCGGACACTGTCAAGCCAGTGGCTCAGTGACACTTCTATATCCTCAAGGGTGTTTTTCTGCGCCGGACTCTGCGTCAAAGAAGCAATACTTTCGATGATGGCGCAGATCTCGATCCGTGCTTCCGCCATCGACGTGAAACAGGGACCATCGAAGGGCAAAGTTAGATGGTCGCGGTATTCGGGTTCGACTTGTTTGGTAGCTTGGCCTTTGCGCAAAACAATGGCGGTAAGCCCTTCTGCGAGCATACAACCTGGTCGTAGAGCCTCTTGTACAATTCTCGTACCGTCGCGCCACTGCAGCGAATCGTAATTTTGCAACAGTTGGACCGATGCTTTCAGATGGACCAGTGCCGCATCAAAATTGTTTTGCATCATTTCCAAAGTCCAGGCAAGAAGAGCAGCGACCAAAACCTGAAGCTGGGAGAGTTTGCGAAGTCGGATCTCTGTGATGGCTGAGACATAGTGCAAGAGTGCTTGGGATTTGGTTTCGCCCGATGCAGAGGCCACTCCTCTGACGAATTTCGCATGGGTCATTGATAGAGCAACGAGCATGTGCTTCACCGCTGGAGATTGCCAGGCGAACTGCGGAACAACCACAGTATAAAAGTCACCCATCGGCCCATAATGGGAGAGCATGGCAGATGTGCTCAGTAGCCAGTGCTCGAGATATTGCGTCTCTTCTTTGGTGCCGAAGACTGGCTGAATTGACGCCAAGTTAGGCGGGCTCTTTTGGACCGTTTGCTTGCTAGCTCGGCTGGTTTGGTCTCCCTCCGAGGTCGTTTCAATGGAAAAGATCTTGGCTTTGGAAACTTCGTAACCAAGACAAGTGTGTTTTCCCCTTGTACAATTCCCACATTTGGGTTTCCTTTCATCGCACTTTATCCGACGTTTCTTGCAGGTCAGACAGCCAGTGCGTACCTTGTGGGAGAAAGACCTTTGCCGCAGAGCGATAGTGGAGGTCATGATAGTCCTGGTACGACAGCCCCTAATTTTGATCTCCGGTTACCAGGCACTGTGGGGGGCTGAAATACCCGAGACATGGAAGCTTCCTGATCTGACCGTCGGAATTTCGTGGATTGAACCTTGCGCTATGATTGAGCTGAGCAGAGTTGTGATACTACCAAATTCACCAGGGGAGAGGTTGATGTTGCTGTTAGAAGGAGAATGAAACATTCTTGGTTGCCAATGCGCCCGCTTCCTCGGGCTCACTCGAGCTAGTTAGTGATGACAACGCCACTCATCTTGGAGGGGCTCTACTGTGGGTGGCTTGGGCCTCACGTGCATCAGGATAAGTTAAAGCGGCAGCCGACGCAGCTGCCTCGTGGCCCTAGTCACTTAACTGGATGCTTGATGATACACCGCAAACGACGTCTGCGAGGCTTTGATGGGATAGAAACTACCTATGGAATCAGGCCATGCGTCCGGTGTCTCGAAATAATAATACCAGATGTAGCTACTCATCGGGCCCAAGCAAACTCCGTCTAGAGCGTAATCACGGACGGAAATCATGTTACAGCTTGGGAGCAGAAAGTGAAGGTTACAAAAGAATATTGTTCTCATCTGTCAACACTAAATTATCAAGTCTTGTGCTCGAAAAGCTTTCCCGGCCAGCCACCAAAGCTGAATATGGACGGAGCATTTTCGATACTATCCTGCCGTAAAGTGGTATTGGGCGAAAGGAGGTGAGGGCAACGAGACTGCTTCATGGCCCGGAATCTTGTCCTCGAACCGGTTCTCATAAGCGAGGCCCGAATGCTGTGATCGTCCTGCACCGAGCTTCGTACATCCTGGTTGCGCAAGTGGTCATCGGAATGAGCCAGCATCCGTGGACGCAGGGACAAGAGTGTCATGATTCCATGACCCCAGACCTGCTGCTTCAGAGAAAGCAGCATTTTCAATCTGCAGCAGGTGACGCCTCCTCCACATGGACAGCCAAGGTTGGCCTGCTTTCCTTGCTTGCCTTTTGCGAAACCATTGGATCGTAGGGTCCAAAGCTGTATTCAACATCACAAAGAATGCACTGACTAATCTTTTACGCCACCTTTGAGGACAAGTCCAAGAACGACATAAACGTGACACCACCGGAGCATTTCCATCTTCGACTCGGAAGATGCTAGACTTCCATGTTGGATTGAGAACAGTGCAGACTCTTCCTCCTCCTCCACACTCCGCATTCGTAACTCCACACGAGGCTGGCATTGCGGCGTTCGAACCGGTCAACTCTACTTTACCTTCCTATTCCAGTCCTAGAACAATCCATGCTTGGAGCATTTGCGGAGGAAGACTGTAACGATGATGGGCATGCTGCATGGCTACGACGATGTATAAAATCGAGACCGTTGTCCCAATGTCTTCGAGCGTGGATTCCAACGGTGCCGGCAGTGTCCTTTATCCGACTTCCTGTGAGCTGCTGTCGTGAACCGCGGCCATGTATGTGCCAGCCGTCAGTGTCTACTGCCTCTTGCAGCTTGCGTCCTTGGGATTTGCGTTGAATCTGCATGACCACAGCAAGAGGGCAAATACTTGCACGATTCCCTCGAAATACAAGTCATCAGGCGGCAAGGCTGACGATTCTCCTGCCATTGCCTCTGCTTTCGCCAAATGCTCGCAGAACGCCACAATTATCTTCAGTGAAGGGGTCGACTACAATGTCCTACGACCACTTGCGGCGAATAATCTGTCGAATGTCGTTGTCCAGATGCAAGGTAATTTGCATCTTCCGCGAAACATCACCGCAATCCAGGCACTAGTCAACAAGACCACCGCAGCAACAAATGCTTCTGCACTTTATTGGTAGGCAGATATGCAATGACCCCATTTGAATGGCTTGCTGACCAAAATAGGTTCACGCTGGCTGGTGAATCGGTTGATTATGTTGGGACTCAAAACGTCACCAATGGCTGGATTGACAGTTACGGTCAGTCTTGGTGGAACGCCAATCCGCCCAACGGCAGCGGAACAGCATCAAGACCACACCTGATGAGCTTCAATGTGACCAACGGCTCGATGCGGAATTTCAAGTCTCGCAAGCCGATCGCTTGGGGTGTTCAAGTCAGTGGGAAGAACATTACAATCTCAGACACGGTGGTTGATGCAGTGTCTTCCACTCAGGCATTTCCCTTCAACACGGATGGCTTTGATGTTGGCGGCAGCGACATTCGTATCCTTAACAGTGTCATTTTCAACGGTGACGATGCAATTGCTGTTCAAGCCGGTGCTCACAATGTGCTGTTCCAAGGCGGCACAATCGGGTACCAAAGCCACGGAATGTCGATTGGTTCTCTGGGCCAAAACCAGGCCAAATTTGCAAATGTCTCAAACATCAAATTTGACGACATCACCGTCATCAATGCGGTATATGCTGCTCGGTTCAAGTCTTGGGTCGGAGGGCAAGGCCTTGCGAAGAACATAACGTGGTCGAATCTCAGGGTGTACAATGTAACTTTCCCAATCTTCGTAACGCAGACGTATTTCAATCAGGGATCTGCTCAAACTCAGCTGGAGAATGGCACCACGATCGGAAGGCCGAACAACTCGACCGTCAACATGGAGAATTTCACCTGGGCTAACATTACCGGCACGGTCAACTCATTCAATCCGGGAGACGGTTCCTGCGTGACCGATGTAAGTGCTTTCCAGTCAAGTGAGGAGAACGGCAGCTGACAGATGAGGAATAGCCTTGCTGGTACAACGTTGGACTTCCGAGTCTCAAGCACACTGAAGCCATCCTTGTGGAATGCAACACTTACACATCCTGTAAGAATTTTGTGTTCGACAACATCCAAGTATTTCCGGAGTTGCTGCAGCCAGCGACAGTGATCTGTATGAACGCAACGAAATCCTTGAATCCCGACCTTGGATTTAGTTGTGCCAACACGACATACATTCCCCTCTGACGTGCCCAAGTCATGGCAATTTGGTAGGAAAGGGAAAAGGAGAATTAGACTCAGCAGCTGCATGAGATTTTGAGAGCAATGAATCATGCAACGTATTGTTGAGCGCTCTTGCTCAGGACTAGCTAGGGAGTCTGGGAAATGCCACCTCAGAAGCCGCTTATATCTTCTCAGAAGACGACCTGGTTTACAAAGGGCTTTTGCCTAGCGGTGAATCATGCAGTTGAGACATCGACTTTAGTCTTGTCTGGGAAAAGCCATCAGTACCGGATGAATGCGGACTGAGAGTGCAAAACTTACAAAAGGCCACATGATCTTTGATGTTGGTAGCCTTCTCTTTCGGGGTCGGGTAGTACCACGCAGCATCTTTCAAAGTGTTGCCATCAACCGTAATATCGTAGTAACTCGCTATTCCCTTCCACGGACAAGATGTACGGGTGTTTGAAGGGCTGAAGAAGGACTTGTTGATGGAATCCGACGGGAAGTAAATGTTGCCCTCGACTGTCTCGTACTTATCGGTCGAGGCAATGACATTGCCGGAGACTTTGGCGGTCGCGTTCGTCATGTTGATCGTGCGAGCAGGAAGATGGCTGGACTGGTCCTTGATGGTGTACAAGAAGATCCTGCAGGGTCTGATATCTCTGCAGTAGGCACAGGGAAGGTTAGGCCTTTTAGCTCTTTCAGATTCGAAGGGACGTCGGCAACCAGCGAAACGCAGACCTCAGAGGGAGGGAGGTCTTGGAGGGTCGTCAGCCGGATGACAAATGCACATAGTGCCCAATCACAGGCAAGTACATGGAGTAAGCCTGACGATCTAGTAAACGCGCAGGAGTAGACTCATGCTTGATCAGTCAACATTGTGTTTTTATTCCAGAGGTACGGCGGATGCAGCTGATATTGGTGTTGATATTCGTTGAATGAGATGTCAACATAGTTATGCTGAGATACCTGTGCACACGAACTACGAGTCAGACCCTTCTTCCATTTGAATACAACTTGTTTCTCGCTTCCAATCATGTACGGCGCCTCGCCGATGATGGGGATCGTTACTCGTGTTTGAAGCAAATAATCCGCCATCTCGTGGTCATCTACTCCGTAGACAGACATCTACCTATTCGCTCTGTTTTGGCCCGTCAGCGCGTCCACACATCTGGCTGCTCATCATCTCCCCAAGAACCTCAGAAGTTGGTTCCTTCATCCGATCCCGCATGGTCAAAAATTGACGACGTAGTGGCAGCATCGACTGAGGCTCATCCTTGGGCATGGATATCGGTCTCGAGAGATTCTGGATATGGCCATAGCAATCAACGTCCGCCAGAATTGTGTGCGCGCCCCGTTCAGATACCGGCTTGCTTCCAGCAAACAGCCTGGCTAAGGGCGTCCTGCACAATCTGAGCCTTGGCTATCGTTATGCACCACCTTGTTCCATCAGATACTCCATCTTCGGGTTTGCGTTTGGCAGCCTACTTAAACTCGACTCCTCGATCTCTCTCCACAATTTCAATCCATCTGAATCATTTGTATATTCAAACCACAGAAAGAGTTTCATCCGTTCTTTCATGGCTGTCCAGCTGTTTATATCTAGCTGCCTTGTCAACCGGTCCAATGCGGTAAGGTACCACACCCGATCAGGTGTGCCGATACTGGCAATCGCTCCCATTACTGTGACCCACAGCATAAGATCAGCCGCTTCATCCCAACGCGCCTGCACGTCAGGCAGGGACAATTGGACGATGACGTCGGACGAAAGCCTGGCGAACGGCGCGGCGACAGCTGGTAGCGGAAATACAACGAGAAGACTGTAGACGAAGGTGCCGAGCCGGGCAAGGCGACACATCGCGTGTTCAGCCGTCGTTTCGGATGCATCGGGCGTGAGCTGCATAAGATGATGCTGGACAAAGTTCCTCTGGTCCATCAAGGCGCGCGGCGCCTGAGCCTCTGGGCGAGATTGGACGTAGTCGTCCACGGCGAATGTGTATTGAATCATCCACCGGAGCACGACAAGAAGTTTTGAGACTTCATCATGAGCGTGCCCAAGCATTTCAGGAAGCACGCGGAAGCCCTTCCCCAGACCAACAAGTGGGTGGGTCTTGCGTGATGCGGTGTTCAGGAGCCCGACGACATCGTCGTGCATCGGGACATAAGGAAGCATTGGTCTTGCTAGGGTCTGGGAGGCGAGGACAATGTCGCCACTGTCATGAATGAGAAGTGTGTACTTGGGAGAGGGTGAGGGCTAGATCTTACAAGGAAATAGCTTGAGCCAAGCCGGGCAATTTGATCTTGCTAAGACCACCACGCAGTATCAGCATTTTGGCGAGACCCTGAAGGTGGACTTGGACTGTTTCCAAGCGGCCACCGTAGATGTGAAGGAGTTGCAATGTAGTTAGGGGTCCTTGAGACGGTGCGACCACAGGAGGATCGCGCCTGAGGTCACCATGATATGACAGGGCGTAAACGGATAGAATGTTCTCGTCCTCACAGCTGACTGAGGTATCTTGAAATTTCTGGTGCACGCCGCGAATGGTTTCGGTGTAGCATTGCATCGTTTCGCGTGTTTCGATTGGCGTTGAAAAGAAGACGCGGTTTCGCGTGAGTTGGCAGAACAGAGAGGCATGGAAGAGCCCTCTGTCACGATAAGTCGCCCGGAGCCATGTCTCTGCAAGGGGGCTGATACTTTGACCTCGTTCGGGTGGAAACATCAATGACAGGAAGCTATTGACTGTTATGTGTCAGATATTGCCTCTTCACAGCTGCGAAAGCACCTACTTTGATCGAGGACAGGACTGACAAAGTCTTTCGGCAGATCGCAAGGGTATGTTTCGAAGGGGTCATGATGGCCCGAGATCACCAAGGTCGACAAGCTGGCGTCCGGAGAGATGATGAAATCGCTGTAAGCGGGGGATTCTGTGACTGCATGTTCGCTCTGATCCTCCTCGTTCTTGGGCGGTGAGATGTCATTCTCCGGCGATGCAGAGTCGTTCTTCTGGGGTGTGGCTGGTGCGAGTGCCCTGCGCGAGGATTTGGGTAGGCTGCTCGTCGAGCGCCGCCTGGGAGGAGCTGGTCGAGTCGGGGAGGATTCTGGTTTCTTGTCTTTCTTGACCCGTCGCCAGTGGAAGTTGGAGGCATTCGAGCGGACGAGGACTTTGTTCTGGCTGCGTTCGGCCTCCGAAGATGGGAGCGCAGTCACGAATTGGAAGGCTTTGGAAGCCGGGCGCGACGCTGCGCGGCCAGCGCTTTCTTCTGGCCGACTCGTCACGGCTTTCGCCTTGTGCATATCCTTCTGATTGTAGACATAATCTCTGGAAGTTTCACGATGTGACGAAGAGGAGAACGGTGCGCTGAGGATTCGTCATGGGTGTTCGCAAAAAGGGAATGCGGCGCCTATTGCATGATGGCGCGGTAGCGGTGGGTAGCAGAGAAACAGAGAGGAGAATCGTGTTCGCTTAAAAGTGCTGGGGAAATGCCTGATACCGGCACAGTCACAAGGCCTCGGCGTCATGTAGCACAAGCACACGCACAAGACACCGCTCGGATATGGGCATTCTTGAGCTTGCCTTTTCAGTGGGCGAGTGGGTGAACTCGTCCGGGGTATCCTTTGGGCGCCATCAGCAACGGTCGGTTGCTTGTCTGTAAGAGACTAGCCCTGAGAATGCAGGGTGGGTGAGTGGGTGACATTTTGAGGGGAGATCGATCCCTCCACATGCGCCAATTTAGAAGTACTGGGGCAGCAACGAAGCTCCACAGATGGTCAATTCAGCCGAATATCTTCTCCGCCAATAGATGGAGGATAGATTGCTGGCATGTTGTGGTATTGATGGAGGAAGAGGATGGCATTTTCAAAATATAGATTTTTCAAGATTATATAATAAGACTGTTTGCAAAAAACACTCCCCAACCACTCGCTATGCTGCTAAATGTCAAGTACAATGCAAACGCCGCGCCATGCAACAACTGAAAAGCACAATTCTAATCTAGAGGCCCCGGGTGGTTTCTACCATCTTCTTACTCCCCTGTCCTGATCACTCGTGGTGGCCGGCCCAGAATTTTGCTGAGGGGGTGAAAGCGGCGCTGGCCCAGGGATTTGGTGGCAGAGCCATGGTGATTGCAGCTCCTTGGAGGTCAGTGTAGGTGACAGTCTGGCAGTTGTGGCATTGGCCGGGTCGGTAGTAGTTACCGTGGTGCCAGGTTGGTGTGGCAGTGACAGTGACCGTGACTGGAGCAGGGCAGCCAGAAGTAGTGACGACTGTGGTGGTTGGCTGAGGAGGTGCTGGGATGGGAGTAGTTGTGGAAGTGGTCGTGGTCGTCGCAGGTGTTGTGGAAGAAGACGAGCTGACAGGGCTGGATGTTGGCTTGCACTTGCCGTGGGATCTGGTTGAGGTGCTGGTGGTGCTGGTGCTCATCGTGGTAGTCGCCGAGCTGCTGGTAGATGTTGTTGACGTGGTGGGAGCGACACATTTACCATTCAAAGCAGTCCCATAGCCGCAGTAGTGAGAGACTGGGGTAGTTGTAGTCGTGCTGGTGGATGTGGTGGAGGTAGTCGAAGTAGTGGTAGTAGAAGAGCTGCTGGTTGTGGTGGAGCTGGTTGAGGCCGTGGTGGTGGTCGTGCTGGTAGGTTGGTTGCAAGAGCCGTCTGCAGCGGTTCCGTAACCACACCAGTGAGTAGATGTGCTTGAAGAAGTGGTCGTACTGGTAGGTTGGTTGCACGAGCCATCTAAGGCTGTTCCAAAGCCACAGTAGAACGTGCTGGTGCTGGATGTAGTAGTGGTGCTTGTCGTTGGTGGATTGCACGAGCCATCTAAGGCTGTTCCAAAGCCACAGTAGAATGTGCTTGTGCTGGATGTAGTAGTGGTGGTCGTTGTTGGTTGGTTGCACGAGCCGTCCAAGGCTGTTCCATAGCCACAGTAGAGAGAAGAAGTGGTTGTCGAAGCGGCGGAGGTCGTAGTGGTGGTAGCTCCGTTGTTGTCGGCATCATCCCTAGCGTTAAGGGGGAAAGCGAAAGTGCTGGTGGCAAGAGCCGCAATGAGGATTGAGAAATGCATGCTTGCTTTGTTGTTTGTTGAGAAGCTTGTTAAGATGAGTGCAAACCTTGGAAATGGCTGTATAGATTTGTAGCGAATGTGGCAAGAATTATGAGCTTGTTAAACGATTGTTCCTAAAGAAATAAGAGAGATGCGGAAATGCTTGCAGTGATTGCGTTGTTGAATGTTGAGATGATGATGGGAAGGAGACATCTCACGACACGACCTACCTACTTATACAACATGCCATCTCATACGCAATGATAGTTGTAGAGACAAATGGAGCCATTCATGAGAATAGATCGATGGTGTTGCATTGCTCAAACGTGACCGTGTGCAGCGGAAAGTGGCTGATGAAACTGAGGCTTCTACAACGGCTGCAACTCGAGTGGACAGACCACCAAGGAAAATGGCACAGGGTCGCGAGAATTGGCGGTCGAGGTCAAAGCTCATGCGAGACATGACGAGTTGGCTGAAGTGAAAATAGAAAGTCTGGGGAAGAGGAAAATGTGTTCGAACCTTTGACAGCTGAAGAGAGAGAGAGAGAGGCACCGAAGGGGAGCTCAGAGAGAAAAGGGCGCAGCAGGAAATAGCAGCTTTAGTGGAGCCAGGGTGCGGTTCGACCAATGATATCTTCGGAAGTTTCGCTAGTTTGTCCCAATTCGGTGATTGTAAGCGGCTCCGGCCAAGTAGAAACTTTGATCCGATGCGAGAGACAATGTCGAGAAGTGGGTGGACAGCCATTCAGCCATCCACCGATCCACCCGTCCATCATCGTATCCCACTGACAGCACAACGCAGAAACATTCCTTCTCCTTCTCTGCCTCGCGCTTTTCACCAATAACGGCATCTCGATGCACAGGTGGCTCGCAATGACATTGTTTGTGCTGAGAGGCAAATTCTCAAGCTACGGGAGTGGATGGATCTTCAGGTTGGAGGTCCTCAGCACGGACGCTTGGAATAGCCATGAAGTCCCAAGGTAGCAATTGCTTAGCCGTAGTGTTTCGTTGGTTATTCGCGCAATTCGGTGGCATAGCTCCCACCTTCCAACTGCATCACTGCAACTTGATGATTTCGAGCATCCTTGCAAGGACACCATCGCAAGGCAGCCCATCCTCCTCGGCCGTTTCCGCCTTCGAACCTCAACTTTTTGCATCTCTGAAGGGAAGGTGGTTTAAAGCGCAGTGCTCAGTTTTAGCAACAATAGCTTGTTTCAGGTCCGGCATTGGAGATCATGGCTTGGACGCACAGGTGAGAGGCCCCAACCAGTGCACGAGTCCCTACTCGTAGATGTCCAGGATGCTTGGATTACTTCGCGTGGCGGCTTTGGTGACAAAAGATGGACGAGGGCTCAAGCGTGCCCCGACTGTGTCAGGCCATCTGATGCTGCTTGCAAGGGTCTATGTCGCCGATGACACATCGTACGCGAAGCCCCATGACAAGCATCTGCCACAAGCTCGTGCAAGCGACATTTCAGACAATCAGCTCTTGATACCTTCTAGAGGAGCTGCCCTCGGGCGAGGCGAGAAATCAAGCGTTGGCCTTCTTCAACCCTTCCTCAGCGACTTGAACAAGCGGCGTAAGATTTTTCTCCCTCAACGTTGGCAATAAACTCGAGAATGCTTCACGGGACTTGTCCTTGTCGCCACATTCCAACAATAGATCAGCCCGTGTCATCTGCGCCGAGAGGAGCGCCAATTCGCAGATTTCATCCCGCTCTTCGGGACTGACAACCTGAGTTGTCGCAATGGCCTGGTCCGCCCAGTCCAACGCTGCTTTCCGCGCCGCTGCCAGTGATGACTTTGTCGCCGGTCTCCCATTGATCTTTGCATCGGGCTTCTTGAGCGCCAGGTCCATGGTCGACGCGATATTACTGAGCACTTGAGCTTCTTTGCATGATCTCGTCCCATTGCAGGACGCCCGTAAAGGTTGGAGAGTAAGCATATAGACCTGCAAGGCATTTGCCTCTTCGCCGGTTGTAGCGTATAAATCTCCCATTTGAGACAGCATCGCAGCGATCTCGCCTGCCGTCATGCCAGCACTGTTGTCATCTGTGAAGCCGGTCGTCTGGGCGTCTTGGGTTTCTTTCACGACCAAACCGACCGCGTCGGAGAGGATCTTCTTAGCCATTTGCCGGTCTTGCATGTAGTCACTTTCATATAACGAGGCCACTTTGACCTTTGTCTGTATAGCTGCCCTTAGTAAAGTCCTTCTCGTGGCCTCCTCTTCCTCGTTTGGTTTGTTTGTGTGCGCAGCTCGTTCCTCGTCAACCTCGGCGAGCTTCTGCTCTACGTCTTTTGTAACACCGTCAAGGATCTCGATGGCCGACTTGACATGTCCAAAGTTCTCCATCATCTGAGAGAACCGTATCCTGATACCCAGTGCATCAGGCTTGAATGGATCCATCCCGGCTTCTTCTGCCTTCTGAATTGCCTGCATGAAATACTTCGCCGAAGTCTCGGGATCGGGCTGGATATGTGTGTAGTGCAGGGCAAGTCGCAAGCGCTCCTCGACTTCGATGGGGTAGTCGGTTGTGTGGAGCTTGTCCTTCTTGTATTCGTTGTATGCCATCACCAGCAGCATCGAGACGGAGCCGAAGCAGCCGATGAGCAGGAAAGGGAAGAGGATTGGGTGTTGAACTCGAGCATCGATCACCATCTTCTCGAAGCGGTTGGGAGGTCTTGTGTACGTCTTTGCCGTTCTGGTCTGTATCCGGGCGGCGTTGCATGGCTGTTTTCGAAGCCGAGGTCGAGCGGCAGGCAAACTGTGATAGCCATTGCAGAATGCATCTCGAGAGCCTCTTGCACTCGACTTGAGGCTCCGAACTAACTGACAGGCGATGCCACTGCTGTTCATGATCGTGTACAGTCCCACAGTAGAGCGGCTCTAGTATGTTGAAAATGCTAAGACGTCAATTCATCATTGAGGCAAATCAATAATTGGAGATTCCAGATGCGCAACGAAATTTGGTACAATAAAATACCCCAGACTTGCAAAACGTCACAAATTAAAAGACATCCCTACCTTACTTAAGGTACCTTACCTAGCCTACTCTTGACCATCGGCCTGCAGATACTGGCCACCTAGGTCGAGAACTTACGGTGTGCTCTGCTTACTCTTGCAGACGGCAGAGCGTGCTATGCAACCATGTAATTCCCAACCCGCCTTCCGCTCCTTCACAAGCGCAATACATCACCAGTGCAATTTCTTTCGGCCGGTCCCACGACCATGTCTCCTCTGGACAAGCTCTACCTTATTGCCTGCTGGTCCTATATCATCAGCTTTCACCTCACCTTTACGCTGCTCACGCTCAATTTTAACCAGCGGAGCACGCTTCTCGTCCTCCAGACGATGGACTGATCGACAACGAGGGGACCAGTTCGCCCGTGCGGCCAAGGTCCAGGGGCTCAAGAGCCGTGCGGCCTTCAAGCTGCTCCAGATCAACGATCGGTATCGACTTTTCAAACCGGGAATGACCGTTGTGGATTTGGGTTTTGCGCCAGGGAGCTGGAGTCAGGTATGGCACATGCAAATCCTTAGATTTGTCCCACGGCAATAGTTGACCCATCTGCACAGGTTGCGATCGACCTGACCAAACCACGCGGTCGAGTCTTGGGCGTCGATCTAATCCCTGTGCAGCCGCCGAAAGGCGTCTCGACAATTCAAGGCGATTTTCTCTCGCCCGATGTGCAAGCCGAGATCAAATCGTTCCTCCGCGACCCCGATCGCGGCCGTCTGCGCCGTCCTCTCATGTTCGGCATGCCCGAGACACCGTCCGACGGACACATTGACCAGGGAATACTTGAGGAAGCGGAGGGGGGTTATCTGGAAAGAGAAAGCCACATAGCAGTCGAAGAGGCGGGACACCACCAAGAGAACACGGCAAGTGAACAAGAACAGGAGCATGAACATCAGGACAAGTGTATCGACGTGGTGTTGAGCGACATGTGCGAACCCTGGGACCCGCTCGATGGGCTGTACAAGAAGAGCATCAGTAACCCATATTACAGGTTGATGAACACGAGTGGCAATGCTTTCAGGGATCACGCGGGTAGTATGGTACGTTGCACATCTTGTCTCTACCACGAGCCTCGAAGCTGATGACATGATAGGATCTTTGCAGAGCAGCCTTGCAATTTAGCTACGACACTCTCAAAGTTGGAGGACATTTCGTGTGCAAGTTCTACCAGGGCGTCGAGGACAAGGCGCTCGAGAAGAGCTTGAAGGCCATGTTCCACAAAGTGCATCGCGAGAAGCCCGAAAGTTCGAGGAGCGAGTCGAAGGAGGCTTATTTCGTCGGCATCAAGAGGCTGGCGAAAGTCGATAAGGATGCAGTGCTTGCTGGGCCTTAGATTGCTGATCTTTAGCTCGCTGTCCACACGGTGGTGCTTGGACTTGGAGTCTGAGACTGGGAAACACAGCGAGAGGCAAGATCGACAACCTGCGTCCAGTTCTGATGGCAGCCACTACCATCAACCAAGCCCGTGAGGATAGTGTTTCTGGTTATATGGATTGGGATCCAGGCTATACTATCCGACGTCCACGAAATCTACGACAGAAGCGATGACCGCTGGACTCATTCAGTGGCAGGCTGCTGCCACTTTTCTGGTCAAAGTCTTATATCAACTCGCCCTCTTCATCCTCGGCCGTCTCATCCTCGCTGAACTCGATGTCAGCGGCGGCAGCTTCAGCCGCCCTGTGCACTTCTTTCAGCCCACTGAGTTCCTCCACATAGTCCTTCTCATTCAGGGCCTTCTGCACGAAATCCCAGCCATCCGAAGTATAAGCGTCCAGCACTTTTTGCGAACACGCACTGCAGCAATCATACGCCCTACCAGCGATGTTCATGTTCGTAAATGTCGACAAGAACCCACGAATTTGGTGTGGAATCAGGCCTAACGGGTGGTCGCCTCTGTCTTCCGAAGACGACAACGACGCCGGCGCCGCTGCTCCATCCGGATGTTGCAGTATCGACACGAGTAACTCGACGAGAAGTGCGGACGCTATGGCCGCTATCCCGGGTCGAGTGACAGTGCATTGCTGATCGAGAGTCTGATCTTTCATCGAGTCGGCCGGCGCCACGACGTCGTTGCAGAAATAGCATCCCAAGGCTTGCTCTGCATTCTGACCCTCCACTGTGACGCCATGCCTCATGACGACGTACGTATCGAAGCCAAGGGCGGCGTTCATCACGATCTTCCCAGCCGCCTTGCCCATAACGGTCGGCAACCATCTAGACTCCCTGGTATCCATAAGCAAGAATATAACATCATGTTCCTCGACAAGCTCCTGTAGTTTCTCGTACTCGGCTTTCGTTTTCTCGGCGTCTGTGATCGGATGGCCGGCCATCGGCACCGAAAGCACATGCCCCTCGCTCTCGACGCCCGGGTAGATCTGCCTCAGCGCGTCCGCGGCACACGTAGCTTTCTTCTTCCCGCCGTCAAGACAGTCTTCGAAATTGAACAGCGGCTGGCGCACGGGGTTGGAGAACGACACGCTACCGTTGTCCACGAACGTGATCTTCCGTACGCCCCAACCCATCAGGTTGCGCGAGACGTAGCTGCCCAGCGTTCCTGCGCCGAGGAGCAGGCACTTTGTGCCCTTTATCTTTTCGAGATTGAGGTTCGGGCTGATGCGCCACTTCATGAGTTTCAGGTTCAGGTCGACGCTTGAGTCGGCGAGTTTCTTGGGGTCCATGTATTCGGTCAAATCGGCCATGCGGCCCGTCAGTTTGTTCGCTGCGTTCCGTTCCCAGCCAACGACCTTTGGCATTGGTGGCTCGGTTTCGTCTTCACCGGGCTTCGAGTCGGGTTGAGACGAGCTAGCTTTGCGCTGCTGCTTCGAGACTTCCATGGTAAAAATGACGCTACGGGCGGCCTCGCGTCGTGTGGGTGTCTCGCGGTAGCATAGAATCTGTACGCGATCTAGTTTCCACCTTTGCCGAACGAGGACCAGGAGGTTTCGTAGCATCCAGCCGGGTGCGACGGGGCCTGGTTCGGTGTAATTTGACGGGTCGGCGAAGCAGACGAATTGGTCTTGCGGGTCGAGGCCCTCGAAGAAGCCAGACTCAAAACTTGATAACGAGGCAACATGCCAGACAAAGCCCAAGTTCGAGCTAGGCGTTTGTGGCGATTGAGGCGAGGTAGGGCCAAATTCGACGTCGTCGGTCGGGAATGGCCGTGCAGAAGAACCACGTTCCTTCTTTGCGAGGAAGAACCCAAATTGTCGCGAGTCCACTCCGTACCGCCAGGACATTACCGCGTCGACGAGAGTGGTGCTTTCGATGGCGTTCAACTTTGCGTAGGGTAGACCACCGCCCTCGGGTCTAGGGACGGCTCCTTGATACTGCGCTGGTGTCCATGGCGGGTCCATGACCAATGCGGGAAAGGCAAACCAATAGTTGAATTTGTATTTCTTGAGGTCGGCGAACGACAGAACCAGAAACGAGGCCAAAAGTGACGGACATGAATATATAGTGCCGTCGTTGATGGCGTCCCAGATGGTCTTGCCGGCTTTCTGGATCATCTGGAGTTTGTCGATGTTGCGGTACTCTTCGATCGTGTTCACATTCTTGATCATCCCTTCGGCGCGGAAGAAGCCCGCTGGGACGTCGTCGCTGGTGAGTGCGTTGGCGTGGACTTGCATGCGGCAGGAATGCTCTCTAGCGTCGGCGGGTCTGATCTCGTAGAGGCCCAGAAGTTTGCGGGCCGAGTCGTCGAGTTTGTCATGGTTGATTTTGTGCGAGGCCAGAGAGGCATAGAATGGAATTTCGATGTCCGAGGCGAAGGGCACGTACTGCATTGTCTAGTCGAGTATCGAGAAATGTCTGCTGGAAAGTGGCCCTGGCAACATTCAAGATTTCTTTCCTTCCCCAATCAGGCGTATATTGATGGTGACTGTCTTTCTTGATACAGGAGATGCGGTGTTGGTAAAGGAGACAATCAGGATATGGAAACTGGATGTGGAGTTAGAAGGATGAAGTCAGGCTGCAGCCGAACGTGGGATTCAAGTGGTCGAAACAAGGCTGCCAACGACACAAGGGGGGATGATATCCGATCAAGGGACTCGAGACTCCAACTGTCATTTGACTTATGTAATCCGTCCAATGACCACTTTACGCGCCTGGACGCGTCGAGTCTTCAGAGCACAGAGATTCTCTTCCACAGATCTTGAATGGAGGTATTTATCAACATCGATGCGCCAAACAACAGATTAGAGCATACTTCGGCCACAAGAACGCGAACCTGGTCTCGAGAACAGGTCCCGGCAACCATACAGAGCTGTGTCTAAAATTGGACTACCACTGAAGCAAGATGCTCATAGGCATCACCGGCTCCATATGCTCCGGCAAACACACAACGGCCGAATATCTCGTCCAACATCATGGCTTCTTACGCCTGCATCTCCCGACGCCATCTCAACTTCAACATGTGGTCGTGAACAACAGCTATGCACCATCATCTTGCCCCACCACTGGCGATGAGTCCAAGTCCAATGGCACTATTCCTGGAGGAGAACCTCTACTTGCACATCTTCTACCCAGCGTGACGGACCAGAAAGGCACACGAGGGCTGACCTTTCCGGACGTCGATGGGCTTCTCGAGTTCGTGACCAAGCGATGGCGGGAACACTGGGTTCTGACGGATATCTACGACGAAAATACTCTTGAACTACTACTGAGACGGCCGTTCTTCTTGTTATTAAATGTCGAAGCGCCCGTGGGAGTGCGGTATCAGCGCTTCAGTGAGCGGTATGTTCATATTCCGTTCGTTTTTCTGCAGAACAAATGTCTTGCGAAAGAACTCACGTCGACCTCGCTTCCGAGGACTCATATCTCCCCGCAGCAACTCAACAACCATCCATGCCGCCCTCCTTGGGCCGCTCTTCAAAGTGTTTGCCTTCAGCAACATTAGTACTAATCTTGATTCCCACGCAGGTGCCGCCACCGCTCTCTCACACCTCTCCCATTATCCGACTTCATTTACTACAACGACCTCCAACTCTATGGCTCCCGCTGCCTCGCCTCGTCCACATCCACCCCGTCTTCCTCAACACCCTTCACCTCCGGTATCCTGCATCTAACGTCCCGGTCACACCTACACCTCGTCAACATCCACCCTACCATATCCGCCTACTACGCCTTCCTCTCGACTCTCGATCTCCCTTCTCCCGTCCGTCTCCGACCAACATGGGATGCCTATGTAAGTTACTCCATCCACGTCTTTGTGTTCTTCATCCGTGGCTTGTCCTGCCTCCTTCCACCTCCTGGTCCCCGGCTCACCTCGCCTCGGACATCTTTTTCCATGCCTTTCCTCCTTGGGCTTCTCTTCCTCGAAAATATCTTACCACATCTTCCCGAAGGGATACTGACCAAGGTGGAAAAACCAGTTCATGACCCTAGCCCACCTCGCCTCCCGGCGATCAAACTGCATGAAACGCCGTGTCGGCTGCGTCCTCGTGCACAACTCGCGCATCATATCGACCGGCTACAATGGCACTCCACGCAACCTGCGCAACTGCAACGAAGGCGGCTGCGCGCGCTGCAACTCGGCGGTCGCCACGGGCGGTTCGTCCCTCTCCACATGCCTGTGTCTGCACGCCGAGGAGAACGCGCTGCTCGAAGCCGGCCGCGAGCGCATCCGCGAGGGCTGCATCCTGTACTGTGACACGTGTCCGTGCCTGACGTGCAGCGTCAAGATCGCCCAGGTCGGCGTCAAGGAAGTCGTGTATAGCCAGAGCTATAATATGGACGAGGCGAGTCGGCGGGTGCTCAAGGAGGCCGGCGTCGGCTTGAGGCAGTTCATCCCTCCGAAGAGTGGATTGGTCGGCTTTGGCTTTGATCCTGACACTGCTACTAATCATGACGAGGCATTGGGTCAAGACGGAGAAGGCCAAGAATTGGTAGTTAGGAATGGCATCTCTTGAGTGCGAATACTACAGGCAATCTTGTACCTCTCAGCAGCTTCGGCCCACAAACAATCACACCTCCTCCCCCGGGCTGCTAAGGGCCACTGCTTTATTCCAAATGAGATGTGAGAACTGGCGCAGGAAGGTGAATGGGTTGAATCGAGTGAAAATGACTACGAGTAGAAGTGCAAGCTATCGTGAAGGGTATCGATTTGTCGTCATTAGAAGTGGAAAAGAAACCCGCGTGGACCGCACAGTTATCGCCATTCCAGACCATATGTCTCAAGCGCATCCTAAGCCTTGCCAGGATAATGACCTGCTTGGCGTTCCAGTCCCTCATGAGACAGCGGTTTGTCCGCCTGTGTTTCAACATATTTGCGTTCCTCCAAGTTGTGGGATGCAGGCGAACCATAGAATGCTCCAGATGCCCCAGATGCCGGGGTCGTAGCACTTTGGGTCTTTGCACTCTGCGGCGATGTTGCACTTGTCGGTCCACTTGCCACGCCCTGCGTTTGCTGATCGGTCACGGCAGTGTTGAGCGGGAATATCTTCTGGGTCTCGCCGGGACTTGTCGGCACGCTGCCTCCTGAGTTGGCAAAGCTCGCAATGATGGTGTGCCATTGCTGGGCATCAGAATTGGTATGTGCTTTGAATTGGAAATCGTGGCTCAAGGCCATTTTCTGCCCAATCTTGCTTCCCGATGAGTCTTTACCCTTGATGGTGAACTTCTGACCATCTACAGCTCCAATCACGCAATCTGGTAGGAATAGAGAGATCTCCGGGACCGGATCCTTGTGAAAATTCTCGTTGTCCTTGTACTCGTGCAGGAACCCTGCTGGTGTGACGGCATAATATCCAGTGCTGTATCCTCGAATCGAGCCCATACCACCGCGGGGTTTACGTTCGAGAGATCCTTCGATCAAAGGCTTGGTTGAACGGTGATTCTCATTCGGAAACGAGGCGCCCGACATTGTCCTAGGAGGAGCGTTTGGATTGACAAGGACATGCTGATTGCGTTTCACAAAGCCACTCCACTCAAAGTCCAGGGGAATGTTGCTGGCAGTCGCAGCAATATCACCAATCATGGCCTTTTGGCGATCTGCTTGAGTACCCATGAACTGATTGTAGGCGTTCAGAGCTGACTGCACCGTGGTGAGGACGTGAGCCTCGAATTGCTTGAATGAGTTTTGAACAGCAATCAAATCTTGACGGTTGTTGTTTTCCTCCAGCAGTTGCTTGTTGAGACGATTCATGATTTGCCGTCTAAGGACATAGGGATCATGGTTTGCGGGAATCCTGCTGGTATTGCCCCCGCTAGAGTCGAAATGAGAAGCTTGCTGTGCTAGCACGTCGATATGTTTCTGTGAAGCCACTCGTGCGGCATCCACTGCTTTCGAACCTTTGCCCGCTCCGTGCTGAAGCTCTTTGGCCTTGTTCTTGATCTCTTGATGCAAACGCTCGAGGATTGGAAGGACAGAACCAGTCAGGCTCTTGCTTGTCTCTGTATATAGATTGGATTGAGCTTGAGTGTTGGCGCGGAGGTTCTCGAACAAGCCTGAGATACCACCGAGGGCGGAATCGAAATGATGCGCTTCTTGAAGTGGACTCGAGATTGTCTTTAAGATCTTCTCCTGATCTTTTGCCCTAGTATTTTGGTCCTTTGCAACAGCAGTGATGTATGCTTCGAGATATTTGCACATGTGTTTCCACGCTTGCAGACGCTCGGCCAAAAGTCCAGCTGTGCTCGAGGGATCGCCGTCGGGCATGGCCTCGTCGTCGGAGTCGGACATTGTCTTCGTTCGGGTTGGGAGGTTGGGAGCGGCCATGATGGAGTGGTAAGGTGGAGGGGGAGTATTGTACTACGATACTGCCATTAGTTGTTAGCTGGGAGGAGTTGATGGCTGGAATATCTGTTGATGGCGGGGGTGGACTGACATGGATTTTTGCCCAATGAAGGATGATCTGGTTGATGTGTGTGCACTGGCGGTCAGTCAATTGAAAGGAACGTTCCTGCCTTGGGTGCAGTCCCGGTGGATGCGTGCTAGCAGATCAAGGACTACCAGGTACTGTTCGACACAGTAAGGATAGAGAATTGGCGCAGACGCAGACATAGACTCAGGTTCACATTGTTGATTCTGTTCGTCTAGGGTTAGAACAGGAGACAAGATCGACGTCACGAAGATGATGCGGGGATCAATTTGCACAGCCACAGCCTCCTACACGAACACTGTGTCACGACAGTATTCCACAGCGCCCTGAGAAAGTCGGGAGGCAAGGAAAGGATGTCAAAAACTACAGCAGTATGCAGATGCGGAATCAGGGAATGGAGAGCATCAATCGCAAAAGCGTTACATCCGATCATGACTGCAGTCGTAGCGATGTGGCAGTACACGATATGGGAGACTCGAGTTCAAGCTCATTTATTTTCTTGTCTCCAATCATAGTCTGCCCTCGATTCCGGTGATTGAGGTCAATAGGAGCGTCGAAATGAGTGTCCAATGTCAAGGACAAGGTCTGAGATGATGCGTGATGTAGCGCACCCTTCGTTTCTCGGAGAGGTCGTGGCGACCAAAACACGAAATATAATCAAAGAGAGAAAATGAAATTTGGAAAAGATTTATATACCAATACTTGTCTCGTTGTCGGCGCATCAAAACAAATATGACATATTCTTTGACCAGTGCTCTTTTCTCAGCGGAAGACCTTTCGCCAGCACCGTCTGACCAAGACACACAACTCCCAACATGGGGACGAAGTGATACTAATACTAGTCAAGGCATTGGGGGTTGTGATTACGGAGTATTGAGGACTATACACGGGATACAATACATGCTGAGCCTGAGACTCTAGCCGACAGCCCTGTCACCTTCACTCAACGTCGGACATTCTCCTCTGCGTCAGGCAAGCTCTGCTCATTGCCTAGCTTAGGGTCTCTCAGACATAGAGCAAATCCAATCAGAAGTACCACCAGACAAATGCCTGTGATGCACAGCAAGCGCTGCACATGCTGGTAGGCATCAATGATCGCCGAGCGGACAGGTGTACCCACGGGATACTCTGCAATTATGCCGAATGGATTGGCGTATGTCGCGGCAGCAAGAGTCGAGTTACCAAAATCTGCAAGACGGTTCTCGAGAGTTGACGGCAATACCTGAGTCCATATGGCACCAGACACACAGTTGCCGAAAGCAGAACCAATGTTGTAGGTGGCGAGGTAGAGACCAGTGATGACGGCAACATGCTCGTGCTTGGTTGCAGCCTGAATCGATGCCTGCGCAGGATACGGGAACATACCCCCAGCAAAGCCAAGTAGGACCTGAGCTCCGATGACGCCGGATTGTCCAGAAGAACTGGGGGATCCACGGTAACGAATCAACAGGCCAAATGCAACCATGAACAGACATGTTCCGGCCACGATGAACCATTTCAGGCGTCGAACCTTGTAAACGATCATGCCGAGGGCAAATCCAGTAAGGACAGATGTAAAGCTGTATAGTGACGACACTCTTGTGGCGGCCTTGATGCTGAAGTTGAACGCCACGATGAGAACGGTGTAGAGGTAGTCTCCCTGCAGATACCAGGTAAAATTCAATGTGCAGGCGATGCCCAGCGCACCCCATACTGCACGATCCTTGAGGAGATGAAACGGGATAAGGGGATGAGGGGCCCTCAGTTCCCAGAAAATGAATGCTGGGATGCACAAGATGCCAACCACCAGAGGAGCGATGACATGAGCCTCTCTCCACTGGGTAGAGATTCCACCGGCAATGGTCAAGGGAACCAAGATCAATGCGAACACTGCGATAAGCAGAATGATGCCAATGACGTCAAGAGACCAGAATAGGCTGACTGACAGCTTCTTTGCTCCCATGAGTTGGAAGGGAGACTTGTATTTGGCCAAAACACCAGCCTTGCGTGCTCGACGTCCCGTCACCGCCAGTGCAAGCATCAAGGGGAGGGCACACACTGGGTAGATGATGGCCCACATGCCGATGCCCCATTGCCAGGTCGTAGCCCCAAGGACAGCTGATGCCACATCGCCGGAGACCCAAGTGTTGATAAGGAATGGTAGAGCAGGAATGTAGCTGAAGAAAAGTCGGGCTCGGAGAGACGTGATGTCGGCGATAATGACCTCGACTAGCAGGATAACACAGGTATAGCCGATCTGATACAGCACCGCGCCGCCTGCAAAAGTCGAGACGTTGGTAGCGCACGCTTCTATGATCGTCCCGAGAGTGTAGAAGACGACGGATACAAAGACCAGTTCCAATCGGCCGAAAATGTCCGCAATCTTGGCCGCTGTTGGTTGTGCTGCCGCCGCGATGACAGACCGGAGGACGGTGATCGTTGCCAAAAGTGAGTGCGAGCCCATGGTTGCCGTCGCGGTAGGCTGATAGCTGTATCGTAAAGTGCCATCCAGTCCGTAGGCATATGCGATGATAAAGACGCCCAGGAATAGGAAGGCGCGGTCAGTCCTGGTTAGGACTTCACTCACAGCCTCGATTCGAGCAACACCGGGTGATTTGTCGCCAATGAGGACAGAGTCTCGTCTCCCTGTAGGCTGTGGGCTGTCAGGAGCATAACTGTCCAGGCCGGTTTTGTGGTCATCCGGATGTTGCTGTCCCGTTCTCTGGGACTCTTCGTAGTACGACATGTTTGATGTTAAGAAAGTGTCGAGTATATCAGTACGTTGGACTGCGGCTGATAGTATATCAGCCCACACAAGGCCAGCGAACAGTTGACCAGATTGAAGGAGAGAAAGAAGGATATCTCTCTGGAGAACACAGAGGGAATGGTCCTCTTTATCCTTTGGGGAGCTGCCAAAGTCAATTGACGGTTGGGAAAAACGAAGATTTGCAAAGACGCCCTGACTCCATTCAACAACGACCAAGCCGCTTCGATTATAAAATGATGCTAGCCCAGAAGTTCGGCAGCGACGTGGTGTGGGGAGTGGCTCCAGCGTTGGCAAGGGACTATTGGTTGTTATCTTATCTGATGCAAATTTTTTCAATGGTCTGGGCGATCGATGTTACCAAAACCATGACGCCAAGTAACAGACAAGAAAAACTGCTGAATTGGCGTCTTGGAACTGGAAGAAAAGGCCGCAAGCTTGAGAAGCGGTTGCGACGTGTACGACTGATCCTAGGGCAATCCGATCGGATCGAGTGATTGAGAACGCGCATGACAAGCTGGCTGCAGACAGCAGTGATGCAATGCCGGGGTGATCTAATCAGATGCGTTGAAGATGTAGGACAAGGCTTCCCTTGGCTCGTTGCCTCACCAGTGACTGCAGTAACGTGTTGCCAAGGGTGTCCATCCAGACTGCCAAAACACGATCATTGTATGGCTAGTCGAAAAGCCTAGGCATAAAATTCGGGAAGGATGGGATTGCACAGGCGTAGTCTGCGCGTCGTCCAGCGGGTGACATGATTGGTTTCATTAGCAATCGCCCTTCAATCTTCCGAATATCGGAGCTGGGCATCGAGCCTGCATGTCACGATGATCCTTGTCCGGTGCCACGCGACAGTCGAGCTTGCCAGCAATTTCAGCAAGTCCTCCACATGCCAAGCACATACACAGGCAGGCCATGATTCCAGCAGCATGCCTTTGAGGCCTACATGACCTGTCCAAGAGCCTTGGACCCTCTAGTCGCGGTCGCAATATGCCACGGGATGCACTCGTCCGAAGGATCAACACAGCCTCGCGTCACGCCCAAGGTCAGGAGACCGCGATATTGCCTGATCACATCATCCAATAATTCATCCGGTGTTGCCTCGCCTGAGCCATCCGCTGCATGCGAAGGGAGGTAGATGAGACTGACTTCAATAGAGATGCAGCCGTCCTCAAGCTTGGGTCCTCTACGCTTTAGCAACACTCCAGTTGCCAGCGCCGGTCGCAGCTCGACCATGTTGTTGGACTGATTGATTCCGTAAGGCAGGATGATCCCCCAACTGTCTTCGGCAGGATCCACCAGAGTCAGGTCACCGTCGACATTTGGATCAAGACCAGGTTCAGGAGGCGTCGACGCGTTGATCATGGAGGTGCCACCTGGCGTCGGAGTGGCAGGAACAAGCTGGTCGGGTGACGTGACACCAGCTTGCGGAGTTGAAACAGGAGTGCCATACAAGTTTTGTGAGGGCTGCGCCGGTTTCCCAGAGGCCATGTGGGTGAAGACTCTGAGCTTCGGGTCAAGCTGGGCTGAGAGGAGCATTGGCAAACATCGTTTCTGGGATGTTGTAGAGCTCTCGAAAATTTGCCGCCAATCTTGAAGCTCTTTCAGAGTGTAATAACCTTGCTTGATGACCCCAAGCCGCCATAGTCCCTGGGTCTTGCTCATGAGGTCGTGAGATACTTGCCACATTTCCTTCAAGATTTCCTGTCGGGGTCGTATCCTGGTAGAGTCGCGTCTTCGCGCACAGTAGGACATAGCAAGGGAGAGATGTCCAAGGTCATCGGTCCACGCTGCCGTGATCCACCGGCCGTCAACGCTTGCGGAGTATGCCAGATGGAGGCATTCACCGTTCCTTGACAGTGGAGAGGCATAGATCGAAGCCAATTGAAGATGCACAGGATTTTCTGCTTTTGACAACACAACGGCGGTGTCGCACGCAGCGGCTGAACCTCCGGGGTCTGCGGGTGGCAGACGGTTGTAGACCTCTATTGCCAGTTTGAGGTAGGCAGCTTGCGGGGGAACAATCAATGACTCGGGGCTAGCGATGAAGCTGCGAGGGACGATTTGCAGCGCAATATCGGTGACGTGCTTCTTGTCAGCCCTAGCTACGAAGGACTCAAAAAGGCCATTAAAGGCTTGGCAGATTTCCAGATATGAAGCCGGGCTGTCGCTGTCGCTGATCATGTATACCAACACTGTGCCTGTCAAGTTGGTAACCGCTCCTATAGCAGTCCCCATCGTTTGGCAGGCGTGATGAAGGTCCAGTTGTGCTGATTCGGTCGAACTCCATGCCATCATCCCATCATTCGCCACTCCACTGAGCCGGCCGATAGTGTGCGATCCGAATGCACACGTATTGTATGTATCGGACATCCGTAGCAGAAGGTTTGTACAACCATCTGCTACGTCCTCGGTGTCCCGATGAATACAAAAGGCGGTGACGTTCTTCGGGCCATGCGCTGGTTGCAGACTCAAACTATCCCAAAATGCCATGATAGACATTGAGGCTATAAGAGGTTGATCCGCTCGTTTCAAGCCTATTTGATTGGGATGCAATTTGAATAATTTCCCTTGAAGCTTGACAGTGTTATAGTCTGTTTTCAAGCTAACGAGTTGCGAGAGGGTCGAGGCATTCGCTGAGCTGTTCATCCCGCGAAGATCTGCGACGATCTCCAGATTGTCATCACTGAGGTTTCGGTGCTCGTCCTTTTCTGCGTGAGGTATCAAGGACGTTTGAGAGATTTGGTCAACTAGGATGTGAGCAATTTGCAAGAATTTCTGGCCTGGGAGTTGATCTATGCCCGTAATGGTATCCAGAGGCTGGAGATCGACAATGGAGGTAGTTTCTGTTGGACCGGGCTTGAGGACTTCGAGTAGCTGCTTGATATCTGCCTCAGCTGCCGCCCGTTCGACTTCGTCGTGATGGTTCGCAGTTGTGGGGGGTTCTGGATGATACTCTGTCCACTGTCGTGAGAGCATCGGAGGATTCCTCTCGGCGGACTCCCTTGCCTTGGAGGATGAGCGACTATCCATCGAAATTTCGTCGTCCGAGGAGTTTGACGTGAGTATTCCCATGGTGGAGATTTTGAAAGCATCGGCACCGGATTTCAGGGCTACCGGGTTGGGGTCAAACCAGAAGTCTCCGTTCGCAGTATACTTGTAATCTCGGTCAGACGGTGTCATAGGATGTTGTACGCGTTCGTAGATGCTCGAAGAACGACGCTTGCCCGTGTTCGGATGTCGGTTTTCCTGCTGCGATGCTTTGGCCTTAACGGTGTCTGAGTCCCCAATTTGTTCTGGGGATTGATGGTATCTAGTATCGTCCTGGTCCGACATTAGAGTATCAGGCTCCGCGTTGACACTATTATGGTACTCTCTTCCGTCTGATGGGAGGCTCACGCCAATGTTCTCATCAAAGGCATACATGGAAGTGTCGTCTTGCTTTGAAAGGCCTTCGGCTTGATTAGAGAGCATGGCTGGAGTGGGTTTGGAATCGACGCCGGGACGGTCAAAGAAATCCCAATTTGGTTCGTCAGCTGTGCCCTCTTGTCCGAAATCGTCCTCTGCCATTTCCTCGAAGAGGTCCTCGTCATAGAATCCACTCATTGCGCTGTCATTGTTCAGTCCTTCGAGATCCTGCATTTCCACATCCGGTCGCCGGGCTGTGTCCGCAGGCTTGCCAGACATATTCGCGGGTGTCATCGCAATTCCATCGACGGAGGATAGCCCAGGAGTTGCATGAGTCATGACGGCATCTGGGGGAGTAGGATATATTGTCTGGCTGGCTGGAAAAGCTGGCGGCCCAAATGGTTGAAAATGTTCCGGGTCGTCAAATGTGCCATTCTCGGCAAACAGGGGTTCATCGTCGTCATCGGCCAAGTTTATCATGTCAATATCGCGCTTGATGTTTGGCTTCTCATTGATAGTCCCAGCAATCCAATCGCGGATGAATCTCATCGGGTCCTGATAAATGCCGAACGACTCGATCAAGGAAGCTGGTTCATGGTGAAGTACGAAACAAAGGCTTGCAGGCCAAAACAGCGTCCTCCAAGTGACTGATCCAGATTTCCCACTGTTCGGGGTCGAAACGCCAGTGGTGTCTGTAGAGAGTTGTTCTGAATCGTGGACAGCAACTTGTGCCTCCACCCAAGTAACGTCTCCGCTTCCCAGGGTGATGCTGGTGTTTTCCTCCAGCCACGTTGGGAGAATGTCTCGCCATAGCTCCTTAGCAGGATCTACATTTTGGCTACCAGTGACTTGATGGCCTTGGCCACCCTCGCTAGCCTTCGATGTAGGATCGGTTGCAACGCCTACCAAGCGTGCTACGCGGCCCAGAGGTGCAAGGTAGAGCGGAAAATTGGCTTGACTGGTATAGGGTTTGAAGTTGAGGTCTTTCTCGACGTCCACTACACGACGAAAGGAGTGCCGACGGTCCTTGACAATAGTCAAGATTATGTAGCCGCTTGGAATGACTTGCAAATCTACCCGGTGAAGACACCATAGGTCCTCGGGTGTGAAATGATCCACTTCGGAGTCCGACGAGCTTTGCTGTACCAAGTAAAGGTTGGGGCCGAAAGGCCGAAGTGCTGAGTCGCCATTGGGAAGCAACTTGATGCTTGAGATGATGGCAGTTGTAAACAGCCGGTAAAGTCGGACTTGCTCCGGTTTCATCAAGTCTGGCAACCGCGCGGCCGTTTTATAGGCGATCGTGCAGGTATTGCTGCGAAGGACATACCCAAATTTTGTCAACAAGGCCTTCTGGTCCTTTGCATTGGCAATGTCGACCTTTTTGTAGAAGGTAAACAGCTGGCGATTTTCGACATCTAGCGCAGCAAGGATAGAAGCTTCCCTGAACTGGCGCTCGGTCTTCTGGAGCCGTGCAAGAGCGCTTTCCGGTGTCGAGACAAACGCTGAAGGATCCTGCGATGGCGGAGTGGCCACAGTACAGACGATGTAGGCTATTTCACCAAAATCGTTCTTTCAACATCGTCAGCAAAGAAGATTACAGTTCTAGTTAATGCTCATACCAGAGTGTAAACGTTGGTGGAGCAATTGTTGGGAAACTCCAGAGAGGCAGCCATTCCGTCAACCATTGGGTGGTACCAATATCAAGTGCCGCTTGAAGCACGAAGAGAGAAAGCAACAGCCGAATTGGTGCATTTCACAGTGAAAGATATAGCTAGACTGCAAGGAAAGTCCGCAATCTGGGTGTTTGAGAAGGATCTTGATGACTCTGCTTCCTGTGCCAGGCTACAGCTAGGCGTGCTAAGAAGCAATTTCAATTGATGAGGACTGTGCTGTCGTTGGAGGTAAGCCAACGCGTTCGGCGTCAATGAATGTCTATCGAAGGAGCCAATCCAAGATATAGATGGGCTGATGGAAGAGGCCAGCTCTGATATAACTTGATGAAGATTTGCATTGACGAACAATCGAAGCAAACGCGCTTTTCGAGTTCAGCTGAAGTGGCCGAACAAGGCTGCACGTGATCGGCTGGGCGGCTAATCATCGGTAGAATATTTGCCCTGCGCCTTCAAAATTTCTCCAACGAATTTATTCAAAGACTGAATGCCACCAGGTATGTGAACTTCTCGATCGCGGTGCTTTTTCGCAGTAACCACTAACGTCGTCGCCTAGGAAAGACTTAATCGCCGACCTGCTCTCCCACTCGCTCCTCATTTTGTCATGTCCCGACCAGTCTCGCACTGAGGAAGAGCGAAAATGAGGCTCATCAATAGCGCGGTGCCAGTCTACACTGTCGCAGGCTCGTCGACCTCACGGGGTCTTCCAGACTGGCTGTCGCAAAAACAGAAGCGCAAGAAAGATCCGGAATATGCGAACCGAGTAGAACTATTGCAGGATTTCGAGTTCGAGGAAGCAAGCCAATGTGTCCGCATCAGCGAAGATGGCGAGTGGGTTATGAGTACTGGTACTTACAAGCCTCAAATTCACACCCATTATTTGCCTAATCTGGCCCTTTCGTGGACGAGACACACGAATACCCTCAATAAGACGTTCCTCTTTCTATCTTCTGACTACTCGAAATCCGTTCATCTTCAAGAAGACCGCTCTATCGAATTTCATACTCCTGGCGGCTGTCACGATTCCTTACGAATCCCACGATACGGTCGCGACCTGGCCTACGACAGGAGCAGCACCGAGCTGCTTGTCCCTGCTGTTGGAGTGAACGGCAATGGTATGGGAGAGGTTTTCCGCATCAATCTTGAGCAGGGACGATTCATGAACGCTTTTGAGGTCGACGTCGGAGGAGACGATCTCAACTCCATTGGTGGCGGCGCATTGCAAGGAGGCATTGGAGCCGGATCTGTCAACACTGCAGCCGTTGCTGAAGGGAGTCACAACCTCTTTGCGTTTGGAACGTCGATGGGGACAGTAGAATATTGGGACACAAGATCAAGGGCGAGAGTGGCCACTCTAGCTATGCCGTCGGAGTACGAGGGACGTCCAGAGGTCACAGCCCTCGACTTCCACCGATCTGGTATCAGCACAGCCGTTGGCACCTCCTCTGGGCTGGTCTATCTCTACGACCTGCGATCCCCTCTTCCGACATTGAAGAAGGATCAGGGTTATGGATATCCTATCATCTACCTTGAATATCTAACACCTTCAAGTACAACCCGGGCGTCAGTCTCTGAGCCTAAGATTGCTTCAGCCGACCGGCGCATTTTGAAACTATGGGATGAGCGAGACGGGGCACCTTGGACTTCGGTCGAGCCCGAGGTCGATATCAATTGCGTGGCTTGGTGTAAGGATAGCGGCATGTTCTTGACGGCCAATGAGGGCCGAAGTCAGCATTCCTTCTTCATACCCCAGCTTGGGCCCGCCCCCAAGTGGTGCTCTTTCTTGGACAATGTTGTCGAAGAAATGGCTGACGATCCCAATGATCCTCAAGCTTTCTCACGGTCGAAAGTGGGTGAGGTCTATGACAACTACAAATTCCTCACCTCGTCACAGCTTCGAATGCTCAATTTGGACCACCTCGTCGGAAAGACGAACCTACTCAGACCCTACATGCACGGTTTCTTCGTTGCTCAGGGCCTGTATGAAGAGGCTAGGCTGATTGCCAACCCGTCAAGCTGGGAAGAGGAAAGAGCCAAGCGCATTCAAGAGAAAATCGAGAAAGAACGCGAGAGCAGGATCCGTGGTCAGAAGAAGATCACAGCAAAGGTCAACCGCAAGATGGTGGAAAGAGTCCTCGAGCGGGAGGAGAAGAACGAGAGACGACGTGCTCAGCGAGTCTTGGCACAAGGTGGTGACGAAGCTGCTGTCACCGAGGCTGCAGAGCCTGAAGAAAAGGGATTGCTTGCAGATTCTCGATTTGCAAGGTTATTCCAGGATGAAGACTTCGCTGTCGACGAAACTTCAAGAGAATTCCAACAACTCAACCCAAGCACTAAAGTTCCCCCGGCTTCGAATCTGGATCGAGAGAAGGGACTGACAGCTGTTGAAGAGGAGGCGATCGATGAAGTTCCGGGATCAAGTGATGAGGATGCTACTGACGAAGACGAGGCTGGAGGCAGATATCGAACCACGGACCGGATATCTACCGCAGATTACAAGCGCCGACACACGAAGAACCAGAAGAAGCGCGATCATGTGCGGATGCAAGTCTCTTCATCCGCGAAGAACAATAATGTCAGAACTCATCAAGATCGGTCGTTTGGATCTCGAGCCGATAACATGCAACCGGTTCAGCGAACGACGCGTCGCAACCGACTCGGCGGCGCTGCAGGTGACAAAGTGATCACGTTTGAGCCTAGCACAAAGAAATCCAAAGCTCCACCGAAAACTAACCGCAGCGCCCCAAGACAGGACCGAAGAAGCGCGTCCGGAAACACTTTCAGACGGATGTAAATGCATCAAGCCATTGGATTTACTAACCACGCTCAACCTGATGTCTCGTATTATGCGTCCCAGGCAGTATCGCTGCTATCGACGCTTGGAGCAAATGAATGTAATGACATCTAATAATCATCCTGGAATGAACACCTTGATGAAGTCGGCGGAGGCCGCCACGGCACCGAAGATCCCGCCCTCCATTTTCACTGATTCCAGTGCGAAACGACGCAAGCCTGGAGTTGCAGCGGCCGTCGCATCTTCGAGCACAACACAGTCGAACCCACGATCATTCGCTTCACGCATCGTGCTGGAAACGCAAACGTCTGTCGTGACTCCCGTAAGGATCAGATTCTTGATCCCTTGAAGACGGAGAATATGCTCGAAGTCGGTATGAGCGAATGATCCACGTCCAGGCTTGTCGATGACCACTTCCGTTGGAAGAGGTTTCAGCTCTGGTATCACATCGTGGCCGGGCTCGCCTCGAACGAGGAATCTTCCAAGCGGGCCTTTGTCGCCGATACCGAGGTGCTTGGGATTGTTTCGGGATCGAAATCTCTCCCGGCTGGAGAGCGTGGAAAGGTCGGGTCTGTGGCCTACATGACAAAGTCAGAAGGAGGAAGAAGAAGAAGAAGAAGGAGCTTGGGAATGAAGGATTGGGATAGTGTAATTTCTGATACCTTCCCGTGTGAAGAATACTGGCAATGATGATTTGCGTGCCGCGTCCAGCAGGTCTTGGAGGACTGGGATTATGGCTCTGGCGTCGGACACATCATAGCCTTGACAGTCGAAGTATCCTCCTTTCTCACAGACTAGTTTTGTTCTCGGTCGGCGAGTTGTACGAACGTGCTGTTGGAGGGTGTCACTCACAGTCTCGTTGCATGTCAATGACAACCAGCGCAGTGGTCTGTGGACTCAGCGACGCATCGTGAGGCCAATTGTACGGACTGGCCACAATTTGGCCGCTGCCAGCACTCCACGCTTGATCCTGCATGGATTGGACGAGGATCGTCAATATAGCTCGTTCTACCGGAGCAAATATGGACTTCGTGGTCTAAGAAGTTTTTTTTTCAAGGTGATTCGCTCATCTCCGCAGGACGTGCGCCTCGCTCGTTTCCGTTCGATAATACGTTCTTTGGGCCAGTATCAGTCGCGCGCAGAGCGCGTTGGTATCTTTATAAAAGCGCATAAATCTAAGTAAGTGGCCCGTCTTGACTCTAGTCATACTTATCGCTTCCCCATGGCGCAGCCAGGTATATCTGTAGACATAAATCTACTATTCCAGAGCATAGAACCACAATCCTTTGCCAACGCAAGAGGCCGCTGGCTTAGCATGTTACCGTCCTGCAGTCCTGAAGGTGGTCCAGTACTAGTAAGCTAATTCCGAGGTGGTTGCTTCAGTTGACCTGCCCCGGTTCCCGGGCAGCGCTCCTTCGCCTTTCAAGTCCAGCTTCGACATCTGCATTAACTCTTTCAATCGCCTCTCGTGCACCATCCCACTTTTTCCGGCCGCCAGGCCGTTTCGGCTCGAACAACCGATAGACGTGTGGCGACCAGATCCCATGGACCAGCAGATTGGAAAACTTTCGGTCCTGCCACCATAGCTTCCAGGCCGGTAGGCTGAAGAAGTCCAGGTACTTACCGACCTCACAGCCCGCGGTGTCCTGCACCCATGGTAGCCATTGCCCACTGCGCACGCTCAGCTTGACGAACTTCCCATGTGGGCTGAGAGCGCGGAGACTCCTGACGTAGGCTAAGTGATCGGCGTACCATTGTTCCATTTCCTTCTGTGGCGGAAGAGAGGGCGTGTCCGCTCGATTTGACCAGATCTGCGCAAGGGCCATAGATGTCAGGTCAGAAAGGAGGAACGCTGGAAAAATAATGAGCGCAATACCAATGAAAGCTAGACTGTCGGGATGGTCGAGGGAAAAGATGTTCTGGTATAATCTCGGTGTCTCGTTGTCGTGGCCACCCGGGGCGGTGGGTGAGATGGTCGGGTCGAATTTGCCTAGGATAGAATAATCTATTGCATAACCCGTGCAGAAAATAATACTATCGACAGCGACGACGGTGCCGTCTTCGAGTCCGACTTGGTCGTTTCCTATTACTCGTTGGGGCGCGTGCGTGGATGTGATCGTTCCAGTGCGTAGGGCAGGGATCAAACTGTCAGACACGGTTGGATTCTGGTGTAGCAATGATGGTGCCGGATCCAGACGCCATGCTGGATCGAGTTGGCCGTATTGTTCGCGTTGAATGCCGTTGACCAAGTTGTCCATGAATTTGACCGAAAGGCTAGGCCCCAGGCGATCGATGGTGTCTTTCATTTCCAGTTTGCGGTAGTTGAGTGTATGATCGAGCGAGTTGCCGTCCTTGAGGAAGCGCGGGAGCACAAGCGAGCCGTGCCTATGGGAGAGGTAAATTTTACTGGCACTGCCAACGAGGGAAGTTGCGGTGTCGGCAGCGGAGTTGCTGGCCCCTACCACCAAGACCCTTTTGCCCGTGAAAGCCTGCGGTTCCTTGAATGCTATAGAGTGCACAATCTCGCCACCGAAAAGATCGAGGCCAGGCAAATCTGGGAGAATGGGTTTGTTATGCGGGCCATTTGCCATGGCGACTTTGTCGAATGTGAGAGTTTCTGGCTTGAAAGTGTTTGGCGACTGAATAGTCAGCCGCCAGCAATTCTTGATCTCATCGCGCTCGATGGATTGCACATTCGTGCAGAGCCGAAGATGTGGACGAAGGTTGAAGGCATCGGCGTAGTTGTTGAGATATTGGTCGACCTGGGCCGCGCTGGGGTATGAATCTGTGCCGGGTGGGAAGGCGAAGTCAGTGAAACAAGCTCGCTCTCGGGACACGTTGACGACGGTTGAGGGTAGAGCAGAGACGTGATGTTGCGCCGAGTAATGCCATATACCACCGACGTAGCCGTGTCGCTCGAAGCCTGTGACACGGAAGCCTTGTTCAAGGAGGTTTTTCACTGTGACGAGGCCTTGAGCGCCGAGGCCAATGACGGCTACCGATGGTTCTTCAACGGCGGCCATGTTCGAATTGCGATATCGAGTGTCCAGGTGGGCCAGGGAAGACGCGGGTTCTTCATCCAGAGTGTAATTATCTTGTATATAGATCGAATGTGTCAGTGACTAGTGTTGAGCATCGGAGAGGCGACCGTGCAATGGCTGTTGCCAAATTGCCCCTAGAAGGTGTTCATATTGGATGCTGGCGAGTACCCAGATACATGGGAACGGCCTGTGGACAGAGCTTGTTAGTCAACAGCAGTCCGCCATGGACGGCGAGGGTTTGTGCTAGTTGTGTTGCTACACAGATGAGGTGGCCGTGGGTGGCTATGATGGCTTCATCCTCACGAGGCTGAAGGGACGAGGCTGAATGACGTCGATGCGGAGAAATTCCAGATTGGGCATAGTGTGGTCTCCCTCAAATGTTTCCCAGCCATTGGACATCCAATACAACCCCCAGCTGCACATCCCTCTGTCGACGTGAGCTTGGACTGTTATGGTGCTGCTATGACCTTCCATGTCGCTGTCCAGTACGGATCATTACATATCTAGACTTCCTCAGAGGCAGAGGACAACATGTGCTCGGCCCTGACACGCCGTTGAACATCCTCGAGACAGAAACATGCCAATTACTACCGTCGGTGTTGGCGCTGCAGTCACGCCTACGGTCGTCAAGACTTGCATATCCCATGTACTGAACCTCTCACATTTACTCCGAGAAAGCAATCCGCTGACGAAATTATCAGTATACGAACCGAAAGCCTCGACGGGATAAGCCCACCGCCCACATCTCTTACGATGAAGGTCTGCATCTGATCCGGCGCTTCCTGGACTATGCCTCCCATCATACCGTTGAAGATTTGCAAGCGTTCACTGGGCAGTGGGTACCGAATCCCTCCTGGGTCAGGACGGAGAACATCGCCATCGACTCCGAACACATAACCAAAGCTGCAAGAACAATTACCCTTCAATTAGGTCAAACTGGCGTTGAACAGATAGGAGGCACCCAATGGTGGCAGTGGCGGCCAAAAGGGACCGAATTAAAAGGAGAATGGATTGAGATGCGGTCACATTACAATGAGCAGAAGCGGAAGGGCACGAGAAGTCGGAGAATAATGCTCTATGTTCATGGCGGAGCTTACTTCTTTGGAAGTGTCGACGAACACCGATACCAAATGCAAAGGCATGCCCGAAAGCTCAAGGCCCGTGTCTTCGCTCCTAGATACAGGCTGGCACCACAATACCCCTTTCCGTGTGGACTTCAGGACTGCTTAGCAGCGTACTTCTATCTGCTTACTCTCCATGAGCCTTCCGAGATTATTCTGGCTGGCGACTCTGCGGGTGGCGGTATGGTGGTGTCAATATTGTGTTTACTCCGCGACCAAGGGCTTCCAATGCCAGCCGGTGCTGTACTTATTTCGCCTTGGGTCGACCTGACCCATTCATTTCCGAGTTTGTCAGGAAACGCCGAACAGGACTATATCCCAGCTCATGGATTTATGCATAAGCCGTCTGCCTCGTGGCCGCCTCCAAATGACGAAGAGTTGGTAAAGATCAATGACCTGGCTAGAGGCGGTAACGGCTTAGGAATTGCAAGTTCTAAACCTTCAGAGCCAGAAGACTCACATTCGGCATCTTCAGGACAGGCTCAAGAGACCCGCCCAGATGTAGCTGTACCAATCAAGGGCGACGGAGAAGTCACACCGGTGCCTCAACTGCAACTTTCGATTGACCTCGATGGGGAACGAATTGTCTTGAAAGACCAAATCCAGATGTACACCACAAACCAACTTCTAGCACATCCACTTGTATCTCCTGTTTTGCAGCCCTCGCTTGGCGGACTACCGCCGGTGTCAATCTTGACAGGCGGTGGTGAGATTCTTCGCGACGAGCAAATATATCTGGCGCACAAAATGGCCAATCCTTCGAAATACCCGCTAGGCAGCGCTTATCGGTCGAGATACGACCCTGACGACTCAAACTTGAAGAAATACAGGCCAACACCCGTACAACTACAGGTCTGGGAGGATCTCTGCCACGTTGCGCCAACGCTGTCTTTCACTCGTCCTGCTAAACATATGTACCGATCCATAGCTCAGTTTGGAGCTTGGGCACTAGCAAGAGCACAAAGAAGAGCTATAGACATTCTGGATGATGACGACATCTCCATCATTTCGACAGAAAGCGACTCAGACTCCACAAGCGGTGAATCAGCAGCCATGCCGACAAAACACGGGCTTGACCCAAGCAAAACGATAGGTTTGGTAGGCCGAGCAGGCGATCCTCTACCACCTTTCCAGAACAATATGCTCCGTCAACGCGTCGATCGTGCTGGGAAGATATATCCTCTTGAAGAACCTCATGATCTGCCTGGGATGCAAATGCACCCCGACGAGGTGGGTGTGGTCAAGCCCGGGCCGGTGAGGAAGTGGCTAGACGCGAGAAAAGTTTGGGACAGTAAATACGCCAGTGTAAGCAAGAAGGTACAGAAAGAACGAGTCAAGGCACTGGCCAGTGGTCATATCAGACCGTTTGAAAGCGGAGAAAGGCCTCCTGCTTGTGCGCTTGCCAGCCGACGAACACACCAAGATCTAGTCGTCAAAAAGAAACGCAAGAGTAATCTATTGTTCATGTGGTCCATGTGGGGTTCCAAACATGATGAGATGACCCTCAAGAGAGAGCAGGAGGCGGTGGAAAGGGAGCCATCCCAGCCTGAGCTCACAGAAACGGAATTACCCACAGCTTCACCCCGAGGTACAGACGGAGAAGTCGAAGCAGTACCAGCTTCTGCTGCGGAGGCGACTTCGCCCATAGGTCGCGCACGAAGGCGCTCACGAAGGAGAAGCATGAGTTCGAAACGGCAAGCAAGCCAAAGCAGAGTTCGTGGGCGAGCGCGTACTATATCTGTGGCGGACAAGGGACAAGTTGAAGGCCAGCATTTACCACCTGCTGTTCCCGTAGTGCAGACGGCACCTGAACCGGCAAGCACTCCTGGCGAACCTCCTAAGATAGTGACGAATTCGGCGGATGACGAGCCCCGCCCACAATCGCCTGAGTCCGCACTCCTTTCTGCTGGATTCATGCCAAAATTCAAGACGGTGTCTCATATCCGTGATGACTCGGCCAGCATGAGAACTGGGAAGAGTGTGGGAGTGGCGAGTGATGACGCGAGTACCCGGGCTTTGTTCGTCGAGGCCGGCGTCATATCAAGGCTTGAGAGCGAACCGGGAGCGCAAGGCTCCACTGGGGCCATGCCCAAAGGAAGACCTGGAAGTATGCTGGCGAGTGAAGTTGGGACTTCCATCACTGATTGGGATGGAGTCAATGGAAATGGCGCTCAACACGGCTCTGACACGCCTCGAAGTCAGCGTAGTCTTGACCGGCTGCAAAGTCACCAGCAAGATGAAGGGATGGGCCGGTTGCAGCCTCTCCGGAGCCCAAGCTCGACTGCCGTGGTGAGGGCGGAGGGTGTCGTTGGTATGATGCGCGATGATCATGGTGAAGCACAGGTCGCAGAGAAAGATATGATGAGGAAAGAGGAGGACTCGGCAAGTCTATCACACGGCGTTGACGGTGCAAGCAGCCACGAGGCTGACGGTGCTCTCACAAGAGGTCCAACGGACAGACCTCGACTGTATGATCGCTCCGAGACGGCGTTTCAGACGGCCATGGAAAAGTTGGCTTAGACCTGACATGACACAAGCCTTTGCTTAGTGCACTATGATTAAGAGACATTCAAAATATTATAGTCTTAGATTTTCCATCAAGCATCCGTATCGAGGCGCATGAATTTCACAAAGCACACTGGCATCAGGGAGGGTACTCTTCTCCTCTGCGCAGTGCCACCAATCCTGTGAATTTAGAGAATACACAAGGTCGCATGATGGGGCTGTGATCAGGTCCAAGCAAGGCCAATCTTCCTTGCGACCTTCTCCGCTATACGCTCATAGTATCCCGTGTTGACTTTAACACCGCTCGCCTCCTCGGCGACGATAGTCGGCATCCCCCTATCCGCATCGGCGCATATCCTCGCGTCAAGCGGGACATCGCCCAGAAACTCCACGCCCAGCTCTTTGGCCTTGCTCTCTGCGCCGCCCATCCCGCCTCCTCCTCCTCCGGCCCCGTCGTGTCCGGAATGTCCATGTGTATTTGCGTGTGCGAAGATCTTGGTCTCTGTGCCGCAATGCGGGCATACGAAGACGCTCATGTTCTGCACCATGCCCAGCACGTTTATATCCATCTTGCGGAACATCTCGACACCTTTCACGGCGTCTTTGAGCGCGATGTCCTGGGGTGTGCTGACCACCACAGCGCCCGAGAGCTGCACCTGTTGGCCGATGGTGAGTTGCACGTCACCCGTGCCTGGGGGCATGTCCAGCACGAGAATGTCGATGCCCGGGGACCAATCGACTTCGTGCAGCAGTTGTTGGAGTGCTTTCATGACCATCAGCCCGCGCCAGGCGACGGGCGCCGACTCCGAGGGGAGGAGGTAACCCATGGACATGCTCCGCAGGCCATGAGACGTCAGCGGAATGAGTTGCTGAGATTGTGTGAGGGATGGTTGGGAAATCGAAGGGTCGGTCAGGCCCAGGAGTGTGGGCACGCTGGGTCCGAAGATGTCGGTGTCGAGGATGCCTGTGCGCAGGCCGTGGCGCGAGAAGGATAGGGCCAGGTTCGCGGCGAGCGTGGATTTGCCGACGCCGCCTTTCGCGGAGGAGATGGCGATCGTGTGCGCGACGTGTCGGAGAGGGCGTTTGGCGGGGAGGCCGCGTTGAGCGCGTGGGATGGTAGGTGGTGGAGGCTTGTCGCCCCGGCGGGGGAGGCCCTAGGGAGTGAGTAGGTAAGTAAGTGGTGAGCTGGTTTAACGACGGGTCGGGTGGATGCACAACGTGGTGGTAATGGTGGTGGTGGTGGGAGGGAAGGGTGAATTGTAGATGTGCAGGGCTCAGCGGAGGGGACGGCTGTCCTTACTAGGGGATTTTCATGGCTCAAGGTTCTCGCGCATGTGCTGAAGCACTTGCGCATAGTCTTGATGCCTTCGTGCTGGGATAGATGTCGTCTGGGTGCAGCCGGGACAGATTTCAATGCATGATGTGCTTGGTGTAGAAGAGAGAAGAAATCATTCAAAGAACGAGCAGTGAACGAGCTCGCTAGATGCAGTTTTGGAGAAGTTTGAAAAACGCGGAGAACAAATTGATGTCATCCACAAATCACAATTCCACACTTTAAACCACCGCAACGCCTTCGATGTCAGTTGATAAGCTCAAATACATGGGTAGAAATATGATGCTATCGTCAATAGGCCTCCAGGGAAGACGGCAAAACCTCCACTACCCATTCTTCATAGTTCATCCCCGCTGATCATCTCATCGCTATCGGAAATTGTGGATTTGCTCAATACTTTGCTCGATTGCCTCGAAGCATCGTTGGTTTCGTCCTTCTTTGCTCTAGGACGCCTTTTCGACGCCGAAGAACCGATGCCTCTTGCCTCCTCCCAGTCCTTCTGCTCGCTGGCGGTACGACCATGCTGTCTGATGATCTTTATAGCCTCGTAGCGTTCACCTCGGAAACCATGGGACGTGGCCATGTGCCATTTGGATGTTAAGATGGAGCTTGAATACCTTTTCGCATAGCGAACAGAGCTTCGGCTCGTCCAGAAGTTCAGATGCTTCCGAGTGGCCTTCGCATAAATGATTCTTCCACTGGGTCTGGTTAGGAAACTTCTGAGTGCTGTCACACTATGATACTCGAGCACAAAGTCCAGCTTTCATGAACTCGTGGGTTAGCATATGTCTGTCGAGATCCGATTGATATATATATGGCCCATATTCGCATTTGCCTTCGACAGCATAAGGACATAGAAACTCAATGGTTTTTGGAGGATACTTCTCTTTGGCTTCCAGCCGATATCGAGCTTTGCTTTCTTGGCCTGGCAGGACACTCGATGTGGATTGTAGGCGTCATGCATGCGTTGTAATATCTGCCAGAGGTCTCCTTGCTTTTATGACCCGTTGCTCTTGCGGTGCCATCGGTAGACACCTTCACCAGCGCGGGATCAACGCTTACAAGATCCTTCGCTGAGCCTCTCCGAATGTCATCCGTGAGAAGCCGTGGAATGAAGCCAGATGTATTTCCCAACGCTGCGATGGTCTTGTAGGCTTGGTGAGACACTGCAGGCTATGTGATATGAACTCTCCATGACTCGTCTCCCTTGTGATAGCACGGAACATGGTGGGACTTGGGTCTTTAAATCGAAGGCGACGGTCTTGCAGTCATTGGGCAGCGGCAAGGACTCAGGCCACCGCCATGCTTCGTCGCCTTCGACTCTTAGCTCAAAATCCTCCAACTTCATATATATATACTGTTCTTTGGGGATGTGGTAGTGCTTTTGTGCTTTGATGCCATAATATCTCCAATTCGACAGTCAAGAGCGACCATCGTTAGCAGTGGCAACAGTTTGACGATCGCTGCGTCAAAGCCAAAGACACCGTCATGGATGGCATTTGTCCAGTAGGTTCTGAAAATCTTTCGACAAATGTTGAAGGTGACAAACTGTCGAGGACGCTGGATTTCTTTGTGTAGCCGTAGGGATCATCATTGAGGCACTGATTGATCCTGCTCTCGAGCCGTATTTTATATAATACCAAACGAAGACGAGCAAAGTTAGATCTCTTAAGATGAAACTTGAACAGAAGGGAAGAGAGGGGGAAGAAGAGAGGGGGAAGAAGAAAGGATGAAGAAGAAATGGGTAAGCGACGGGGACAGTACTTGGTGGTTGACACAGATATTGTAACCGCAGTGGCGTTCGCTCACTTAACTGCACTCAGTTAAAGAAGAACTTGTTCCATGGGATTCATTCAATCAGTCGTTTCAACTCATCGAGATCAGCTTGTGAGAAGTGGTCGACTATTTCTGAGTAGTAAATGCATTCGTCGATCCTACACGGTGTGTCTCAAGCGGGACAGTGGCGCTGTTCTGAATTGAAGCGTCTTCCGTCGATCGTATTTTCACTTTTGGAGCTTCCCAACAGGCCTTCAACATCCCTCTAAATCGACAAACCTATGGGGCTTGTTACTGCCTCGAGCAGTCCCGCACAGACTGACTGCCTCTATTTGACCGTCTCATGCAATTCCCTCGGCTGCGCTTGTGCTTGTCCAGCCTGCGACTCAGCCTCCTCATCATCTTTGCTAGGCAGTCTCTGAACTGTGCCAAACACGACCTCCATTTCCTCCAAACTCTTACCCGTGGTTTCTTTCAAGAAGAAGTAGCTGTAGACGATGATGGCATAGTTGAATATCGCGAACATCAAAAACGTTCTCCAGCCGAGATTGTCGATGGCATGTGGAGTGATCTGACTCATGACGAAGTTGAACAGCCACTGACTCGCTGCACCAGTGGCGATACCGATCTCTCTGATGCGATTCGGGAAGATTTCTCCAATATATAGCCAAGGGAGCGGCCCCCACGACATGTTGAATGAGAAGGCTTCGAGGTAGACCATGGCAATTCCTGCCGCTCCAGAAGCAGTGATTCCAGTTGCGGAAGCCTTTGGAGGGTGCTTGTCAACAATCAGGGCAATGATGAGCATGAAACTGCCCATAGCAAACGCCCCAGCCATGAATGGGATACGTCGGCCGACCCTCTCGACGAAGAAGATTATGAATGTCAACACGCCTGCCATCTTGAGAATTCCAAAGAAGCCCGTGATGAAGAGGGACTTGTTCCCGGCACCAATGGTGGCGAAGATCTGAGGAGCGAAATATGCGAGACTGGTGTTGCCGGTAAGCTGTGCACAGAGCTGAATGGTGATAGCGACGAACATCCGATATCTGTTGGACGGAAGGAGAAGTTCTTTCCAGGTCAGGCCTTCGGACTCGCGGATTTCAAGTTCAACACCAGCTAGAATCTCCGAGAACTCTGCCCTGATTTCAGGACTGTCAACACCGCCGCGGACCCACAAGAGTGAAGCATACGCTTCTTCGTTGCGGCCTTTCTTTGCAAGCCATCGGGTGGACTCTTTGACCAGGAGCATGCCCATTCCAAGTAGAGCACCTGGCACGAGCTGCAGGCCAACAGGAACCTGCCATTGCGTGGAGGAATTGTTGGAAATGCCAGCACTTGCAGCATAGTCAACCCAGTAGCTGACGCAGACTCCTGTAGCGAAAAAGAGTTGGAAGCAAGAACCGAGCTTGCCTCGGATCTCTTTGGGGGCCATTTCCGCCGAGAACATGGGAACGAGCACAGTCGCTGCTCCAGTTCCCAGACCAGCGATGACTCTGCCGGCGTAGAAGAGTCCGATGGAATGGCTATTGACGATTTGCATGATGGTGCCGATGCAGAAGACGACCGAGGCAATGATGAAGCCCCAGCGGCGGCCCAGCCAAGAGGTCAGTGGCCAGATTCCGAAACAGCCAAAGAATGCTCCGGCTTGCAGGATGGAGACACAATTCGAGTTGACTTGTGTCTTTTCGGCCTTGGTATAGCGGAAATCATGCTGGAAAGATGCGAGGGTCAAGACACCTCCCACTATTCCTGTATCGTAGGCGAATAAGAACGAACCGATGCAGCATAAAGCGACGACGTAACAAGCTCGAAAGAGCCCGAGTCTCTTGCCCATGGCGACGTCCTGTTCGGATCGAGGTGGTGAAGATTCCGAAGACTCGCCCTGCTGGAGAAGCCGGTAACCAGCTGAAGAGGACATGGCTGGCTTTATGTATGGAGGAGGGTTAGCGATGCTACTCTGTCGGTTGTGGTCCCAGGCCACCGGGCGTTGGGCTGCTTTGACAGGGGTAGTGTTGCACACAGGAAAGGGTCAGACGATCACGCAATATAGGCGGGGAAAGGATGTAGAGGATCGAAAAGGTAGAGACGTGTGTCGATCAAGAGTAGTCAATCGGTTTGGAGATGGATGAATGGTCAGCTCGACCGTTAGTGAACCGCCGTCACATTGATCCTGATCATGGTCCGCAGTCGAAGGCTCATGCACGAGTGTCCAATGGCTTCAAGTTGTAAAAGATCTTCTCGACCATGAGGCGTGGATGTAAGGCGGAGGAAGATTGGTTGATGCTGGAAGCACGCAATTCAACTGATACCATGTCACGTACCACCACGCCAGGTACCTAGGTACCTTCTCACGCTTCTCCTGGATGACGTCCGTACAAGCTGTGCCAAGCTCTTACATGGCTACCTCCAACCGAACCCTTCAAGCACGCAGTATTGCTTCCGCATTATATATATATAGGTTGGCATGCTTGATATGTCTGCTGGAGTTTCTCCGAAACCCCGGAGTATCAACTCGCACGACTTCTAGCATGCAGAGGGTATGGACTTCTGACTTCCCAGGCTCTGAGATGATGGGCGGCAAGACCAACCCCCACATCTAGCTGTTCGGCAAGCTGATGCCGCGTGTGACTGCGGAGTCTATGAAGTCGCGTGCCCATACGGAGTGCGACCGAAGCGTCCCACCTTCAAATCCTTGACGAACTTGACCTCGTCGCATCAGCTAATCCGAAGTGGAAATCACTCCGTTGCAATGATCCTCCAATATCGAAGCCTCCCAAATGTACCTGGCTGCTTTGCTATGTGAGTCCTCCAATGCCCTGACTGTGTACAGCAGCAGACCTCACTCCTGACGCGAACCATGGCTTCCAAACGGCCCAACTTCCTCATCATTGTCGCGGATGACATGGGATTCTCGGACGCTGGCTGTTTCGGCTCCGAAATTCGTACCCCAAGCCTTGACCGACTGGCAAAGGACGGAATCCGCCTAACTGGGTTCCACGCTGCGGCAGCATGTTCTCCTACAAGAGCGATGATATTGACAGGAACAGACCATCACATTGCCGGGCTGGGGAATCTGATAGAATGGACCGACTTCTCGGGGCAGAACTTTCCGAAAGGAAGCAAGTATTCCACTGCTCCTCAAAGAGGAATGCCTGGTTACGAGGGCTACTTGAACTCGCGCGTCGCTTCCCTACCGGAAATAATGAAAGACGGAGGATATCACACTGTTATGGCTGGGAAGTGGCATCTAGGTCTGACCAAAGAACGAAGTCCTCATGCTCGTGGATTCGATCGCAGTTTGGCGCTTCTCCCAGCCTGCTCGAATCACTACGACTGGCGACCTGACGTCGACTTCCCAAAGTTCTTGGAGAAGAGCGTCATTGCCCTTCACATGGAAGACGATCACTATGTCAAAGACCTACCCGAGGGCTGGTACTCGAGCAATGGCTACGGCGACCGCATGCTCCAGTATCTGAAAGAATGGAAGGAGGACAAGGAGCTCTCGCAAAAACCCTTCTTCGCTTACTACCCTTTCTCTGCGCCCCATTGGCCTCTACAGGCGCCTAAGGAGTACATCGATCATTATCGAGGCACATACAAGGACGGTCCTGAAGCACTGCGGCAAGCGCGTCTGAAGAAGTTGATCGAGCTGGGCATGATACCCAAGAACGTCCGGCCTCATCCCGTGGTTGCAGATGAGGTCCAGGGCTGGGATCAGATGGACGACTACCACAGGAAAGCTTCATGTACGGCAATGGAGGCCTATGCCGGTATGGTGGAATGTCTCGACCACAACATCGGCCGTGTCACGGACTACTTGGAGTCAATCGGCGAGCTAGATAACACCTATGTCATGTTCTTCTCCGATAATGGAGCCGAAGGAGCAGCATACGAAGCATATCCCATGGTTGCAGGCGAGCTGATGGCCCATATTGGCAAGTACTACAACAATTCGCTTGACAACATCGGTAACAAGGACAGCTTTGTGTGGTACGGTCCTCGATGGGCTCAAGCAGCAACAGCACCGAGCAGACTGTACAAGGCATACACAACTGAGGGTGGTGTTCGTGTACCTTGTGTGATCCGATACCCTCCAATCCACAACGACCGCAAAGGTGAGATTACCGAGACTTTCGCAACTGTGATGGACATTGCGCCCACAGTGTTGACCCTAGCGGGGATCAAACATCCATCGCCCGAATGGAAAGGTCGTCAAATCGTCCCGATGCGTGGCAAAGACATGATGCCTTGGCTCGAAGGGAAGCAACAACTCGTCCATGACCCCTCCGAGGCCTTTGGTTGGGAGCTGTGTGGCCGCGCGGCGATTCGAAAGGGTAATTGGAAGGCCGACTTCATCCCTTTCCCTAAGGGGACGTCAGCTTGGCAGTTGTATGATCTGTCCACAGACCCCGGTGAGACCGAGGATCTAGCCACAAAGCATCCTGAGATCCTGCAAGAGCTGCTCGCCTTGTGGGAGACATACTGCGAAGAAACTGGTGTGGTACCTCTTCAGCCAGAGCTTGGTGCTCGGTGGCACGAGGCTGTCGAGGCACAAATGAAAGAAGGCGAGTGGATCGAATATGAGTACTGGAAGCCAGGCGCCCTAGAGGAAGATAGACGCAGCCAGCACGTTCGACAGATTGCTCAGGTTGCGGATCCCAGAATGAAGGAGGCTACGGGAGGACAGCCTGTGAATGTTGGCGTAGAATGAATACGACCATATAGAAGAATAGAATATCACAATCACAATCCTTCAGCAGAGTCTGCACCACCGTTGTATTCTCATGTCGACCTTTTTTCCGTCGTCAAATGGCTCCTTGCGTAGTCCTTGCTCACATTCGAACTTGTAACTAAAGTCCATATGCTCTGCAGTAACTGATATAGTGTGGAGTAAATATTCCCGATGCGCTCGCCTACACCCCGAGCACTTCCCTCAGCCCTTCCCTCAACTCTTGCAACCAGAAGACGAACTGCACCAAACCCAAACTCTTAATATTTTGAAGCGAAAGAACTTCTGTACTCGTCTCGCCCTGGATGTACTCTCCTTCTAGATCTTTGCGCTCTTCCACCTCTCTAGACCACCATGTCCGATCCTCCGCGCCGAAGACGTTCGTCGTTTGCCTATGACCCTGCCAGAGACACTTTCAAGGAAATCCCTGACACAAGAGTGGAAGAAGCTATTGCAGAGGAAGAACCTGAGAACCCGAGAAAGCGCGGGAGGACAGCCTCACCTGCAAGAGAAGGCAAGGATGGAGGCCAAATGAACAGTGTTCAGGGAACCTCTCCAAATTCGAAGAAGCAACCCATTGCCTTGTCCCCCGCCAGACAAGATCGCAAGTCACCACGGCCCGCTATGAACGGAACTCGTCATGATAAACCCGCACCAAGAACGCCAGCTGATCTTCCACGCATACCACGCAAACCGAGAGAAGAAGGCGAAGTGTCTACGTCACGTCCTACGCCCACAGCGTTCAGTAGACGGCGCGAACCAGAGGACCGAAGAAGCAGACCGAGATCACGGTCTCCTCGCCGCCGTTCGCCTTCCCATATCTACCGCGGCCGATCACCGCCCCGAGAACGTCGCAAATCTCCTTCACCTATCCGTGATTCCCCACCTCGGGAGATCATTCGTCCAGGCGGAGCTCGTCGCGGACAAGGACGCAATGTCTTGGCTGAGATGGAGCGTCTTCATGCTGAACGGCAAAAGCAAGCTGAAGCCCAAAGAGTAGAACACAATCGGGGTGTTCAAGAAGTGTCAAATCAGTTCTACAATGCGCGACCTGAGTGGGTGAAAGAACGTGGGCGCGACTGGCGTAGAAACGAGTCGCAAATCAAGGGTCTACGCAGCTTCAACAACTGGGTCAAGTCATGTCTGATTCACAAATTCAGCCCGGTGGAGAAACAGGAGGTCGAAGAATTAGGATGGGGGGAAGAGGCGAAACAGCCGGAAGAACAAAAGCCTCTGCTCGTTCTTGACCTCGGATGTGGAAAGGGAGGAGACCTAGGCAAATGGCAGCTTGCTCCTCAAGTCGTTGGACTCTACGTCGGTCTTGACCCGGCCGAAACGAGCATTTCTCAAGCACGCGAGCGATATCAACAAATGCGGCGAGGCCGTCGACCCATCTTTGACGCTCGCTTCGTTCCACAAGACTGCTTTGGTGCCTGGATTGGTGATGTCGGCATTGTCCGGGAAGTAGGCATTGATCCGAATGCTGGCAATGGACAACCGAGCCGCTGGGGTGGCGGAGGGTTTGATGTGGTGGCGGCCATGTTCTGCATGCACTATGCATTCGAGTCAGAAGAGAAGGTGAAAATGATGCTACGCAACGTGGCAGGATCGCTAAAGAAAGGTGGACGATTCATTGGCGTCGTGCCGAACAGCGACGTCTGCGCCGAGCATATCCGGGCTTGGTTCGCTGACAAGGAAGCGAAGAAGACCAATGGCCACAACGGCGTGCAAAAGGAAGAAGGCGAGGCAGAAGACGAGGATGGTCCGTCTTGGGGCAATTCAATCTACAACGTCCGGTTTCCATTAGATCCCGTGCGTCCGTTGCAACCGGATGGATCGTTTCGGCCACCCTTCTCGTGGAAGTACACGTACTGGATGGCTGAGGCGGTGGATGTGCCTGAATTTGTGGTCCCCTGGGAGGCATTCCGCGCAATTGCAGAGTCTTATAACCTCGAGCAGAGGTATAGAAAGCCATTCTTGGATGTGTGGGAGGGCGAGCAGGGTAATCGAGAGTTGATGGCTCTCGCGTCAAGGATGGGCGTGACAAGGTATGAGGGGGGGGATTTGCTGCTGAGTCCTGAGGAGAGGGAAGCTGTTGGGTTCTATCATGCTTTTTGCTTCGTCAAGGTCTGATTGGCGAGCATGAAGAGACGAGGGAAGCCAGGCCAGCTTATCCACGACGTCAGGAAGCGTGCAATTGGGATCTCGCAGAGGCTTTTCCATAGTCATGAGAGTTTGTATGACAATCAATAATATCAAAAGGGTCTGGTCTGCACGAGATGGCCCAAAATGAGAGACGATCAACCTGGTTCTCCCTCAGGTTTGACTCGTACGGGGGTACTCCGTAAACTGTCATATGTCGTTCCCCAGACCCTGACATGAATGATCCACATGATGCCACAGAGGGTCGCAACAAGACAGCCTTCAAAGGCGCGTCGTACCGGACGTGGCTTCTGTGATTGGGGCACCCAGGGGGAAGCCTTTTCCGTGGTTAGGTGTAGATGTTAGTTTTTTCACGACCAACTGGCTCGAAATACCCTGTGGATGACTGAATTTATCGACACTGGAGACTAGACCTTCGTGTTGAAGGTCCCCTTGTCACTATCACGCACTATCTCGCACTATCTCAGGTATCATTCAGTCAAAAGTCTCGATAACTTTCGTGTTGAAGATCTCCCCTGCCACAACGGAGTACATATCCACCAGTCAGTTCCGCGCTTCGAGGGCAATGGAGACTGCTCTTTGCGCAGAGAAAAAACCTTCAGCTTTGCCTTGAGAAGTTGTGTGCATTTCTGTGTCTGTCGAGCAACGGTCGCGCCCACAGCGTACTGCCGAAGGAAGTGGAAGTACACCGTGAAAGTTCACGCTAGTTGGCGGTACTTTGCTCGTACTTGACCACGGTAGGTAACTAGCACCTTGCTCCTAGGACAGTCGGGGTTTTCTTTGGTCGTGCTTCGGCGTAGAGTATGATACAAGGACCTGCTGAGTACTGACCTAGCACACCTCCGCCACGGTCTTATTGCTTGGTCGTCCTCCGGCGCAAGTAAATCTGAGAACGAGCGGTAGCGACGACGTCCGCGAGAGGTACCTCTGGTAGGTACACGGCAGCCCCTGATCCCCGTTGCGAAAATGAAAATGAAAATGAAAATGCTCGAAAGTGCAGTGTGAGCCCAAGTCTAAGTCAGAGAAAACCACTTACACGTTGTTTTGAGGGCAGAACCCAAATCGAACACCTTGGTGCTGTCAGGCAGAATCCCCAAAAAAAATATGCAAACCTCCTGTGGTCTGTGGATGACAATGTTTGGCTTTTTGGGTTCTGAGGACCAGTCTTCCCCATCCGTGCCCGACTCGTCATGACCTACTCCGTACGGAGTACTGTGGTATAAGCGGACTCAAATGGCAGGTTTGGTTGATCCGCGCTGGCCACCCATGGCTTGAACAAGCAAACCTTTGCGGAAGTGTAGGGTTGTGCGTCGTGGGTGATTTGATTCTGATACTTGAAGCTTGAACGAGCAACCTTTGCGGAAATGTATGTGTTGTGCACCGTGAGTGGTCGAACCATTACTGAAAGTCCATCGTAGACTTTGCAACATACTCCGGATCGTCACAACGGTCGAATCACTCATCTTGTCGGTCTCACTGTAAGCCCTGAGGACCTGAGGCAGTAAGAAAGAAAAAAACATATAAACCTGCTGTTCGTCTTGTTTCTTCCATCTTTTTTTTCAACATCTCTCACCTTACACTTTGACACAATCGCAAAGACTCGAAAAGGTATTACTTTGCCCTCTCATGCCTCCTCTTCGTGCTTGACATACTCTACAAAGTAAAGCAGCTTCTGACTCGTTGCAGAACTTGACAACCAGGCGCTCGACAAACGCAAACACATCGACGACTTACACTTCTGTATTTTCGAAACAGCACCCTCGTCAAGTCAAAATGCGTTTCTCCGTTCTTCTCGCCGTCCTGCCCTTTGTGGCCACTGCCCTCGCCGGTCCGATCAACAAGATTCCCCGCGGCGGCGACGTCGACATGCCTATTGGGCACCACGACCCCGATCCTATTGAGGACGACAACCGTCCTAAGCACGACATCACTCAAAAGCCAGATCTCCCCATCGACATCCCGGAGCATCTGGCCAAGAACCCCGCCGTCGTAGAGGTTTTGAGCCTCATGAAGCGTCAGAATTTCCTGGACGGATGCAGTGGTGCACCACCGCCGCCACCAGATTGCGGACCTGGCAAGTCTGGTGGTGCTGGGTGTGTTTAGATTTGGAGGTCCATCAGAGCCATGCCATGGAAAGGAATGTTGGATGGATGACAAGTAGTGGTGATGGTTATGAATGAGGATGGAAAGAAGATTTGAGGCCGCTTGATATTTGTGCGACGACAAGAACATCTGGTGAAGCGTGTTCATAGATGTCATTCGCCCAGAGCGAGTTAGTGACGGACGCTCGGAAGTACCTAGCAAGGCTAGAGTAGTAATAAAACTTGGACCACATCCAAGCCTGCTCTTGCACGTAGAACACCGGTTCAAAGAATGTGTAAATCAGCCCAACTTTGCTGATATCAGACTCGTCTTTTCACTTCGGTTGCGTGCAGCTACAGTGTCACAGAATTCGGCTCCCTGCGCTGTGTCAAACCACAAAGCTCCCACTCGATCCCAGATCACGCATGGCAAAGCTCCGTCGTAAAGCAACAGCCCCTAGCCACAAGTACTGATCAATCTCTGTGTGATGAGTCTAGGGAATGTATCAGTTGTTGACTGCTCAATCTGGCAATCTTCACCTCGAGAAGTGAGCCAGCCAGCCCAGCCTCTGCAATGTCAGCATCACACCGAAATTCTCGGGCTGGCGTAGCAGTACTCCCGCGTCCTGACAAGGGTTACGGCATATACGCTGACCGGTCTCGATATGCGTGCGGTTTCATGCAGCAGGCGTGCGTGTCTCATTGGCTCCCAAAATGATGTGGCACAGGCCGATGCACTCTTCGAGGCGGTAGGTCCGAAAACCTGAGTCGAAGCTTTGTCGACTCGTCTGCCGACGACGCTCGTGCGTCCCAAAGTCGCCTGGGCCGGAAGAGACTCTTCGCCATCAATCATTGCGAGCCAACGTCAGGACCTATGCCCCAAAGGCTGCGGGGAGATGCAGCAGTGCGGCCAAATGGTTTCTGGCAGGATGGCATTCCTTTCTTCGTTCGTCTCCAGACGGGCATATAATTAGCAGCTGCCACGACCTTTTTGCTTCGCTTCTGGTCACGAATTGTACATCAGACTTGCCCATCTCATGAGCAGCACAAATGGAGCACTCAGCTACCGGCGGATATCCTCGCCCAAGCTCGCGCCGTTTCTACAGAGTCTACAGTGGTGGTATCGGAGTCTCCTTGACCCAGAAACAGTTCACACGCCAAATATCCGACGCAGGACTCGAACTTGACGTCCTGTACTTTCCAAGTCCAGACGCAACAAACGATCGGCTGCATGCCACTGTTTGTGGATGTCATACGAAGGACGAGCTCGAACAGTGGGCAGAATCTCAGAACTTCCATGTCGACGATGTGCTTAACGGCTTCACTATTCTAGCGATGCCAGTCGATGGTGCTGAATCACCTATATTGGAGTAGGTCTGATTCAGGCAGCTCTCGATTCTCCTCTGATCTTAGGTCAGCGTCATTACGGTTCCAGGCCTCAAGAGCCATCCGATCGGCTCCTTCAAAGGACATGACGGCTATCTTTGGATCAGAGATTCTTTGATCCGTCTGGACCCTTACAAAAGAGCCCGCATCATGGCTTATGGATACCATTCCGAAATCGAAGGCAATTCTCTTCACAACCTCTCACACATCGCGCAAAACTTCACCAATGACCTGCGCATAGCCCGGACACTAAACCCGGTATTGTCAATCCATGCACGTGAGCAGGAGTCAGGATATCACTGACTGAGAATTTAGCGGCGACCTCTCATTGTGATCGCGCATAGCCTAGGAGGTATTGTGGTCAAACAAGTATGTATTACTCACTAGTCTTGAGGTGGCACCCTGACTCACCTGACTAGGCTATGTGCGATTGGAAAGACAATGGCAAGCATGAGCTCCTCACATCTATTCAAGGTTTGTTTTTCTTTGGGGTACCGAACAAGGGAATGGAAAGAGCAGCCACCGGGCCCTTGTGGGAAATCGCGCGTGATGAGCCAACTCGCTTTCTCGTTGGTATCTTGGAGAAGGGCCACGAAACTCTACCACGCTTGCACCGGAATTTCATGAGGCTATGGCTGGCCGAAGGTGTCTGCCAAGGGGTTCCAATCTACAGTTACTTTGAGAAGAGACTTAGTCGGGTGGTCAAAAAGGTACGTCTCCGTTCTCGCTCTGCTCTGGGCACAAAGTCTGAACCCGAGAACAGGTGAATGGCTGTATACAAGAGACAGATGACATGGCTGTTCTGGTCGATGATACCTCGGCCACGCATGAATGGTCACCAGAGACGGCCGACATTCATTGTAACCCAATCCTCAAGGACCACAGGCAGCTTGTGAAATTCTCAAGGGGAGAGTTCTTTGAAAGTCCCGACTTTGGCAGAGTGCTGGACGGCCTGGTTCATGTGGGTCAAAGGGCAGAGTCTGCTTACCAAAGGCGATCACCTGTAAGACTGGACGAGGAGCTTGTTTTGTACGAAGCGTTTTCCTGACCTTTCCAGATGGCAGTCTTCGATTCCTTGGTTTCTCAGCCGAGGAGATACTCTCGACTACCGCAGTGTGATGATTACCTCAACCACGTCGTGCCTGAGGCTTATGAGCAATACCGGTATGTCTACGAGCACCTGTCCGGAAACAGGAACCACATAACTTGTTAGTGAATCGTCGTCGCCACTCTATTGCTTTTGCGTTCCCTACGCTAATCGACTGTCTTCTTACAGTGGCGGACCTCGACGATCAAGTCTTCCGAGGCAAGCAGCAACGAACCCTCAGAGACAATTGGAATATTATCCGACGAGACAAGACAGAGATTCCGTGGGAGGACGTGCAACTAAACAGGCATCTGACCATGAGTTTGCTTTACATGATACACATGGACCTTATTAAGATCAAAACAAAGAAGCCAAACCGACTCGACGAGGCTACCTACAGGAGAGTCGAGCGCTTTGACGACTGGGTATCCTGCCAATGCTCGCGACCCTGTGGTTTGGAGTGGAACTTCGTGAGTGACTCTGGAGTCTGGAGACCGGCGGGCCCCCAAGCACGACAAGATCTTTGCAAAACGAAAACCTTCATCGACCACGACGGTCTATGTCACCAGGCATGGAGGGAAGGACGGAAGTCTCTCGGTCGGACCAAGAAGAAATGGGAGGATTATTTGAAATGAGCAGCTAGCAGCTGGTAATCTGGCAGGAAGCCGATCTCTGCTTCTCAAGATTCTGTGCACGCTGTACCATCATTAATTCACCGACTGAACTTTCGACTTTTTTCCTCCTTCTCGTTCGATGATTTCTCCGGTTCTCTGAAGCCTGGCCATGAAGGGAACCCAAGGGAAGTACCTGTGACTAGGATGGTCCCTGTATCTGAAACATAGAATGATCAGCAATATCAGACAGAGCAACGCAGCGATACCCCCTCCCAGCCCCAACATCGGGCCAAGTGTCCACCTACTGCGTCGATGACTCTGTGGTGCGGTAGGCTGGGTGGTAGGGAGAACGACGCGAGATTCGCTGAAGAAACTGGCCAAGCCAGGGTTGCCAAAGCCGCCGACAGGCTGTTTTGTCGTTGCGTTGCCAGTAGGTCTAAAAGCAAGTAACTAACGTTAGTCAATAATCCTCAGGACTATCGATTGCAGTGCAGGGGTCCTCTCGGGTGATAGTCAGTACTTACGTGCCACCAGTGATGTTCAGGATTCGGTCCGGTACCACGTATGCTGGAGCATGGGCTTCGTACGCTGGGCCCCATTCGCCCGTGTTGAGGTTGTAGATTGCGACGCCCTTGTCTTCCCAGTCGCAACCCTTCTCGAAATCGGTGTCGTTGGTCCCGCCCACGCTGAGCATCTGGGACTGGCCGTTGCCCACCCCGACCAGATGGCACCGGTGGAATGCTCGGACGCTGTCGTTCTGGTACAGCCTCACCCAGACGAACGCGGGCATGGTCAGCACATAGACGTCGTCGAAGAATTGTGTGTGGTCGCGGCCGCCGTAGATGTAGATCTGGTGACTGGAGTTGTCGGGCGCGGCGACGTAGATGGCGCAGAAGTTCATACGGGCCGCGGGAACGTCGCCTGTCGCATTTTGCTGGTACCAAATTGGTGACTGTGGCTGCTGTGACTGTGACAGTGACTGGTTGGTGTTGTTATGTAGTTGTAGTTGTAGTGACCCGATGTCGAAGATGTCGACTGTGCCCAGACTGACCTAAAAATTTGCGGGTAAGTACGCAGGGAAAGAAAGAGTACAGGACATCGGCCTCAAGAGGCTTTCCTGCTCATTACTCATAAAGGGGCGGGCTGGCTTACCAAATCTACCTTGCCATCAAACGAAGTATCTCGTAGGCTCTGCTGAATGCCACCTAAAAGGACTAATCCGCCATATTTGCCGACATTGCTAAGGTACACCGCTTCCCCTCGGGTTCGAGGAAATCTGGACACCCCGGCCGTCGATACATTGATTCCCGACTGATTGCTGGTGGATATCACCATCATGCCGGAGATCATGAAGCTCTGACCAAGGCCTTGCGTCGCCAGGGAGCTACCGGCGTCGATTTGGCCGCCAATGTAGAATGCCATCGCTTGGTCCGGAGCTTCGGCGGAGGCTCCCGAATTCGGTTTGCTCAGGGCCGTTGCGCCCAGCCTGTCCCCTAAATACTCCGTCCAGGTGTGGAGGCCGGTATCGAACGCCCACATGAAGTAGGATTCCGAGTCGGGAAGCGGATTCGGGGTGAAAGAAGAGTTGACCGAGAGGGTCGTGCCTCCGAAAAGGTAGATGTTGTTGTCGCCAGCACCACCGCCCACCAGACCGGCGCGAGCGACCATTGGAATTTTGTTTCCCAACGACGTGCGGCCATTGTATTTGTAGTACTCATGCTCTTCAATGTCCGCTGTCCAGTTCCAATCGCGTGTCATAGAAATGCCTATGATGGCAGTATCTGCGAGAAAGATTGTCAACAACGAACTCCGAATGGAAATGTTCTGTGTAGAGCAGCCAGCATGCTTCGCTAGGTAACTTACTTGGGCCAATGACAGGCTGGCCTGTGGTAGAACCATAGTCGTTGGAATGAATATAAACTTGAGTGCCGCCGTCGATCCACAAGAAGCCGTTCTTTACAGTTGCTGAACCTTTCCGTCAGCGTCTTGTGTAAGAAAGACATATTGTTGGGATGTCATGGCTCACACTGATGGGCGAACCGCTTGCAGTAGTTGTAGACAGGATCAACATTCTGGGCAGAGGCATGGATGAAGGGTCCGATGAATAGAAGGAGCAAGGCTCCAAGCATCTCGATCAGCGTGCAGGACGAAAGTCACGATTGGGCAGTCTGCCGACTGTTGAGTTCGATGTAGGCTGCTAGCAAAAGGTTAGCAGTGCACCATCAACGCCTGTCACACATTCCTGTCGGTGGAGGAGGGATTTGAGGAACAGTACCTAAGTAAGGCATAGCAGAAAAGTGGCGTGGTCACCGGCGGGCTTCAGCTGGTCTGTTAGAATTCCCTGACGAGAAGGGTTGTGAGCACGCAACTTTGGAATTCCTTGTCGGAGTTGCTTGCATTTTTGTTGCCGTTGACAATGCCCTGAAACTGATTTGGTGTAGCTGGTTTTCATCCTCGGGAAACCGCCTTACCGGTTGGTACAGCAGGTCCTATCCCGATGTAAGTGTCCGGGAACTTGCTGATGTGCGATATTCATTAGCGACTTAAGAGAATTCTCTGATTTCGTCAGAGTCTTGTCCCGCATCTCATTCCCCGGCATTGAGAAATCAAAGGCAAATTCATAGCAAATGGTCAAAGGTGGTCTACCAAGTTGTTGACTCGCAGTGATTCATATGGCATGAAAGTACATGCCCCAATCCAATGGGTCGATGACATGTTAGGGTGCGAATGCAAGGTCAGGCGCAGCAGATACCCATCCTTCTTGGCCATTACACGGAGTTGTCCAACGTGCAAAAGCCTCAGATAAACCCCCCTGATGCCGCATTTATCTGTCACCAACTCCTTGACCGGACTACATTGTCCAGTGTTGGCCAATGAGCGGCACAACTCCTCTTTTCGGAGCACAAGGGAGACCGTAAGGCAACCCGAAGGCTGACCCTGGCGATGACCAGACCTTCCGCTGATGGATAATATGTTTGTGTGGAAGATTTTGTCTGTGTAGGTTACACAAGTTGCTCACCGGTTTCGTCAACGTCGGGCAAGACTGCAACGAGAATCTCCTCAGTTTCGATCTGTGGCTCACACTAAAACAAAGTTTCTGGCTTGTAGTATTACTTGCCCAACAATGCCTGCGAACGTCCCTCGAGCGTCCTCGCAGCAAAATGAAACGCCACAGGCACTCAAGCTTCCAGTCGTTCAGTGGTGTTTCCGTTCCCCAAGTCGACGCCAAAGTGACTGAGTGGTCCATCTGGTCCAGGTCTCCGTTCTCGGCGGAGGCCAGGCTTTCGTAGTATATGCCCCTGTAGCCTTTTGGAAACGCTCCTCCACTTTATTGACCATTGCTCAGAACCTGCAGTCTAATCTTCGTGTTAGGGGAGTCATGGGCTGGTAAACCGCCGAGATTCTCGATTTCGCCTTGTTTGCCATCTGTCTCCTAAAGCGCGCTTCCACTCAAGGGTAAACTTGACCCAAAAGGTGCCCAGCAAGGCTAGAATGATGATTGTTGGGACAATTGCGCAGGCTAGTCCCGACCATCTTGCGATCACCCAAATTATTCGCCAATGAAACTGGCTGACTTGCTTAACAGCCATTACTACTTGCAAGGCACTGAGAAAGACCGAAAGGGTGCCGAGGATGAATAATAGGGGCGGGAAGAAGCGCCCGAAATAATCGCCGTACTGAGGATACATCCTTTGGTAAAACCGCTTGCGGAGGAATATTTTGCAGTAGAAGTTCAAACGGCTCAGCCGGATCTCTCCATAATGATATCGCTCAGATACATCGTGGTTGTGGATTTCATGCAGCGAGGCGGCAAAGTGGCAGAACTTTTCCCATGTCATGTCGGGAGGCAACAGCTGGAGCGGTGGCTCTTGTGCGATTCGAAAATCGGACTTGTGTCTGACGAGGAAAACCCACGTCCGTAGGTATCCCTTTGCGGCTTTACGGATCCTCTCCTGTCGCTGCTGCTGATCCTTGGTTTCAGTTGGAGGAAGATTGTTGAGAAAGTCTAGATCACAGAGATACTCTGGCAGGGGCTTGATAAAGATTCGGTTGTGAAACCAGACCAAGTGTAGTTTCGGGTCTTCCGTCACAACGACTTCTCGTTGCTTGACTCTTTGGCGATGCAGGGGCGAGACGTTGGCGGGAGACTGCATTGACATGACCCAGAGGTAAGGGCTGAGACCCTCGGCATCTTGCGAGCAGAATTCACCCTCGAGGAAGTCAAGCATTAAACGCGCGTCCTGTGTGTTGATGCGAGGATGACCACGCAACGGCGAAAACCCCATTTGTTTGTGAGGCGTTGTTTCCTGGACAGCTTGAGCTATCCGATTTGAATTGTGCTTTGTTGTCATGGTATCTTATTTTCAGCAAACTTGAACAATCGCAGAAGCTCGGGCTAAACGACATATAAAAGCAGCAGAGGTCTTCAACGTCCAAGCCCACATTCGGCCATCTTATTGTTCTTACTGGCGCGGCCGAACGCCACGAGCCTGGTCAGAAGACCTCAGTTGAGATATTGACAGACGGAACGAGTTAAGATTAGTCGCTGCCTGACGTGTGCTCCGATATCCATGAATCAGAATGCTCGGCGCAGCAGCCTGAGAGTTTTGCATCGAAAGCCTATGGAGGCTGCAATGGTGAGGCTGACCACAGCTTGAACTGCTGGTGATCCCTGGTCCAATGCGGAGACTGAAATGCAAACACAGGCAGGGAGTTTCATGCTGGTCATGTTCCACAGTTGACGCCTCGAACTTCGGGTTTGCGCCAACGGTGGCTGCAATTTTATACCACGGCATATGCAGACCCTTTGAGGCATCTCTCCACAGCCACCCACCAGTCCGCATTGCCTTCGACGTGTCGACAAATGGCATCCATGGAACGAAAAGTGGAAGTTTTCCGAAGATTCCACCACCTAAGCCGCGTATAAATCAAGCCACCAGGCTTTCTTCGACAGTGGTCCAAAATCCTTAACTTTCCAACTCTACCGTCTGGGGCAAAGAGTTTTCGCTTCATGAGGAGAAACGGGTTGAGACCCTTAAGGTGCCCAAGCAGATATTTCACTTCCAGTGCTTCAAGCGTGTAGCGACCTCTAGCATACTTGCCGGCCACCACTGCTCGTGAACTGTCGAAATGCCCGAGAAGCCGTTACCATATCTCGTAATCAGGCCCTGAAGTGCCACGAACGGAAAATTGCCCACCCACCATGCCTCGACCTCCACCAAGAGCATGAGTACCAGCCAATGCGCATAGACGTCCAGTGCCAGGATTTTCGCCGTCGTGAGCTCGCGATCGTCATCGACATTATCGTCTATTCGAGGCTCGAGAAGGGGAAGAAGCAGGTCGACATAAGTTTTGGAGACACGGGAGAAGAAGGAGAGGAACGTCCGGACCAATGGCTCCGAGTGCGTGGGTTGTGGTCGTCGAAGTGCGAAATTTCGTAGCCAACCCGGCGCCTGTGATAGTAGACTATCGGGTGCGACAGAATACTTGATTACTGCATGTCAGCCATATTTCCGAGGCGGAATTGGGTAAAGAGACAACCCTACATAGGTGACACATTCCGATGAACTCTTCATGGTTTTGTGATCCGAGAAAGTACTAGACATTATATCATTCAGGACGTCGTAAGCGTTGAACGCCGAGGAAGTGTTCTCATCTGCCTTAGTGGCGGCAAGAGCACTCTCGATCCTGGATCGGAGTTGCGATAAAGCCTGGCGGAACGTAGCTGCCAGCATAGGAAACATGGTATGAGAGAGCTCGGGAATGGTTTCAAAATCCTTGGGATCCGTGCTCTGGGATGAAAACATTGTGTCCCAAGGGGTTTCGGACTTCGGGCTTCCGCTCTTTGCTTGATTGGAATTCAACGCAACGATGGTTGTGCGTATACCTCTGAGTAACAGGATAGCGTCTCGGGGTGTGAGAAGGTCAGTATCCTGTAACATTCCCTTGGTGGAGAGCACCCAGTGATGAATGTGTTGGAAGGCTAGCGCAAACGGTACCAGCAAGAGCGAGCAGGCTAACAGAGGTTGGATATCCGTCTCACTTTGGCGGCATGTCATGGTCCGCATCTGTTCGAGAGCCAAAGTGTGATGCTGCAAGCCGACATCCAGGAGTTGACGGACCGTTTCCGGATCAGCATTTCCAGTGGAGATGGTATCGCAGCAAATACAGGCAGCAGATAGTGCCAGGATGGAGTGACAGACTGGCTCGCTATCGAGAGCCAGCTTGGCTATCCCGATCTGCAAGACAATCTGACTTTTGTGGTAACGTGGAGCCGACTTGCATGTATGGTTCAGAAAATGGAAGTAGAGGTCCGCGTCTGTAAGGCTGGGGAGGCCATCCGCAGTGCCAACCTGACTCACGGCATAAGGGGGTAATGGAGACCCAAGGAGTGATGCTCTGGAGCCGGCTGACAGACTGCTGAAAGGACCGGATAGCGATGGGGTTGGAGATGACAGGCGAGACAGTGAAGACTCGCTTAACTCCGGGGATTGTTGTTTTGTTGCATAAACGCATGTTCTCATACTCGTTTCGCAGAGGGTACAGCACGGCCGCTTCTCGTCGCACTGAGACTCATCAATTGGGTTGTTAACATGATAGTGGGAACTATACTCACTTTCTTCCGTCGTTGTTTGCACGTCAAGCAGCCATTTCGAGATTTTTGATGAGGCCGCCTCGGTCGAAACCCCGGGCGAAAGGAGCTGGCTGCTGCTGCTGATGATGATGATGATGATGATGATGATGATGATGATGATGATGAAGAAGAAGAAGAAGAAGAAGAACTTTGATCCATGGTTTGTTGGAAATTAGTATATTGTGAATAACTCTTCTGTGCTCCGTACGGTCCATTGATATTTGTATCCTCCTAGTCATTCACAACTGTAGTCAGCCATTGACTCATCTGTGCGTCCCGTGGCTGAGCCTCGCTAGATCGGAGGCTAGTAAGGCTGAGGTGACCTTTTGTGACCCTCTGGTGACCCTAGCTTACTACCTACAGGCGGCCCATTGCCGCTAAATTGCAGTCATTTGGAATATTGTCCACCTCTACGGAGATGACGGCATTAACTAATCCGTACTCACTCCCCAGATCTTTGGCAGTCGATCCGCACATGTAACCTACGGACAAGCTTGAAATGCAGCAGCCTTGTACAGTATTATCGAACCGCTGTACTCCGGGTTATCCAGTCTTCGAGTCCGCCGCTACCTAATTGGTTTGTTATGCCTGTTGGGTGCCTTTGTCTTCGCGCATTGCCGGCCTGAAAAAATCAACGGTTTCTCTCTCCCTCTCATCATCATTCTCCATGCAGCAGATCCTCCTGACGTGGCTTCAACTGAGCGGGCTTATCGAAAGAGCCCCTCAGCTTATGCCACGATCTTCAACGCTCTCGAGCTTGCAGCACCCAGAGTATCCAAAATATGATCGCGAAGACACTAACAGCTCCTACGGTAACCCATCCGACCTGTTCAGAGTATGCCACAATCACTAATGCCGGGAGTAGAAAGGCTGCCAGCATGAATGAGCTTATGATGTGGTTGAAGCAGTGGAGCCATATCTTGAACTTCATGGTAAAGCCCAATATGGGAATCTTCTTGCCCTGTTCGAACTTATCTTCGGTTTCAAACCAGTCTTTCTCATGAAAAGCCAATAAGGAGAAGGCCATGTCCCCGAAGCCGATAGCTGTGAGAAAGAGGAGGAAAGCAGTCGCAAGCAAGGTACGGACCGTGCCTTGAGAAAACCGGCTTGATGATGGTACGGCTTCGTCAGACGTCGTGAGGACGCCGAAGGCGATGGATGCCCCAAGAGTCGAAACACCAACTATACCTGTGAGATACTGTAGCCACCATGTGTGGGCGATTTTAGGGTCAGAACCACGATATTCGCGTTCCTTGCAACCGAAACTCGTGTATTAGCCCATCCGTAGTACTATTGCAATGATGAGAGAGGCTTTTCGACGGTGTTGACAGACCCGAACATCGAGACATACATACAGTTTCAGATTTACTAAGATACTGGAGCATTTTATCCCCTTGTACATCAAGAGACTGCTGCAGCGCTGTCAGAAGAGCACAGCTATCGTCATTCGGGGCCATATCAACGTTGTACTGTTGTTCAGGCTGTGTGATCGATCGTGTTGTTAGATTGATCAGGCTGAAGATGGTCAGACTCTGGGGTCGATCCTTCTATTTTTGGGATGAATCAAGGATTATCCTGTGCTTTCGAGACCAGAGATTCTTGGGTAGGTGCTCGTCTCAAGCACATTAGAAGAACGGTCTTCAACAATGATTCTGCCATTGATCTTTGCCTCCTTTAATACCTTCAGGATTGTGTCTTCTGTAACTGACAATGCGGAGGCACATGCTTCAGAGGAGCTTGCACCTGCATGTTTAGCGAATTCGAGCTTCGCTGGTTGGACATACCGCTTTTCACGGCCTTTGCATTTCTTGTCGGCTTGTTTCGCGCAAATGGGAGTCAAAAGCCAAGGGCGGACGTTACACAGCCAAGTGTCCATTGCTCATGAGCTGAAAAGGGTCTCCTGATGATGGACGAGTCGACGCACTGGGAAAAGCAATTTCCTGTGTTAAAAAGGGATGAAGCTAAGATCCAAGACTGGGCGCCTTTCAACTTCGCCTAGAATACGAGCTGCCATCATGTATTTTGGGCAGGAGCTCGCGTTGTCAAGCCTGAACTGAATGCTCCCTTCCAATTCCAAAGGCACAAATAGCCCAACTTCTCGCGTGATCCTCCTGGTGCAAGACACTGTCGTTTATAGCCGACACGATCCAAATATACTTCCATGGCCAGCCATTTCAACAAACAGATACACCTCTCCAAGGGTCTGAAACTACTCAGCCTCGATGGTGGTGGTGTGAAAGGGATATCCAGCCTCGTTATTCTGGATGCGATCATGAACAAGTTGCGTGACCACCACAAACTCAAAGATACTCCTCGCCATTATGACTGCTTCGACCTAGCAGGAGGCACCAGCACCGGTGGCCTCATAGCCTTGCTGCTGTTTCGCCTTCAAATGACTACCAGCGATGCGATCGACAAATTCAGGGAGATAGCCAAGAATCTCTTCAGTCCCAGAGTGTTTGGCATGAATCTTCATGATGATTTCGGGACTCTGGGGCTATGGCTCGGGAATGCCTATGTACATTGGGCAACGTTGATAGGCTCTTCGAGATTTTCGGCTGAACCACTCCAAAGGGCTATTGATGATGTCCTGAAGGAGAAATCTCCACATGAAGAAGACAAGAGCCTAGGCGGGGAGAGTAGCCTTCTCAGGGACGAAGAATATGGCGCGGGAAAAATGTATGTTCCAGAGCCCAGTTTCTGCCCGCAAAGATGGTCCATTCAATGGTTGACTGCTCCAGGTTCATGTGTGGTACCAGGATCGATCGAAGGGAATCCGTCCTTTTTCGATCTTACACAGCCCCAAAGGATGCCGGTTCTTCTGAGTTTGAGAATATCGATATCGGTTCTGCTGCCTGCGCAACATCGGCGGCACCAACCCTTTTGCCTTCAGTCAGCGTCCTTGACGTCGACTTTTGGGATGGTGGTATGCTCAACAATAACCCCATCAACCAAGTATGGGGCGCACGATACGACTTGGGGACCCCTCCCCGATCCGTCGAACAGACTACCGATGACATTGCGGAAGAGCCAGTGGTATCGTCAGTGGTGAGCATTGGGACCGGCCGCAACATAGGAAGAGTCGTGCTCCCAGAAGGGCTCGTCAATACTATATTTGCATCACTAGCCTTTGTCACGAACACAAATGCGAAGCACGAAGACTTCCGTCGCGACCTAGAGAGACAAAATCTCAGGAAGCCGAAAGGAATGCTGACCAAGTATTTCAGATTCGATGCCGTCAAGGGGGAATCTTTCAATATTGACGACTGGCAGAGGATAAAGGATATAAAAGAAGAGACAGAGAACTGGCTTCGCACAGACGAAGCGCAGAATTTATTTGAGGAATGTGTCGAGGCGCTTTCTGGATGAAATTCTCGCTCTTATCGTCACAGTATGATCCACTCCTGATTAAAGTGCAATTTCTATATGAATTAATGAAGTCGTCTCAGGGAGTACACATAGAGACAGATTAATCTATGCAATTCCTAAGCGTCGCTAGTCCAACATGTCCCAAGCAAATTACGGCCCATTTCTCTCCAAGAAGTCGAATGTGACCTGGGAGCCAGCAGTGGCATTCTTGTGGGCTCTCGTAGCCGTAAGTGGAATCTCCGACATCAACAACTGCGCTTAGACAACTGAGCAAGCAATATTAGTGCCTTGCAGAGCCAGATCAAAACAAACCCCATGGCTTAGCCACACCATCTCTCGTACGGGCCCGACAGCTTCCGGAGGCCTCCCGTACAACACTAACGCCCTACCCACCCCCGCGACAGGAAGCTTCGAACAAACCTCTCTGAACCATAAAGGAGCTTGAATGGTACTGCAATGGCTTTCCCAGGATGGACAAGACTGAAGGTATATCTCCGCAACAATTGAGCCAAAATCAGACTCGTCTCGACCAGCACTAGACTTCATCCGATGTACATGTGCGAGCCGCCGTCGAACTGCACGTCTCGACTTTCGTCAGTGATATTCCCAAAAGCCTTCAAGTCTTCAGCCGAAAGCACCAGGGCGCGACTCACCTCAAACATCGTTCTATAACTGGTAGTCGTGATCGTGCGAGTGCATTTGTTCATGCCCGCGGCAGAAAGCGAGAAACTCGAATTTTCTGTCACCTGTGAAAAGGTTGCGGTCGCAGGGGATGTCGAAAGCAAAGAAGTGGTCGGTCAGTGCCAATAGTACGCCCGATTAGGTTCCATTTTGCGAGCCAGTCGTCAAGTAAGGTAGCGAACCCAAAATGAAGATATCAGGCCAGTCTCATTGACATTCAAAGTCACTCTCTAGGCGCACAATCGCCTCCGCGAGCATGATCAGCTGCTGTCGATATCTTCGGTCTTTATTTTGATCCCACTTATTTGCGAACTCGATCGCACACAGATCCCGCGCCTGTCGAGTGCTGAGCTCCATCGTGTTATGCACAATCACATTGAATCTATCCTTTGTTGTGCAAAAGATATGGACTAGCTCCTCGGCATAATCGCCGATGAAGCCGCGTACCACCTCCCTTGTGATGCGATCGTCCTGAAATTTATACGACTCGGTGCCGTAGATGGAATGGAACAGGCCAGCGTCGCAAACCTCTTCTGGAGCGCCGTGATCTTTTAAATAAGTGTACACGTTGAGAAGATGCTGGTAGAACGTTTTTGTCTTCCCGTGCTTTTGGGTACCCGTAACAGCTTGAAGGAATGCGAATTTGGCTGGAGGAGATGATGGGGCCAATTGATCTGCCTCTAGTGGGTAGTCAGTAGTGGAAACCGACATGGTAAGTCGGGACTGTTGTTGTTGTTGTTGAAGCTGGCAAGTGCCCTGCCCCTTGTTCGACTACGGGTAGCGTCGGAGAAAAGTGACGGCGGTTGCAGCAGTGCTCCGTAGAGGATCGATCAATGTAAATTGCGAGACGAAGGACTACGGAGAAGAGAGGAGAGTACGGATATGGGCAGCTCGTCAAGGTCACCACATGTGATTCGACATTACTCAGTCGGGCAGGTTACCCGGGTTCCCAACTCAGCCACGTCAGCCCGCCTCGCTGACGTTGAATCTCAAGAAAATCACAGCCCATTCCTCTCCAAGAAGTCGAATGTGACCTGGTAGCCAGCAGTGGCATTGTTGTGGAGTGGAAAAGCATGGCCAGTGTTCGGCTGGATATAGTCCTCGACAACTGCGGCGTTAGGGTAGGTATCCTTCAGATCCTGTAACTCGTACGCCCCCTTACAATCACCGTCGCAGATATAAAAGTCGAACTCGGCCAACATAAATTGGACCGGCGCCTTGAGGCCAGGCCCCTTAAGGCCAATGATATGAAAGGCCGAGGCCAGCTCGCCGATAGGAACTGGCTGCTTGAGGGAGTCGCCGTAATCAAGCATCTCCGGGGTGAAGGCGGTGTCCGGGTTGCCACCGAAGAACAGATTCTGGATGCCAGTCTTCTGACACACAACATACCCACTTGATCGATTGAAGGCGGGAGAGCTCGTGGCGGCAAAGTCAACGCCCCACGACGCCATCCCCGGCGCGCCCAGATACTTGCCGTAAAAGTAGCCCGTGATGATGGCTCCGTCGGTCAGAGTGGGATATTTCGCGATCAGTGCAGAGGTCAGGAAGGATCCGAAACTGTGGCCGACGTGGACAACTTTGTTTGGTCTTGCCAGTGCGTTGAATGCTGGATCATCGGCAGGTTGTGCTTTTCCTGCGAAGCTGTACAAGGTGCCATTGCGTGCCATCAAGGTCAATTGTCGAAGGATCTCGAGTTCAAGCGGCGCTTGCACCACGTTGTACGCGTCAGGGTGGTCCGATTGACCAGCCCCTAAGCGGTCATATGTGAGGATGGAGTATCCTGCTTTGAGCGATGCTTCGACATAGGACTGGTTCTCCCGATCGAGTTCAGGATCCCAATATCTTCCGTCGTAATGCGCGCCGTGGGTAGCAATCTGCAGGATGCCCTCTTTCATTCCAGAGATTTTGGGGACGCAAAGTTGGGCGTGGATGTTGAAAGTGCCAGAAGTCGTGGTGTTCTTGGTGACTGTTTGTACACCAACGGGAGTGTCCCAAGTATCAGCGTATATTGCCCAGGCTCTCGCTTCGATGTTACTGTCGATCCTTGGATGGTCATAGATCGCGCTGTCTGACGTAGCAGCCACTGGAATATCCAATTGTTTGCAGTATCCGTGGGTGTGTTGGGAGGTGTGGATGGCAGAAGCTGAGATGCTCTGGGAAAGAGCCAACAAGGCTATGGCAGTAATTACGGCCATTGCTGAGTCGCAAATGAACGATATCAAGGAATGTTCGAGGAGAGTATAATGACATATCTCCTTGAACAATGCAAGCCGAAGCAGTCATTTATATAGTTGTAGAGAGAAGCAGCACCGCCTCAATGTCAGCTTTTCGGACTGGGAAGTCCGAGGTCAAAGAGTATTAAGGCTTTCCGTCCGGGTGGACGGGATCTTTCATATTGCTGAGCAGCGAATAACGGATATACCTGTTGAAGGCAAATTTCCTGAGTGTCAATACGACTGTTGAACTGTGCGTATTCGTTGCCAAGGATCGTATTTGTCGGTCAGAGTCATAGTGGTATTTGTGGACCACAATCGCACAGCCTTGTGATTGCCAGTGCCAAAATGCACGGACAAACGACCCTATGTTTGTGGGCTGAGACACGTGGTAGTATTTGTCATTTGAGGTAGTCTCAATGAAGGAAGTCCCAGTAGGTGGGCGGTGCATTTCGAGATGCAATGACTAGTACTCCGTATGAACGGCACCTAGAACGGTAGCAGCTTAGTGAGCCGAAACCGAGACCGAAGGATACGAACACAGGCGTAGCGAGGCTGACAAGAGGAATTTCAAATCATTTGGCGAAAAGCCCGTCACAGCTTATTCTGTCGGGTTTGATCTTGCATTGGGCATGTATAAGACCGTCACCCTTCTACACCAAAGCCTCAGGTACAAAGTCTTTGGTCCAGCCTGCTAAGTTAAAATACTTCATTCTTCATCCTTGCAATCTCCCCCCCAAAAAAATAGTGCATTCTTAATACCTATCAATTCATCAATTCATCGAACACTCTTCAAACCACTTCATTACCTCCCCTCAATCCAATGGTTGCTCTCATTCTGGCTGTCGGTGCCGTCATCTACTTCACCGTTGAAAAGGTCCGCGACCACAGGCAAAAGAAGCGCGAATCGAAAGATCAGACTCAAGCTCTACAACACGGCATAGCTGAACCGGTTTCGATCATTGATAACAAAGCAAGCCGTCGCTCGATGGAATTACCGCCGCCGTACCGTAAAGAGGCTCTCCCACCGTACCGTCAAGGAAGCGTCCACCAGACCCCATGACGGACCAACATCGCGCGTTCAGAACCAACAAGTGAAGCGCTGGTTCACCAGCCGAAAGGGCGCTTGAGTTAGAGCGAGGGTACGGAGTACAGGCATTGCAAGTCATAAGGGGGCGAGGCACATTCCATTTCCTGGGACGTTGAACTCTGGGTTTTAGCATCATCATCATCTTGTTCCTTTTTGTCATAGCAATCGCTTTAGATATCCTTCCTTGCTGGCTGCGTTGCTGGCATACACATGAATATTGAGGGACCTGTACATAGAGATAATTTGACTGTCTTTGTACGATCGAACCATGGGACGTATACTGGCAGTCCAAACGCCTAGTGGGATTTCCAAACCGTAGATCCAATGAAACGAACGCCATAACTCCAAGCAATGTCGAAGCCGATACCCTGTGATAATACTGTCCGGAATATATGCGCCTAAGGTTGATCTTGCACCACCTTATGGGCTGTAGTGCTTTTCGGTAATGTCCTTCTCCATAGCAACTCGGTGCCGCCGACCTGTCAAGACCTCCCGCACCGTATGCGACTTGATTTGGTTGAAAAGTCTCCAAAAAGACTCTTAAGCCTTAATACCAAACCTGGATAGTGTTGATGGTGGTTTAGGGCTTTTCGACCAGCTGCGATTCCATCGTCCATCTCGCAGCGTTCAGACGAACCCATCGCGGGATTTCGGCTGATAACAGCACTTTATCAGGTCTGCGACGACGTGGTCTGCATAAAGACCATCAATACCGCAGCGTAGGCTGCCGTTCCTGCCAGGATTTGAAAGGGTTGTTCCACGCTGCTGCAGACTAGGACAATCGTAAACAAAAAGGTGAAGCCCGTAATGATACCCAATTTGCCATCGGCGCTCTGCATGGCATTCAGCCACCAAATTGGGCCGAACAACATCATCAGGCCGAGCACAATGATGACCGCGTTGGTAAAAGCATCCATTTTGCGGCCGCTGTAGAAACTGCTCGTGGGAGTGCCTCCACTTTTGCTGACGCTGAAGAGCCCACAGGATCGGAGTTTGCGGGACTTTTCAACCAGATGCCGCAGTGGTGATCTGCCCTTGGTGATGATAGGGATGAGATCTTCGTGATGCTTGACGAATTTAGTCTCTTCCGGATCAATGGCGCCGGGATAGTTGTAGTACACCCAGTTTTCGAGATTTGCTATTTGTCGTTCGTTGGCGGTGGTGCGAGCTCTCATGTCAGAGAAGGCGACGACGCTTTCGTCTACACATTGTTACTTCGAGATACATTTGAAGCACAAAAGAAGTCATACTATATTCTTTTAGCATAGGTCTCAGCTTTCCGAGGATCTGTCTGCGCTCGGGATCCGGGTCGCACCGTAACGTATCATTGCGGGATGGTGTCAGTGGTTTTTGAGTAGCCTTGTCGAAGAATGCATCCTCGTAGCGTTTGTCGATTGTTTGCAGCCTTTCTTCCAACTGCATAATATCGTCCTGCATGGCCAATAAAACTCGAGCGTTGAGGTCGCCGAAGCGTCGTATGAGGAAGAAGTCTTCCGAAGCCCCCATCCATCGAGCAAGCGCCGGATAGCCTTTGAATTTGAATGCCCATGTTCTTTTCTCGTCATCGCTGAATGTTTGCTGTTGGGAGCCTTGCGAGGATGTCACCGTCAGAAAGCTCTGGATAGGACGAGCTGCAGCTAGTTTTGCGGATAGTGAGCCTCCTGTTGATTGGCGAACAGGGGCTTGAAGCACTGGCTGCGACTGACTTTGATTTGCGGGGAGTTGTTGCATCTGAATGGGCGACGTGGTCGTTGTTCCGGTCGACATTCCCATTGCCTTTCAAATTTTGTGTCGCTTCTCTTATCGAAATCCCAAGTCAGAAGCTGGGAGGTATCGTGCATAAAAGTTAAGATGCAAGTACACTCCAACGCTTCCTTTTAACATTTCGAACATGTTGGCAAACCCATTGGCATCCTTGAGGCTGTTCCGTGCAGATCAGATGCTTCCCTGCGCCTCAATTGTCAAGCTGAAAAAGGGTCATTGATGAAGCACATGCTGCCCGCATGATCCTTGCTTGCCTCGTATTCGAGCTGGCAAAAGGCAAATGTTTGCCTTGTGCAGGCGTGGCGGGCTTGGACTTGCTGGGCAGGCCAGCCTGGAGCCCCGAGACGAGCCTCGCAACTTAAGAACTGTGCTTCCCAACTGCACAGCCTATTTCTGACTGCGCATTCCTTGGTTGTCTGGAACCCATTCCTCGACGTCGCTCGAACGAGTTACGGTGCTGCACTCGGCGTTTCTTGGTTCATTCCACAGAATAAGCCTTGCCCATCCCCGCGGCCTCGGGTAATAAGCGTCATTAGCCCACCGCCTAGCCCACCGCCGAGCAGTTGGCACTGACGAGCCGAGCCTCCTCTTACAGACCTTCATGGACCCGAGTAGTCCACCTGCCTCAGGGTTTCACGGTCTCGTCAACAAGTACATCAATGTCAGAACAGCAGTTGATAGACTTCAAGAGAGCGTCAGGGCTCCCGGCGACGAATTCCGTCTACCAGGGGCTATGGAGAAGCCTTTCTTTGTTGTAGACAACAATGAGCCTCACAATACCCCAGCAGGAGCAGCAAACAGTTATTTTGAAGATCATCCTCATAAATATGCTGGCAAACCGATTGTCTTCCGCCTGAAGACCAGCCCGCAAGTCGTGATGCAGGCCACGATTGTGTGCATAGAGCATGATTCCATTCTCTATTTGCGTGATGGTAAGCCGAGGCGGATGAACGCTCACGGAGTATCGTCACTGACCGCAAAAGTATTCGAGTGCCAAACTTCGCAGCGAGTATTTGAAAACAGATATGCCGAAAATGACATCGAAATCATTGCATTCGATGGGCAGAACATGTCGCCCTCTTCTTCCTGCCCTCCGCCACTCGTGCACACAGGCAGTGATTCTTTCTCTCCAGGCTCAGGGTACACCTCGCCTCACGCTGGTGTGGGTGGAAGTACCACAGCACATCGTTGTGGTTGGTGCCGAGAAATCCTCAGGTCAGTCTTCATCCTCACGCGCGTCCTTGAGCCGACTCTGAAGGTGGTAAAGGCAGAAGTACTGCGGTGCTTGCTTTAGGGTTACCACGGACCCAAATGCGTCAAACTGCCAGAATCATCCCTGCTATAGGATGTTGTCCTTGTATGTACTGCCTTAAACAAGCAGGCCTGCAAGAACTAATCTTTTCCGTTCCCTAGATATTGCTCACAGCGCTGCCACGACGATGCAACACGGCAATATCTGTAGGGCCCTCTTCGAGTGGCGTCATGAAGCTGTGTTTGGACCCCCCTAACGGTCTCCGGCATTGCAGATACTTCATTCACTTGGAAGTTTATTCGGAGCCTACGACCATGCAAAGCTCAAAATCCCGACGTTTGAGCCCAGTCGACTGATTGGAATATGGTCTCGAAAGTCACTGCATGAACTTTGTTGGTTGTCGCTTGTTTGCTTCAGCGTTGGGACAAAGGCGGTTATGGTAGCCTGGAAATGGCAGTCGTGGTGGAATTGTTACTGCACCAGCAGCAGCAGCAGCAGATCTATTGTTCCTCGTTTTGTGGATTTTCAAAAGACGTCCTAGTGGCTTGAATACTTGTAGTCATTGTCATTCCTGCCCTCCGCCTCCTACTGTATTGGCTCATTAGGCATCAAACAGGCCACTTAGCACGCTGGACATTGCAACTGCGCCCGAAGCCACCATTTCAAGTTGTGAGCAAGCACGCGAAAAGCAGAGCCCCAGACGTCCTGGTGCATTTGAGCTGAAGGAGGCTGATACAGGCTGCAGCTACGCCTGTTGAGCCCGATCTGGGACGTGCACCAAAGTGATTGGACACTAGGCACCCATTCGAGCCACTCCGACTCTTTGGCGGCAAACAATACTTTAAAACGTATGCAGACGATAACCTCCACCAACAAGTAAGGTCCTGCTTAAGGTACTTCGGTAATGCATTTGATTGTAAGACGTATAGCATCGCGATCCATATCATTGCCATCGATGTTGCAGGACATGTTTCGGTGATTTCTTGGGGATCAAGTCAGAATGCTTTACAGTTGATTTTCTATAGGGACTTGTTCTCGATCTCGATGCTAGGAGGTATGCTCGCGTAGGTACGGAGTAGTTAGTCATAATCTGTCAGTCTAATATAAAAAGTTGGATCGATGATGCTTAGCGTAAATTTCTTGAACTAAAGCTAGCCTAGAGATTCCAAACTGGCTGCTGAGAGTTCCTATCGCTACGAGCTAGAAAACGGACCGTGTGTTCCATGTGTGGGACGTACACTGAGGCAAGGAGCATCACAACCATTCGAAATCAATGGAGTTAGTACAGTGCTCCGTACATAGTAAGCGAAAAAATGTCTGATTCGTCCGAATTTATTTGTTACCGAAGGGCACCTCTATGCTAACAGTTAGTTAGCACCATCATGCACCCTGCTTAGGAAAGTCATCCGAATACGCATTCTGGCCCGCTGCGTATTCTGGCTTCCTACGTCACTCCTTAGTCTTTACCTTACCTTTCTTCGTAGATATCTTATGTATGGATACTCCGGAGCAATTTGAATATTCCAGAACCCTCGCCTGTCATAGCTCCGCCACGAAATCTATGTTGGCACGTTACCAGACGTGGTGCAGCTAGACCCTTTCCGCGGCTGGGCGACAGCCTCGAGCGCCACCAAATCACACCATCAACCAAACTACGCCCCGCCAGCCAAATCTTCTGCGAGTCTCTGAGCCTGCATTCAAGCCTCGATAGGTAACCGAGTCGAAGCCTTGGAATTTGTATGCTTGTATGCTCTCCGACTGGATAGAAGAAAGGGTCATCGGACTCCAAGAAAACCATTATTGACGTCCCTGCCACATGTATTTTCCACCTGGAAGCAAATGACGACCTGCCCGCTGTCCAGGTACAGTACGTCTTTTGCATTGATCGCGATCCTACCATTGGAAGCCGCATTGCTGAACAAGTCCAATCAGACTGGAACAAAGATGCAAAACAACCACCAAAGAAGGTACAAAAGACATCCGCATATTCGAGGCAAGACTTCTTCTGCTCGAACCGCCGCCCGCGCTTTCCTAGCTGCACGCACCCATGGTATACGCATTGTCAATATTCTTGTCGATAATCCCCGCGTTAACTGCCATCTGGTAGTCCCAGCGCGGGTCGTTAAGGCCTGTTGTCTTCCACGTCCAGAAGACCTATTCATATGTCAGCATTCGGAGAACTCTGACGTGCGGAGATGAGAAGACTTACCCAGCCCTGCGCCGTCTTCTCGTAAGACACGACTTGCGCAGTCCAGAACTTGCGGTAAAAGTCCTTGTTTGCGTCTTTCGTCGAGTCCCAGTCACTGGTCCGCTCGAGGTCGTCTGCGACCAACAGAGACCACTCACTCACAAACACGGGATAAGTCCGCTCGCCAAAGGGTTCGGAGCCTATCAGTCGTCAAATCTATAAACAGTGCCTGCTGCAGTCCTAGTGCAGGAGTTTTGCGTGACTGTCAGGCTCATTCAAGCTATCAAATCCATGTCCAAGGTGCTTTGTGCGTCGTTCTCGACCTCGGCGGACAGTGGCGTTGCGGACAGAGACCGGCCCGTGAGACTCATTGACCAAACGACGGCACTCCTCAATATGTTGGCTTGAATTGAGCCTGCTGTATGGTCAGACTCGACAAATGATGGGGCCAAAAGCTTGATCAGCGCATTGTCTGCCTTTGCATGCTTCGCCTGAAGTCAAGCCACTGGCCATCCACGACCGGTGCCGAAGCCAAAATTCTTTCCCATTGCTCGCGGCAGCGGCTTGACAATATAGCGGCCTTCTTTTCGCGCCTGTGGAGGTACATCTCACTCTCGAATCACTCCTGCACCGACCAGCAAAGTGTTCCTACCTGGCCACCGATTGTCCGCACTGATCAGCCCTCCAGACATATTCGATTGTTCACCACAAGTCATTGGTTCCTGTCATCCGTTGTGACAGTCTCTCATTGCAATATGTTGTACAGATCAATTCTTGCCTGGGGACTGGTAATGACCTCGGTAATGGCCGATGCAGCGAAGAAAAAAAGTTATAGCATGAGTGGCGAAGAGCTTGGCAGTTTGTCGTTCCGTGACTTTGTGATGCACGCTGCTAATCTTCAAAGGTCGATTACAGCCTTGCTTTCCCGACAAGGAACACGGTGCCTGCTGCGCTTTGAATGGTACTACTGAACAGAACGACATCTGCCTCTGCATGTGACGCCTGGATGGTGGAGTACCTTTCTCTATGCCAACGGGTGTACAGGTCCGCTGTCACTATATGCTTCGCAAAGTCTTCAGGCTGACCATTGCAGACCAGACTGGCGCAGCTGCGGCTTGTCCACATCAATGCGACTTCATGCCACGGCCGTCGGAATATTCGTACCTTTTGCTGTAGAGCTGGTGGCGACGAGGACAACTGCTGTAAAACTTCGGCCGTCTTCCAAGCCGACAAGACGATTGGACAAATCCTGCTCCCCTGGTACCGTAGATACAGTCAACACCACTTACAGCACAGGTAAGCTGACAATGTCCAATCCTGTCCGGGCATATGCTGACAGTCGGCAGTATACGACTCTGGAACGAGCGATAAAAGCGCGGTGGTTGGAGGAGCTGTGGGGGGGCGTACTAGGAGCAGCGCTAATTGCTTCGCTGATCGCTTTGTTCCTGTCCCTGCGGAGCCGGAAGTCCTTGAGACCAACTTCAACACCCTCCAGCAAGAGCAAGAGACTGCAGCGCAGCACAGTGCCAATGAAAAGGCAGCTCTCCAACAACAGCTCGACCAGCAACAATTCCATTACCAGCAGTATCAGCAACAGATGCAGGCGCCGACTTACAGCGCAGCCTAATTAACATGCGTAGGGTACCATTCTCCGGCGCTTCCTATGGGTACACCTTCAATGCAGGCATACCCCTCCGAAATCTCGGCCATCTTAAGACCCGCTGAGACGGATACAATGCGAGGAGCGAGTGAGCTTTCGACCGAAACTGTCTCTCAGGATGTGGAAAGAATAGATGAAACCCCCAAAAAGGTCGATTGAATATCTGAGGAAGATCTTTCAAGATATGATCAACAAGAATAATGTTATTGCTTTCGGCACCGGTCCAGCAAATGTTAGTATAAGAGGTTGATATACAGTATGATGTCCGTGCTCGTCTGAAGAGGAAGTCGTGTGGCGACCTAGTCGAAAGTGACCTTCTTCCCTGTAAAAATGGCTTGGGTCTGAGACTCCTTCCGCTTTTTGATAGCTTCCCAGGAAGGATGCAGTGACCCAGAGTCGTCCCTTTTCTTTGGTTTGCCCAATGGCACCGTGTTTCCTTGGGTAGCTGCGCCATTTGCTTTGTGACTTACTTTCCCATCGCGGAAACGGTGCTGGCGGCGATCATTTTCCCCAACTGCGCCTCGCTTCGGATCCCAGCTGGTTTGTCGTGTGGCCGTCTGCTGCGCAATATGATTGGCTTTCTTCCCAAATTTCATTTCGGCAAGCTTCTGCCGTGCTCGTTGCCCACGGCGGTTTTTGCGCTCTTTGCGCAGAGGCGGCCCGCGATTATAGTTCAAATCACCAGTTTCTGAATCGGAACCGGAGTAATAACCCCCAAGACTCAGTGAGGGCAAAAAAGCTGTTGACGACAAAGGTTTGACGATTTTCTCAGTGTTCGAGGGTCTTTCTCGTCGATCAACGGGTTCGGGGCTGGCTGAGATTGAGAGATCCTCTCGGGGAGGCCGGATGAGGTTCCCTTGCTCTGATATGCTATCACTGGGACTAAATTGCAGGTCTGCCGAGGCATCGTCATTCGTCTCATCATCGGAAGATGCTAATCGGCCTGCATACTGATCCAGGAGATTGTCCATTTCTGAGCCCGATAAGTCGTCGTTTACAGCCTCGCCGTCATCAGGTTCCCTGTCGGAAAATCCATCAAAGACATCTTCGTCTTCAGAGTTTTTGCTTTTGCTGGTGACTGCACGTTTGTCACGTTTGATGTCAATCTTGTCGGGCCCAGCCTGCGATATATCTAGGGCATCATAGATGCCATTCATAATCCCGGGAAGGACCTGTTTCACCGGCCCAGAATTGAAAAGCCTTCCTATCACATTTCCTTCCGCAATTGACTTTGTCGGATCAAGCACCGGATCCGGTCCGTAAACCTGGATGAATGCAGGATGTTCTTTGATACGTTTCGTCTTGACCAGTTGTTTGATGACATACTGTCTGGCCGTCCGATCGAGTTTCAGCTGCTTGAGCACGATGACCTCCTCCCGCAGGCGTAGTAGATTGTGTGGCTCACTGCTGGCGGCCTTCTGACGACGGCCGAGTTTTTGCTTCTCAAATCCGCGCGCGAGCTTAAGAGCGGCGTGCAGGCTCTTAATACCGTAAGTGAGTTTGGCCCTTAGGCGTGAAACTTGGTTTTCAAGAACTGGGTCCAGTTTTTTGCTGTCGCCATCATCCATGTCATCTTCACGCTTCCGTTTCGCCATGAATAATAATGGTCAGAAGACCACGGCTTATCCAGGGCGATTGTCAGCACGAAGAAAGATGTTGGTTCCTGGACTTCGCTGTTGGAATACGATCTCAAGTTTCAACTTTGAGTCTGAGGCTCTCAGAAAAAGGCTTGGCATCAATTTCTCGAAACTCACTAGCCATATGCAGAATAGCGCATCCCTACTCCGGATTGCCCATCTAGCCGTCGAATTTTCGACACGAAGACACGTGCTACTTCCGACCGTACACAGTCCAAGTGCTATTTCTAGCATCCAGGTCCCCGAGCGAGGTTTCCAAGGTTTAGGGAACTATTGAGATGGAAAAACAACGAGCACCTCGAAGTACTTCGCGAATGCTACAAGAATAATATGACAGTTTTGGCCCGACCACCTACCCTCCTGGCAGACAGCTGAGATATCAACAGTGCAAAGACGTAAGCAGAACCTTGCATAAGATACCTAGACATTTACATCACAACCGCGCCAATGCTCTTGAGTCCGTCAGAAATTCCATGCTGCTGAGATGCGCAAATACTCCCGATGCAGGCTCATCATTTCAGGGAGGCATCTCCACCGCACCCGCATGTACACTTGCTCGGATCTTTCGGTCGACATAAATCTCAGCAGGTAGCTGATGGGTTGTCTGATGTAACGCTTGGCTGCCATATGGATTGTCCCTATATGTCTCTGAATTTGATGTCAGAAGCTCCTTTGGTGCATTCTTTCCAGCTCTTGATCGTTTCCTCATCATGAGAAATATGGCAATGAAGACAAAGACAGCGAAAGCCACTCCTCCGACTGCGATACCCGCTATTGCCCCTGATGAGAGCGCACTGGACTTTTGCGCGTTGGTCGAAGTAGCAGGCGTAACAGGGGAAGTGGACTGCGCGGTAGCCGTGGACTGGGCTGGAGAAGTGGACGTTGCGGTGGTGCTAGCTTTCTACAAGGTGTCAGCATCAGGTCCAGATCTTGCGAAGAATGCCACATACCGCCACTGAAGACAACGGCAGCGTCATGTCTGCGCTGACTTCACCAGCCGAACTATTTATGTCGAAGGTCCAGTGACTTCCTTCTTCTGCCGTGTTCATCACCGGAATGATGAAGTCTGTAGAGTTTGTGCTAACGCCCAGTATCTGGAATTCTCCCACTGCCATATTCACAAGCTTCCTGGTACCGTCGGGCCAGATTGTGATGTTCCATTGCTGAGCAAGGTCTCCAGTCGTAGGAAGAAGCTGAGGTTGTGTGTCGGTGGTGGAACTGACGGCTAGCTGATAGTTTGCGCCATAGTCAAAATTGCGAATGAAGTAGACTTCGTCTTGGAAGTATATCTGCCAGTTCTCCGATGAGTAGCTAGTGGTACCCAGAAACAAAGGATCGGGGGCGTCTGCATTGTAGCCGTCGCTCAAGAGAGTTTCCTGACCATATCGATCACAGGAGAGACGGTAATATGCGGTGGAATCGAATAGATCGGACATGATGTATGCGGGCTGCTCTTTGTGATAGCGACTTTGTTAAACACACCCGCCCATTGATGAGAAGAGATGGTTACTTCACGAACATGGGAAAGGAGCAGTGTCTGGCACAGCCCGCCCACGGTGAAGACCATGGCCAAAGACCCCTTGACCAACCAGTGTGGCAAGGTATACTGTTCTCGTCAAGAAGTGTTTGGAAAACAATCAGTCAATCAATTAAACGTCTGCCTGTGTCGCGTAGTAAAACCGGCCCCCAATAGCACACTTGCCCAATAGGGTTTCGCCTGTAAACAGGTGCGTCAAACGTCGGTTATACATAGTAGGTAGGTAGTGCACAGACTAGCCTCGGGTGATTGGAGGCTGTAGCTTCGCACAGTAAGTGTCTAGAAACAATAAATGCTGCACCTTCGATGAAGGGGCCCCAATACTTCAGCGGCAAGGTCGAGGTGTGACAATGTCACTGCTGAAACCGTAAAGCGCTCATTGCAATCTTGGCTCTCCAGCGCAGACAAGTTGCGGCCGAGGTCAACCATGTCAATTATTGTCAGCCCTTGGGTATTTCACCCATGTTGAATGTCGTTGAAAAGTTAGACTGCGAGACACACTGCGAACCTTCGGCGCCTCAACTACGGTCGCACAAGTCTGGTAAGAAGTCATCTCATGGTGGTTCGCTAAAGTCAAACGCTGCGTCGGATAGCTCTCCTTGGTACAAGAGAAAGCGAGAAACCTCGCCTGGCGCCCAGGTGGACGTGCAACCGTTCCATCATGTTGGCTACCAAGGAAGGTGAAGGTGTCGCCAATGTGTTGGTGGCAGATTATGTAAGGGACAAACAACACTAGTGGCCTTCCGGCTTAGTGTTGAATCTGTTTCAAAGGAAAGTATCCCGAACTGCATCTTCTGACATAAGCAGCTCGAATCCAGGGTGCAGCACGCGCAGGTCAGCGAAAGGGAGGGTATCATTGGGAGACTCTCTTTGCATACAATTGGCTCAGAATTGACGAAAGGCATGCGACCGGTGGGAGAAAAGGCAGCCTTTGATTGGCGCTGCTCGCTTGGCTGCTGTTGAGGCTGAGGCCGCTGAGCTGAGCTGAGGTTCGACATTCTTTTAAGGCATCTGTCTGCCTGGCCATTAGCCTCCTCTTCAGCTACTTATACTCTTTTCAACTCCGGCTCGAGCGATTCCTTCTCTCTTCTTGCTGTGTGCATTTGGCAGCTCGATCTACTCTAATATCATATATATTTAAACCTAAGTATACACTATCCGAGCACTTACACCGGATCGACATCAACAGCTACGCGAGACGACAAGATGGCGCTTACACTGCCGAAGATCTTACTGATTCTGCTGTCCATCGCCGGCTTTTGGACTCTGTGGATCTTTCCTTATACCAATGGGTTGTTGAAACTGCTTGGCCAACAGTCCGAACCCGGTGCCGTCATTCCAGGTCCTACAGCGGCGCCGATGAAGCAGACGTACACTGGCATTGGACCCGTGGACAAGCAATTGACGGTCCTGGTCAGCTTCTTCTACACGGCAATCGACGGCAACCGAGCCGATGTATCGCTCTCCTTTCTGTACCTCGGTGGCCAAGTTCTTGCTGCCTGGGCCTTGATCACCATCGAAAGCTTGAGGGTAGGCAATCGGGGCAAATTCTTCCTTACTGCGTGAGTGTCAGCCTTACCTGGAACCGTTCAGCCGCATTTACTGATTTGACCTAGGACGACTTTGTTCGGGGTCGGAGTAGCCATCGTCGGTTATGCGTGCGTGGCGCCCTTGTGGTTTGCTCTTCACCTCTGGCTCTCGCCCGCCGCGGTGAATCCAAAGGACTACCAATTGATCGTGGACGTGCCAATTAAATTGGCCATCGCTCCGATAAGTATTCTCATCGGGTTTGGGCTACCGTCACTTCTCATGTGCCTCCCCGCGCCAACCATGGTATCTTTCGAGACCAAGCAGACCTGGACTGGCATCCAACAAGGTTGGGCTATCTGGATCGGCGTCACCCAGCTCCTCCTGACGACTCTTGCCCTGACCCTCGACCAGCGAGCGTCCATTCTGACCGAGGCTGACAAACGGGCCAAAACGATCAAATATTTGCGCCGAGTATATGCATTTGCGATCGCTTCGTCAGCTGGTTCGCATCTCGCTGCCTGGAGCTTGTCACTCCTCGCGTATGCTTTCCCGGTTTTGTTCAGTCCGACGTACCTCTCGCAACTGCAGCCGGCTCATATCTTCGTGCCTGTTGTCCCATTTGGACCTTACAAAGTGTCTGTGATTGCGGATGGCGCGCTTCCGTTCTTGCAATGGGATATTGTGGTCGGAGTGGTGTCCACGCTGCTCTGGGGATTGACTTTGCGTGTGGCGGCGAAGAAAGAGCAGGCAACTCCAGTTCAAGTCATCATTGGGGCGGTCAAGATTGGGGTTATCACGCTCGTGCTGGGCCCGTGTGGGACGGCTGCTGTGGCATTGTGGAGTCGCGACGAAATGGTCTTTCGCAGGTCAACCGCGGAGAGCAAGAAAAGCAAGAGCACTTGAAACTACTTTGGGCGTAGTCGCCAGGACTCGGCCGTCGGGAAGACGACTTCTGGGATGGAATGCAGCCTGGCTTGACAGGTAATATGCGTTGGGAAATCGGAGGGCAATGTTTTTGGAAATGCGTACGCGAAGATGGTTACTGCGGAGTTAATCGGGAAAGATTATTCGTGGTAATAATTCACCTAGTTCTCGCCCATACTGAAGGGCATAGAAGGTAGTCAGTTCAATACTTGGGTATGCCGAAATACGATCCGGGGCCCCGGCAAGTTGTTTGGGGCACTATCGGGAACAAACCGATTGCTTGGGGAGCCCTCATCCGTGTCTAATAAAGCGAAAGCGTTAGCCGTCCGAGTGCTACGGAGTATCCCCCGCACCTCGATTTCTCAATCGGATTTCGAGAGAATACAAACAACAATCCTTCGACCCTCCAAAAACAGCAGGATTTCGTACCGGACCTGTGCTGTGTGATGAGCAGGTGGTGATCGACAATGACAGGTTCGGAGAACAGCAGCAGTAAGGCGCCAAAGGGCCTTGGGAGCACCGAGGCACTGGTTGTGTCTCAACTGGGAGGGCCGTTTGAGCTGAAGGAAGTCCAGTTGAAGGACATGCGTAGCGACGAGATTGTGGTCAAGATGATCGCCACAGGAATCTGTCACACGGATCTGGCGACAGCTCATGTGAGTGCTTATCAATACTTGGGATTTCTCGGAGGCTTCCTCCAAGGTGCTGGCTGAGAGATATCCAGCCACCCAAGCTCGCCCCATGAGCAATGATAACTTCAATCCTTTGCTGACTGTCCCAGGGCTTCAAAGGGCCCGGCTTGCCCGCTGTTCTCGGCCACGAGGGTTCTGGCATTGTCGAGCAGGTCGGCCAGGAAGTTAAGCACGTGGCTGTGGGCGACCACGTATTGCTCACATACAATGCTTGCCTTGAATGCACGCCTTGCCGGCGCGGGAACTTCTCCTACTGCCGGTTTGCAGAGCAAGCATGCTTCGGCGGGTCGCGGCTGGATAATACACGGACGTTCTCCCTGAATGGGGAGGATATCAATTCGGCGTATTTTGGCCAGTCTTCGTTTGCAAAGCGGTCCATTGTGCGGGGATTTTGTGCCGTCAAGGTCGACAAGTCCCTGCCGCTCGAGGTCCTCTGCTGCATAGGCTGCGGCGTACAGACAGGCGCGGGTACGGTCATGAACGTGCTGAAACCTCAGGTTGGGTCCTCAGTTGCTGTATTCGGGGTAGGAGGAGTTGGGCTGGCCGCTATAATGGCCGCGAAGAACTTCACCCCGGCCACAAAGATCATTGCTGTCGACGTCGTTGATTCAAGACTCGAAATGGCCAAGGAGCTGGGTGCAACGCACACGCTCAACTCCAAGGGCCGGGACATTGTTGAACTTATACACTCCGTGACCGATGGCGATGGCGTTGACTGTGCTATGGATGGAACAGGGAATCTCGCAGTCGTACAGGCCATGATAGCTGCAACGGCGAACAATGGGATCGCTGCTACAGTCGGTGGCGTGCCTGCTGGTCAACATGTCAACATTGAGCCGGGCAGTTGGATACAACGGGGTGTTAGCTACATCGGATCTTGCCAAGGGTCGTCGGTGCCTCAGAAGGTAAGTTGGAAGTCATCCAAGCCTGAGATTGTTCCTGTGTAACATGCGATATTGCGCTAACGCTGGCCACCTCAACAGTTTATTCCGGCCTTGGTGGAGTTCTGGAAGCAAGGCAGATTTCCCATTGACCGGCTTACCAAGTCATATGCGTATAAAGATGTAAACAAGGCAATTGATGACATGCATCATGGCCGGACCATCAAGCCCGTCCTCATTTGGGATGACTGAGGTTCGAAAAGATTGCTTCTAGGAGGTAGAAGGGGAAAGGTTGGCCTGAGGGATGTACGGACAGCTGCATAAGGAAGGACGACAACAGCGCCGGATGCCGCCTTGCTGGCTTATAGCGCTCTGTAGCGTAACAATATCAGGAACAAACATGACTGGCATTGTCGGCATTATTCTAGAAGTGTCGAGGCTAGGTACGTAAGGCGGAAATAGTCAATTGAAGGAAGCAAGGCAAGTCTCAATGATTGCGTGTCATCCGGATATTTACTTTGCATGCGCCACCGCTCAATGTCACCCTCACGTACTACTAGTGGTTAGTACTGTACCCCCTAACTAAAGGTAGGCACTCTTATGCTACCCCTTATTATGCTCCCCTTCGTCTGTTGTCTCAAACACTCGCCTGTTTGCTCCCGTGACATGATGAGGATGCGAAAAACAAGCACCGCCTAAAAATAAGCGATTTGCTTGTCCTGAGCTTTGCTTGCCTCTTCCTCACTCCTCAGATCGTTCGGCTCGGTTGCATCCATTGACTGTCCTGTTGAGGTCAAGGCTAACAGTCGTCATGCAATTCCTGAAAGGTCTTGCCATCACCACCTTGGCGACTCCCTGCTTTGCCTCGCCTGGATATCTCAAGCTCGATGTCCATCGGCAGCCGCGACATGGAAGTCATCTCGCTCGCAGGGCGAATGTCGACGGCACAGTCGACGCCCTTTTGACACAAAACACCAACAAGCTTGAGTATTTGGTCAACATTACTATCGGTACTCCGCCACAAAGTCTTGCCGTCACTTTGGATACCGGCTCATCGGACCTCTGGGTACCCGCAGCCGCAAGCAAACTCTGCGAGCAGGGGAAGTGCGACGATGGTACCTTTGCGCGCTCCAAATCAAGTACCTACGACGTGGTCGAGCAAGGTGGCTTTAACATTGTGAGTTTAGCCTCTAATGACAGATCAATGTCCCATCGTTAATATCCTCGTAGACATATGCAGCACCTGGAGACTCTGATGCTGGTGATTGGGCAACGGACACTGTCACAGTCGGAGGGTCGCCTTCAATCGCACAGCAGCAGATTGGGGTAGCATTCTCGATAGTTGATCCTCATGGTGTCATGGGTGTGGGCTATGATACGAATGAAGCTTCCGATAATGTCTACCCAACGATTATGGACAACTTGAAGTCCAATGGCGTCACTAACCGCAAAGCTTACAGCCTGTACTTGAATGACCTCCAAGCAAACACCGGGGCTATCATCTTTGGCGGAGTTGACACAACGAAGTATACCGGCGAACTCGTTGCACTACCCTTACAGGTGAGTGTCCGAGGGATCCTCCACAGGTGAACCTTGTGCTGACCTGTATTGCAGGATGGACCATATGGATACGTTGCTGAATTCTACGTGACTCTCACGGGTGTCTCTTTCACGGACCATACAGGTTCTACAACACAAGTTACACCACAAGGATATGCGCAAGCCGTCTTGCTCGATTCGGGCACAAGTGCAACTCTTCTAACCGACGACGTGTTCTCTGCCATAGCAAACGGATTTGGAGCAGTTGACCTTGGTGACGAGGATTACGTGGTGCCTTGTAGGTACGCCGGTGCCAATGGCAGCATCAACTATTCCTTTGGCGGCGAGGATGGTGTCACCATCAGAGTCCCTATATCCCAAGTAGTTGGAAACTTGGACTTCCCGGGAGACCAATTCAGCGATGCCGACGGCGGGTGTGAATTCGGCTTGGGACCTCCAATTCAAGGGTTCTCCATTATGGGGGACACATTCCTCAGAAGTGCTTATGCTGTGTTCGACATCGATAACAACCTCGCAGCTTTAGCTCAGGCCGCTGAAAACATGACGGATACTTCGAGCATTGCGGCTATACCGCCTGGCACAAGCATACCAGGTGCCTCTATCACGGCGACTGCTACTGGTACTCAACTCTCCGGAGCTGCAGCAACAGCACTACCTGTAGTTCCCACTGCGAGTCTGCAAGGCACGACATTGGTGTTGGCGGGCACTCCTACCTTCAATCTCGGTGTTTCACCCACGAGTGGAACTTCTCGGGCAACATCGTCGTCGTCCTCCGGGAAAGCTCACGCAGCGGCGCCGACTGCGGCCCTGCTAGGTCTGGGTTTGGCTGCAGGTATTCTGGCCGCGTGAAGAGAGAGGCCGCTACGCAGATTGCGACACGGCAACTGAGAAGACATGAGTGAATGATCAAGCATACATAGACTATTCCCAACGAAGACAATCTTGCTAGAAGACCCACGAGACACACCGCTATTTCCAAAGGTATTAGAATCCAATCATAGGCCATGCGATCACGCGTCGATTTCCACTCTATACCTAGGTACCTCAGGTAGGTATGTTCATCGACTCGTACGCTCTGTATATTTGTTTCCTATCAATTTCCACACCACGCGTGTCACGCGCATTCGGGCTGTCAAGCGTCTCACTAAGAATTTGGACAGAGATGATGAAGACATGGCTCTTCCAGCATCCGCGGCTCAAGGCAGCACGAGGCTGTCTGATTGGCCGCAAGAGTCTCCCCCAGTCTGCCCACTGTGCCGCACATTTATCGCACATGACAGTTGCGGCAGCATCACCATCATCACTCCTCCATATCCTGTTTACCTCAACTCTCAAGTTTCTATCACTCCTTGTACGCGCAAACAGTGTCGAAGCCCTCACCATTCCAGTCGCGAAGATATCACCAAAAGCCGATCGAAAAGAAACCAAAGATGACCTCTTGAGTCGCGCAGTCGAATCCAACCCCGAATCCCCTCCCCTCCGTCCGTTGAACGCGCCTTTAAACAAGCCGTGATCCCTTCGAGGTCACAGCGAGGCGCAGATCAGCGGCAACGGAGACGACCTCGCCACTTAGTACCACATGAGCCAAAATCTCTGGCGCTCTCTTCTCGAAGATGATGTCGATACATTTCGACAGTACCTGGCGAACGCCACCTTTGCGTCCGGTGCTTCGAAGGCCTTTACGCAAGGAGGACATGCCGGATTAAGAGTTGGCAGTCCCAGTTCTCTGGCAGTATCGCCTAAGACACCCTTGAAAACGCGAAAGAGCTCGGCAAATACTCCTACAAGCGCAAGCGTGGGCAGGAATGCTGGCCTCGTCCTCACACGAGCCGATCTGAATTCGAAAGACAGCTTTGGTAGGACGTTACTGCACCACGCTGCCTCGTCCCGGTCGGAAGATGCGCTAGGCTTCGTGAAGGCACTGTTGGACTTGCCATTCATCGATCTGTATGCCCAGGACGCGGAGTCCGGGTGGACCGCCCTCCATCGGGCATTGTATTCTGGCAATATTTCAGTGGCGCATGCGCTTATGGCTCGTGATATCCAGTATGCGACGGACTACACAACGAATACCCAACATGCTCATGCTGGCGGTCTAGTCAAGATCAAGGATCATGAGGGCAACAGTCCATTCGAGGTCTTTGGCTTGACAATTGCGCCTCGCTCTCTTCAAGATGAGAATTCCTCGGCCCTTCCATCCGGACTCGAAGATGCCGGCAGTGTCGACAGCATGGACTACCATGAAGCCCACGATCCCGGGTCGAGGCGTCATGTTTATCCCCGTGTCGATCTCGAAGGAGATGAAGTGTACGCTTTTGGTAGCAATAAGAATCTCTCCTTAGGTGTGGGGGATGGAGACGACCGGCAATTTCCTGAACGGCTGCAATTCTCAAGGCCTGACCACCTACTCCATCGCTTGCTTGACGATCACCTGGCAGCCAGGCAGCGTTCCTCATTCAATGATGATCTGGCAAGCAGCAGAGGGTATCTTCCATCTCAAAATGACTTGCCGGCTGTCATACGCTTCAAGCCCATCACGATCCAGAATGTGGTTATGTCAAAGCTCCATACTGCTGTGCTGACCAGCGATCCCGTCTCAAACTTGTACATGTGCGGGTTTGGGGCTGGAGGTCGTCTTGGTACCGGCGACGAAAACACGTCCTTCTCCTACAAGTGCATCCAGGCGGGTGGGCTGGCGAAGAGACGCATCTCGGCCATAGCACTTGGTCAAGACCATACCGTGGCTGTCTGCTCCCAGGGCGAGACATACACCTGGGGAAGTAATCGCTACGGCCAATTGGGGTATTCTCTACCTGAGGTACCCAAAAATGAGGTCCCTACACAGCTGACACCACGTCAACTGTACGGCTACATCAAGAAGGAACTTGTTGTTGGTGCTGCAGCATCTGCAATCCATTCAGCACTGTTCACACCCACTGCTCTGTATACCTTCGGCAAAAACGAAGGCCAACTTGGTCTCATGGATGCGGACGCCAGGTCGCTTGAGATACAAGAGCTTCCCCGTCGGGTCGGCGTCTCCATATTGCAGTACCCGATTGCATCAGTCAGCGCGATAGATCGTGCTACGATTGTCTTGCTCGTCAATCACGATGTTATTGTTTTCACACATTACGGCTGGACCAGGATTCTCTTCCCACTCGAAACCTTCAGCAATTACTATCTGCCCGACAGTACTATCACGAGATATAATATGGAAACTAATTACATCACGCAGGTAACAAGTGGTGGCAGTACGATTTGCGCCATGTCTTCCTTTGGAGAAGTCTACGCCATTGATGTTCCGAAGGTGCCAGAGAACGTTCCCTCGAACGCATCAACAACGAATCCTACAAAGGCTCGCAATGCCTTGGCACCACCCACCCGCCTATGGTCCATACGCAAAGCCCACATGTCGGCTATCGACGTGGCCGTTGGCCAGGATGGATCTATCGTTCTGTGCACGGCTTCAGGATCAGTCTGGCGGAAAGAGAAACGTGCGAATATAAAATCTGTTCGAGAGAAGCATGTCGGGCCAGCTCGAGCCAAGGATTACAAATTTGTCCGCGTTCCGAACCTGACTCGAGCAATCGCTGTGCGGAGCAACGCCTTTGGAGCCTTCACCGCTATACGGAAAGACTGCACAGTAACACGCAATCAGATCGACCCAGACCCTCCCTCCCTCTGGAAAGATGTCTTTCCCTTACTGCCTTTCGCCCAGTATGGAGGTCCTGAGGACCAAGGTGGGATAGGAACGCATCCAGCAGATATCTGCTCAGCCTTAATCACTCAAGCCGATGCTGAACAAGACATACATAACATCTGCAAGCGCTATGAACCGCTTTCGGAAAGTCAGTTTGACCTTTGGATTACATCCAACCTGACAGATGTTCGCATTCCCATTCATGCGTTCATGCTCAAGTCGAGAAGCCGCATCATGCGGAGTGCTTTGACAGAATTCCAAGAGAGCTATTACTTTTCTATTCCTGATGTCATGTCGATTGAATATGGAGCGGATGGTCAGATTCAGCTCACCTTTCAAGGCGCCGACTTCTTGACCATTATGAACCTGGTTCTGTACCTCTATACAGAAAGCTTGGCAGATGTCTGGCATTACACCTCGAGAGCATTACAGTCTGCCGCCCGGTATCGATCAGTTCGAAACGAACTCTTGAAGATTGCCACCCATCTGGAGCTTCGACAGCTAGAACGCGCCGTGCGAATCATGACCGACCCTATTCGAAGTCTCGCGAACGATATGGAGCTCGCTTTTCTTGACACTGAGTTCTTCTACGATGCTGATGTATGCATTGAGCTTGCAGACGGGGTTGAACTGCCGGCGCATAGCGTTCTACTATGTGCCCGATGTCCTTTTTTCGATGGCATGTTCAACGGTCGAGCTGGAGGGATGTGGATGGCTTCACGACGCAACATAGCAGCGGAAGACTCCGAGGTGGTGAGGGTCGATCTCAAACACATGGACGAAAGGGTTTTCAGCATGGTTCTGCGCCATTTGTACGCTGATGCTGGCGAAGAGTTGTTTGACGACATCGTCGCGAAGAGCTTGGATGAGTTCATTGATATGGTCATCGAAGTTCTCTCTGCCGCCAATGAACTCATGGTGGGTCGTCTTGCGCAAATCTGTCAACAGACGCTGGGCAAATATGTCAACGTCAGAAATGTCTGCTCTTTGCTGAACACTGTTGCGGAATGCTCAGTCGACGATTTCAAACATGCTGCCCTTGAGTACATTTGTCTAAACCTCGAAACCATGCTGGAGATGAAGCTGCTGGACGAGCTAGACGAAGACCTCCTTGCTGAACTCGATGCTGTGGTGCAAGCAAACCAACTGGCTTTCTTGCCTTTTGCTCGCAGCGAACAGGCCGAGGCTGAACTGCTAGAGAACCATCCGGATCTCTTTGCGAAAATCGAAACCTCTAGGCAGCGCCGGATTGACTCTATGGGGCTGAGGTCAAGACTGGCAGAGGATGAAGCACGTCATGCTTCCGCCGCCAAATTTCGGGTTGGCAGCATAGACCGGCAGATATCGTCTTCTCTACCCAAGTCACCATCGCTGACTCCGAATGGCGAGTCGCCTGCCAGTACGCCGAGTCCGAGCCCGGCAATTGCACCAAATGATGCGATGGATGACCTTCCCTTCGAGATGGACGATGACTCGCCACGCTTACTGCCAGGACCAGCAAACGAAAGATCACAGCCGATTACAAAGTCGACACCAATCCGAGAACATGTTGGGCCAATGAGCAAACCCAAACCCATTACTGAGTTGTCCAATACTCCTAGAGCTCCTCGGGCCGGCTTTTTAAGCTCATCCCAGCCGCACTCTGAGTATGTGGTCTCTTCGGCAAGCCCTCCGGTGGCCATTGCAGGGTTCGAAACACCGAGGACAGCATGGCATCTGCCGGTGCACAGTCCTCCAAAGGACGGTCTAAAAGACATCATGGAACAGACGTCGGCTTCGCGCGTGTCCAGTCTGACGCAGGCCATGCGTACAGTTTCAGCGCCTTCGAAGGGCGGTGCAAAAATGTCTCAGAAGGAACGCAAACGGCAACAGCAGTTGATGAAGGATCAAGAAACCAAGGCATCACTTTCCCCTATGGTGTCGAAAGAACAGAGTACAAAGGCGCAGTCGCCGTGGCAGACGGTCGCGAAACCGTCCATGTCTGCTGCTTCACCGATCTTAGCGAAGCCAAATGCTGCTGCAGACACGACAACACAGACGCCTCCGAGGCCAGCGATGACCATGCGACAGACAGTAGCAGGTGCCGCTTCGACTGCCAAGTCTTCTGGCAAAGACGCGAATCGTGGGAGATCTCCATCCGAGCTTGCGCCACCTTCCAAACCAGCAGCGCCGCAAATTCAATCCATCCGTCACACCCCATTGCCTTCGAGAACTGGGTCAGGTGTTGACGCGCGCACTTCCATGGCCGAAATTCTGGCGCAGCAGCAGTTTGAGAAGACGGCGGTCAAGGAAGCGGTAGCGAAGAGATCACTACAAGAAATTCAGCAAGAACAAGAATTCCAACAGTGGTGGGACAACGAGAGCCGGCGTGTGCAAGAAGAAGAAGAAGCACATTCCAGTACAGCGGCTTCTTCCGGTCGTGGCAAAGGTGGTCGTGGGCGAGGCGGACACCGTCGCGGCAGTGGTAGGGGCAAATCAACGTCTGGAGCAGAATCGGGTGGACGAGAGAAAGCGATGACGGCGTCTCCGACGGTCGGGGAGGATTTTGGCCGCGGACGCGGTAGCCAAAGGGGCAGTGGCAGGGGTCGCAGTCACGGAAACACGCAGCAACGAGGGGCAAGGCATCAATGATAGACTCACAGCAAGGTGGTAATTCAGCTAGAGCTTTTGTACAAATCCATAGACGCATGTTATACATAGTAACGAGTCGATTGCACTGCAAGTGCATTGAACAGTCAGCGGTGTCCTCAATTCTGGCCAGGCTGCCGTTTACACACCTGTGTGCCGTTCCTAGCTTGTAATGTAGACCAAATCCTCGGCCAATCGTTACTGTGCCTGTAGCCTGTTGTCCCTGCAGACCTACTACGTAGATCAGAATAGCTGCGAGCGTCAGGTATTTTGGTTTGTCCACAGTAAAATGCCCGAGTCATCTCGAAGTACCATGCCTAACTGGCGTAGTTAGCAGTAAGTTAGTGGGCGGAAGGGCGGGCGGAGTGTACGGGAGGTCTGAAGGTGGGGATGGGTAGGGTCTTTTTGCCCAGATGCAGGATTGACGAAGGGATTGCAAGACGGACGTGGGGGGTGGAGAAACTCAAGGCAGAGAGAGTGGTCAAGGCAGCAAGAAGGAATACGAGACGAGGAAAAGTGAGGACAAGTCGGATCTCGAGCTGATGTTGACTGGTCTTGGGCTGGCGTCCAAACGAGGCTGACCTGTATTTGACTGCTCCGTACTCCATACTCACAGTAGAAAACTACTGTCGTTAGAAGTGGGAGACTAAGGAGTCAAAGGAGCAACAGGTGTTGTGTTGAGGCAGCCTATCCGGCCATCATACGACTCTCGATCCACCATTTATTATCTACTCCGTATCTGTTTAGCTGATGTCGTGCCTGCGCCCATGATGCAAATGTTGACGCAGGCCCAGTCGTAGTCAGTGCCTAGTCAGCAGTCCGTACGGCGTATGGATGGTCTACTGATGGTCTACTGCTACGTGGTAGGTATGAAGCAAGGGCCGACAGAAGGGATGTTGCTGTCCTTAGGTGTCCGTACTCACCACGTCTTGCCTACCTACCAGGCACCTAAGCCAGCTTGCCAGGTAGCTCGGAGGTGCTAGGTGGGTGCCAGGTAGGCTTGTCGAGCTCACCGGCTGCATGCACCTGTCCGCTCCACCTCGCCTCGACCAAGCCACTCACAATTGCAGAATCATCGGTCGGGGCCTCGAGGGGGCTAGTGGGCTAACCATTCTCTTGCTGCTCTTGTATCCGTCGTTTCGATATCATCCATTTCACATCATTTCATGCAATCAATCATTCAGTGACTCTTCGCTTCCCGCCTTCTCTAACTCATCCATCCATCATCAACCTGGTCCGCCGCCCATCGCTGCCTGGCCTTCTCCCAACCCACACGACCACCACAGCTTGACGATTCCTCTCCACACACTACCACATTCTACCAGGGCGTGACCTGAACCTCCAATCACATGCAGCTCCCGTCATATGCCTGCGACTCGAGACCACACTGAACCGCACGTCTCAACATCTCGCTGATAAACTCCTGCGCCGCAACCATGACTCCTTCGTCTACCTAATCCACCTCTGATCCACTGCTACCCAAAAACCTAGCCAGAAACCTTACAACGTTCCTCTGCCTCGAATGTCTTAAACCGCCCTCCACCGAATCGTTGCCCGTCAAACCACTGCACAATTTGTGGGCTATCAAAGCATGGATGGCGATCGGATAGTCGCTATTCACCAACCAGCTCTTCACGGCTAAGCCAGGCACTGCATATTTGCTCCCGTCATCTTCCACTTATCAGTTTTTGTCGACGCCATGCATCAGCACCCTCGCCCTCCGCCCGCCTCGGCGTCCCCCGCAAACTCAGAACAGACAAACCCTACCCGCACGAACAACCCGAGAGATCGAGACGGCCAGGCATTTAGAACAAATTCTCCTCTCACTCAGGGTTCCGGGTCGTCGGAGGACTTCGCTGCTGCACGGCAAGACCAACCTGCGGACAATACCGCTGGCCAGATGCAGCGACTCAACCAGGTCGTCCAGAACTTTCACACCAAGGCCGCCTTGATCATTCTTCATTCCCGAGTCGAGCTATCACCAGCTTACTCCCAAAAGACAGACACAAGGAGGATCAATCGCTGGTTCAACCTCGATGTAGAAGAGACGGAAGAGTACAAGGACGACATCAGGAGGTGGAAGGCCTGCGATGTTGAAGACAACCGGCCTCCACCGCTAGTAATCGAGATATTTCTCACGACCGAGCCCCTACAACAAGGTCAAAGATTGGTGATTGTGGACGAAGATGGGAAGAGATGGGATGTGCAGAATACCTTGTCCTCCGCTCACAGCACTTCTCGATCAAGTCATCCCCGAAGCGCTGATACAAACGAGGTTCTTCTGGAGAGATGGACGGTAGAACTGGGTGATGCCACGGCTCCAATGCCCCCGGATTTGGCCACGCTGCTGCCTTTGGTTTACAAAAAGAGTATCGTCCTCTTCCGGTCCCTGTACACCTACAGTAATTTCCTGCCTGCTTGGAAACTGTCAAGGAAGATCGGGAATGGCCGGTCGCATATGGCATTGAAGCTGGGTTACCGTCTGATCAACGGGGCTCGTCTCAGCAGCTTATCTCGGTCAGACAATCTCAACCTTCGACTCTTTGATAGCAACGCCGATGTCTTGACAACTTACGATTTCGGTCCGACAGACTCCCCTGCCGGTCCTTTCTCGATAAAGGTAGAATATCGACAGAATTGCGACTTCCGGATAGATGACTCGGAGGAGCTGCTCAGTTCAAGATTCTTGGGAGCTGATGACGAACTTTTTAGACCGTCCCTCCCTAGTGATAAACGCTCCCGAGCTGAAATCGGGTCTCTACCTAATGACCGACGTCAGAATCTATTGGAGCGACCTGAACTTGGACTTGCATACGGCAGCTTGTCAACCTTCCATCAAGCAGGAATTGGCACGGGAACCAGTCCGATATCAGCACTGCGGAATGCTCAGGAGTTCAATGCCAGCTCGCCCCCTACTCCGGAACCAGCGAGACCGTCCATGCATACCCATACCGCCTCGCAGAGCTCGCGCAACTCGCTTCGTGCTGTGGCAGCTAACCGACGGAGCTCCTTTTCCGTCCAACCCTTCAAGACACCGACGTTGTCGGCTTCGCCTTTAGGGTCATCGCCTCTAGCATCATCCCCCCGAACGCATGTCGTCAGAGCTCCTACGCTGGGCTCTCTGACGGAAGAAGGTATACCACCGCCAACTGCGGCTGCAGCGGCTGGGAGGAGAACGGCATCACTCGCGTCAGAGCATGCGGTCGCCTCTTCGACTTCAAGCCCGCCAAAACCAGCTCCGACCAGGTACAGTAGCAGTTTCAGTCATCGACGGGCTCGATTGTCCTCGGGAGGAACAACCGTCCGTACAGATGATGACCAAACCAGTAGTGGCAGGGCCAGTGCAACGTCTTCAGCTCAGCCGGGTTCAGGACTAATGGCTGAAGCAACAACTGGTGGTGGAAGTTCGAGTTCAGTAACAGCGGATGACGGCGAAAACATTTCGGATTTCCTGAAGATGTTGGAGCTGCAAAAGGATCTTCTGGTGCCCGCATCGTCCGCCGCCGCCGAAGCTAACACGAGACGGACTGCTGCAGCTCTCAACCGCTTTCACAGAATGCGAGACTCGAATGCTGTATTATCCGATTCCATGTCTTCCTCAATGATGTTGCAGCGGTCGTCTGCGTCTTCCAGTCGACAACTATCCGGTGTTCCTCCCATGGTAGCAGGGACTTCTATGTCGACGTCATCGTCTCCGGGAAAGCCCATTTCGCCGCATACACCTCATACTCCATTTGCTCCGTCTCGCCTCAGTGCTGCTTATAGCCACGATGACACGGACACAACGCATCATCTGACTGTGGAAGAACCACCATCACCCTCTGAAGCTCCTACGGAAGAGACTGCACAGGCTCGGTCCACTGCCAATGTCCCTGCGATCGATATACCAAACTCGCCAAGATCATTCCTGCCTGGCTATCAGCGTTCTAGTTCGGCTCAACGACGGCCTCTAAGCTCGGACGAAGACATTGCTGACTTATATGGGATGCGAAGCCATAGCATGGGAGCCGATCGAAGAGGTCATCGACGAGAATCTGCTCGACAAGATGATGCTGATGAGCCGACCGAGCTCCAAGACAGACAGCAGCCGAACCCCTCTAGAGCGCTTGATCGAGGCTCCCAGGTCCATCGTCCTTCTGGACTTGCAATGATGACTACAGATTGTGGTGGTTCCGAGCCTGCTTCAGGACGGTCTTCGGCGAACATGTACCGTTCCAGAGGTGCTCGAGGAGGCCTTGGTCGAGGCGTTGCGGCTGCGCAAGGATCGGGGTCGAGCTTCGGGGGAACGGGGGCGAGTGCTGAGCAGGTGGACAGCAGCACCAGTGGATCCTGGGGTAGAGGTGGCAGACGAAGCGGAAGTCGACCGGAGAATCGATTCGATGAGGATGAATTCCTGCCTTTTGCCATGGAAAGGAGCGACTTCAATACCGCCGGCAAACCTGATCAGCCAGGTTCTAGTGGGAGATGATGGGTGACATCGCCCTCTCCAAAGGGAAACGCAATACAACTTTTATGACCACTATCTTCGATAACAGCGACTCGGTTCGGCACAAGGGAATAGAGCGGCTCTGTAGGAGTTCATTGATCTATCGACGGCGTTCTATATGGTGGGAATTCAAACTGTGCATTTTGTTTACGATTGTCGCTTCTGGCTTGTCTTGACCGGGATGATGATTATCCTGGCACGGGTGGGCTTTTCTGAGCGTTTCAGCCGAGATGGATATGGCTCTTATAACTTGTTGATGGGCTGCCCGCTGATTGATGGAATAGGCGCGAGAGGCATCATTGATGCTACCAAGCTGTTGAGTGCGGGCAGATGATTGTGGCAACGACAAGGCAGACGGAGCCTAAGTCATCTGTTTCATCGCTTCGAATCAGTCAGCTGCCATAGGAATGCGTATACGTTTATACGGAGTATTGGGTGGCTGCGTCTCATCTCCCCGTTTTAACACACGTTCTTGTCTTCTGGAGTCTGCGCATAAGAGGCTCGGCTGTTGCATGATCTCTACTTCGGTCTGTTCTGTTGGGTAAAAGGGAGTCGAAATACACACTGTCTACACCGTGACAAGGTATACGGGACACAGGTCCATATATGGATGGCATGGGACCGGTGGGTAGAGCAAGACACGGATTATGGCAGACTAGAGACCATGATGCACAAAGCAGGATAAGGCTGTTGGACAGACAGGCAGTTGCAAATAGATTGTGATCCTATAGCGGGCAGTCTCACCCGAAGATATATGTTGTTACTACTCCGTATGGGTGGTTGAGTTAGATCCTTGCGCGTCGTCTGGACAGATCTTCCCCTAGCCTACAGTACGAGTATGTACCTCTGCTATGTAGGTGGGTGTGGTAGGTACCTACAGTAGGTAGCCATGGCCACGGCCATTGGTGTCTGATAGGTGTAAAAATGAAATCACGTCGGACCTGGGGAAGCCCGACGTGCCCCGACCTTAACTTAAGTCCAAGTGTCCCTGACCCCTGCAGGTGCCCTGCGCGATCGCTGTTCGGGGCTCATCAGGCCCACAAGATGCAGCCTTTGGGCGCATGATTGGCGCTTGGTTCTTCGTGGCTGGCAGATCCAAGACTCTATTTTCGTCCCTTCAGCCTCTCGCGCTTCTCTTTTTAGCCTATGATGGCGTCGTCCCAAGGCCTGAAAACCCGCAGCTCAGGGCTCAGGGCTGCCTCATCCTCTTCATCGTGTACTCCTTACCATTCACTTCGCACATCTCGTTGTAGACCAATTCATTCGTTCCTCTCTCCCTCCTTTCGCTGCTGTTGTACTACTCCATATCCCAACCCGCTCATTTTCCCAAAGTCGGTTCTGTCGAAAGCATTTCCAATCATTCCATACATCGAGCGTCGCAAGCCCGTTCTTTTGAAACACCAAGAATCCCCACCACTCACGAACTGCGTACGACGCTCACACTGTCTGAGCTTGCGAAACCACCACCAGTACCAGCCCCCCTTTACCCAGCAACCACGATTCCGTATATCGACCGGCCTTCACCGTGTCTTCCTTTCCTTTCAATATGCCATCAACCAAAATGCGCAGTCGACCACAAGTCTACCCACGCCTGGCCTTCCACATCATCCGGGCCATCGCCTTCATCAGCGCAGTCATTGTCTCCGGCATCCTGACATACTTCTGCATCCAGCTCAAACATGACGGCTTCAAGTTACCTTGGACCTTTATTGTCGTACGTTACCAACCACCAACCCATTTCCCTTCTCACCCTATCTTTGTCCGGCTCAAGGAAGAACAATCCTCTCCCCCTTCTCTCCCCTTCGTAGACATGATCCGAATTGAATCGATTGACTGACTAATGGAACCACGTAACAGATCCTCCTAGGAACCCTCCTCTCCATCCTCGCCCTCCTCGTCACCCAACTGGTCTACTCCTGCGCCTTCCTGAACCCGCTGGTGAACCTGTTCTCCAACGTCCTCATCCTGCTGGTCTGGACCGTCGGCCTCGCCCTGCTCACCTGGAACATGTACGGCGCGCTGGGCCACTCGTGCAGCCGCTCCAACTGGGCCAGCGACGACGGCATGATGGTCTGCCGCACGTACAAGGCTCTGTACTCGTTCAGCGTGTTCGGCTGGCTCGCCCAAGTCGCCCTGATCGTTCTGGACATCCGCAGCCGCCGCCGCCAAACCGCCCTGGGCCGCTACAACAAGATGATGGACTCGGGCCCCGGTGAGCGGGACGTCAAGTTGGACAACCTCGATGATCGCAACTCGACCACCTCCTCACTGCATTCGCATTCGCACTCGCATTCTCAAGACAATGTGCCCTACGGAGTCCCAGACTACGCCAGCACGCGGCCGACGTACAGGCCCGCACCGACGCATTCGGCTTCGGATTATAGTGGGAATGCTACTCATGGTCAGGTCAGGATGGACCATTTTGGCACCAATTACGATCGATTCGCACCGCAAAGTTACGCGAACAATGGTTATGGATACGGACCGCAGAGATGAACGGCTTACCGAGTACACCCGGTCATGATATAGCGAGGCCAGTCTTACTAGATGGAAGTCATCTAACTTGCTCATAAGTAGTGAACAGGAGGAAAAGTGTCGATATGTCGGAATGCCAGGTCGGACGTGTCGATATATAACAGAGGTCCGATGGTCTTGGACTAGGTATGATATGACTGTATATACGTATGTTTTAACGACCAAGATGAGATGCATAGCGATGGCGTTTCAATTGCAATTCATGGAGCAATATACCACTGAACGTTGATCAATAATTTGGTTCTGATTTTCGATGAGAAACAATGCCACAGCAAAAAATCAAAGCACAGTGACCTAAAGCACCTTTCTCAACTTCAATGTCCCTTCCTGAGCCCTTGCAATTCAACGCAGCGGACTCTCCTTGACGATCCCATTCCCTGGTACAAAAGCTCCAGCCCCTGCTGCATTCAACTTGAATGCTCCCGTGCTTCCACTGGTCTTCGGCACAGGTGGTGACGTCGGCAACAGAGTGGGAGTCGACATCAAATCTGGAGTATTTCTTCCACTCGGAACCGCGCTGTTAGCTGCTCCAGTCCCAATCCCGTCGGGTAATAAGGTCCCTCCGATGCTTCTCGAAGGAGGTTTCCATCCGAACTTTGTGCCTTTGCGGTAGATATCTTCAATCATCTGCTCGACGATCCCTGCATCTTCGTATTCCTGGAATTTGCGCCATAGTCTCAGTGCCATGCGAGCGTCTTCGATGCTGTCGTGTCCGTCGACTTGAGCATCCTCTGAGGTCTCTTCTTGAATGTATTCCTTAAACACAGCCCACGCCAGATATCGTAGAGAAAACCGTCGGTTCTTGCCTGGTGCGAGGTACAAATACTGCGTGTCGACTGTTTGCGACTTGGGGACATGGATATTGGCTTTGCGGAAATCCGACGCCAACCCGTGTCCGACGAAGACGCAGCCCAGGTTTAACAAAATCCATAATTTCTTGTATGCAACTTTGAGCGGAACGAGGTTATGTTGAGATGATTGCGGGTCGAGATCGCCTGGTCGGATCCCGGAATATTGTGTTTTGTAGTCCACAACAGGTTCGTAGATGGTTATGTAATCGTCGATGAACGGAAGTCCCTCTTCCTCTCCTTGGCCTCGTATCACACTGACTCGTGCAAGGCCGGATCTGGCAGGCCGAATGGTCTCTTGTGTGCCATCGGCCTTGACATTGATCTCGGCCTTTTCTAGCTCGACGAATTCTGTGTCGAGCGCAATGGGAGTTCCTTTCTGTGGGTGTTCCTCTGGTGTTAGAATCTTGCATTCATCAGTAGGATAGCGCCCATTGATGCTATAATGTTGATACAGGAGAGTAGTATCGAGAGTCTCCTTCCACGTATGATCGAGCTTCCCGTGTGCACTCTTGACTTGATAAGCAATTACGCTTGGTATCTTCCAATTTTTGCTGAAATGCAGTGCCTCTCTAGGGTCGACTGGTGTCACCAAAAAGTCGTTGAACAGATGCCAATTTGGGAATACTTTGTGGGTATGGGAAGATTCTGGTGCACCGCTCGAAACCTCGACATTGACCATGCTGACAAGGTGTGGTTGATGCCTCTCACTGGTATCTATTTCAGCCACGAAGCCGACCAGCTCATAGACCACCAGGTTCGGAGACTTGTTGCGTAGATGTAGAGCAAGATCGGAGCCTTCAAACACGTACACATTTCGATCTTGGATAATGATACCAATCTCCGATGGAAGCCAGCCTGGTGTTTCCCAGAGTGCACGCATCGTACCATTGCTACCCAGTGCCGCGTTGATCATCAGCACAAAGGGTAGTTGACGAACAGTTTTCCTGATTGCAAGCTGTTGATATCTTCGACATCTGCTGCACCAACCTCGATTCTTTGCTTCTCGTTCAATGGTGGTCTTGAGAATGGATGAGAACTTAAGGTATCTCATCGAGTGCTTCGAATCGATTTGCGGGTAGATCAAGTCATGCACATAAGTGCTGGCGGGTTTGGTGGTCTCATTGTTGCAATACATGCAACGTATGGATTCGAATGCATTGCTTGCAAGGACCTCGTCAATGCCTCCGCTACTCCCAGCCATGGTGACGTAGTCATGTGCGACCTGCTTCAGAAAGAATCGATTCACTGCTTGAACTGTTGTGGACAATGGAGTTCCATTAGCCAAGGACAAATGCTCAAAGAGACTGAGATTTGCAGCTTCTCGCGATGCTCCGAAAGCCCGGAGAAGGTTGGTTGCCTGGCAGTTCTGCCCCTTGGCCTTTTCCAACATATCGAACAAGAAGCCAAACTCGCAAAGCAGGCAATTGGCTGCAACACATGATGTGGCCGCGTGCTGGATGGCGACATTTCGAACCAAAGGAACGAACCTATAGAGTTGTAGAAGAGAGTTGACAAATGAGTTCGCAATGTGTGTCTCCAGTCCGGAATAGGGTGTTTTGTTGTAGAACCGGAAGTCAAAGTCATCGACACCGAATCTGCTGTATTTGATCTCCACGTTACTATACTTGAGCATTCGCTCCTCATCAGTCTGGGCTCGACCGTTCAGCGAGACACCAGCCAGCGCTTCAGCTGCGTCAGACAATTTCCTACCATTGCCGTTCGATATAGTATCCTTGGCTTTCTCGCTCAAGAACTTGGGAACTGCAATGGACGTTGGTACATGACCTGATCTGGTATCTTCAACCTGGTAGCGATGGAGTTTCCGAGGATTCAGGTTTGGCGCATAGTGGCCCATTTCAGCCGTTTGCGTATGGAAAAGCAACGATGGCTCGACAGGTGGGGGCGGCGATCCAACCTCAAACACCATATGGCTAGGCCACGCCGACAGTAAAGGTTCGGTATAATATGGCATTCCAATCGTGTTCAATGGTGCATCATTCCAATCGACATGGGGAATCTGCTGCGGAGGTGGGTCTGCGAATTCGGTCTCTTTGCTGATGTTGTTGAACCTCACCTTCGACGGCGAACCCCAAAGATATAGCAGGCCATTGGAGTCTGTGACAATCACAGCATCTCCAGATGATGCGATTTCCATGCCAAGCATGAACTGTACGTTTGCTTGTTTGAGCATCACATTCACTGGATTCATCAGATCTACAACCTGCATTTGGCCCGTTTGCGAGGCGACAAAGCTCGTTGTTTGTAGCTTCGGATGCAAACGTACATATGCAGCACCCGCATGAAACGGGATCGGTGGCAGCGACGTGAGTGTCTTCAAATCGTAGACATTGGCCAGAGGGTCCACGATAGGTACACCCAACTGTCGAACTGAAAAGCCACAAGTTACCAAGAAATCATTGCGAGCATCCATATCGTTGATCGCAGTTGAATGAGCCTTCCACTTTTTGAGGACGGAATAATCCGCCGGGCTGAGGATGTGAACATGCCCATCATCGGTTGCAGCACAGATATGCCGACTTTTTCTCATAATGGTGTATTTGGCTTGGGCGGTATTTTCGGATACGATTTGACCTTTGTCGACGTCGATGATGAAGAAAGTGCTCTGGCACCCAGCTACTAGAATGAGATTGTTGGCAGCCACAAAAGCCATACATCGTAGGTCGCTCATGAGTCGATGTGAGATGTGCCATTGTGTCAAACCTCTTCGGGTGACAAAGTGGATGCTAGAGGCTGAGAGTGACACAATGCCTTTGTCGTGGACTAGGAGTTGTTTGACTGGACCTTCGCCCAGATGAGCTTTGACCGAGACATAACGTTGCAGTTCCGGGCCATAGAAAGATGTGACTCGTCCCTGGAGTTTCTTGGGTGAGTTTGCTGTATGCGAATTTCGCCATCACCAAGACATACCTGATCATTGCCGACCCATAACAATTCCTGTTGATCGTCAAAGACCACCGCACTGGCAGGGGTAGGAATTGCATGCAGTCCCGACGAAGGCACCGCGATGCGAGTGATTTCATCCCAATCGGCCTCCATGGGCGCATAGGTGATCTGATGGAGGAATCATCGAGCTGGAGGACGAAGCATCATGAGCACTCGATTATGGCAAAGCCCAAAGACGGTCAATTGCTCCTGGTTTTGTCCTATCACTGTTCAGGAAGATTGGTGCACTGGTGATGGGTTAAGAAGTCAACATGAAGTCCATCGTGGCTGAAGCTTGTGGCTCATTCTTCCCGGTCTTTCCATTGGCTGCGCTGCGCTGCGCTGCGCTGCACTTCTCTTCCATCTCACTCAGCTCAGACCACATGCGAACGGTAGACAGTAGACATCATTTCACGGGCTACCATTGCTTCGTCTACTACGCGTGGTAGAGGCACCAGATGCCCGAGAGACTCAGAAGCTTTTTTGGACGCGTTTCTCCGGATCTTCAGCTTGCCATAGTCTGCCATAACCAAGCCGCGTTCTCGTGCCACGCCATCAATGTGTGCCTGAGTTGATCTTCACTTATTCTCCTTCCTGCTCCTCCTACGAGTTCTTCTGAAGGCTTCTCTCCGTGTACTTGAGAATCCTTTCATAGCTGTCCTCCTGTGGTCGTCGTATCCAACAGTTGAATTGAAGAGCCTTTCGAGGTTATCACAATGGCAAGCTACGAGAGTGAGACCCTTTGTCCATCCTCAATCTGCAGCTATGGACTGACTACGTTTAGCTGAGCATGCTACTGACTCACCCAGTCATGCACAGAGCCATCCACGCAGACCAGACCTCTCCTCTTTCCTGAGCCTTATTGTTGAAATCACTCCTGATCGACCAGAAAGCCGAGCGCGTGCAGATGCTGTTCCTCTTCCCGAAGATGTGTCGGCTGCTTATCGCTCGTTAGCAGAAGCATTCCAATTGATGCAAAGAGACAATGAGAATGCCGACTCGGATTTGCTTGGAGATTTGATCGAAACGTTGATGAGCTCTGCGGAGCATCCACCTCGAGAAGTCAAAGGAGTGGACGAGGAATACATTGCAGCTTTGGATCGCGTCAATATCAAGACTGTCGGCAAGGACGCTGATTGTCCAATCTGTGGCAATCCATTCGTAGAAGATCCACATCCGCTACTGGTCAGGCTGCCCTGCCATTCTACTCACATCTTTGATCTTGAATGTGTCAGACCATGGCTTCTGTTGAATGGCACTTGTCCACTGGACAGAGTTGACCTCGCGCAGCGGGAACGGGATCGGAAACAGAGGCTGTTGGACGACATTAAAAAGGACGCTGCACCTGAGGATGAAGAGGAGGAATGGGACGGGCTCTACGCATGATGAGAACAATCCAACAACAAATTCCGGAGACTTTCACCGCTACCGGTATACCACAGCCTACGGAAATACTGCATGAGAGGAAGACTTGTTTATGTCAGTAAAATGTGTTAGGTGAACTCTGGTGCGATGGACGCAGGGAAGAATCATTCGACAAGACAGCACTGAAGAGCTCACGTACAAGCCAACCAATCTGTCTCTTCTCGGCTAAGGACCGTTACACGCTCGCGACCAAAGGAGCAGCCACGCAGCATGGAAGTTGCAAGAAAATGCTTTTTGGCTTGACGTTACATCACCCGTGGTTGCTGATTACCGCCCGGTCTAATTGAAGTAAGTCCGGCAAAAGAGACGGCGCTTTCACCCTAGTGGTGGAAATGGCAAACAGTCGGATGGGTACATCACTGCAACAGATCTGACAATTTTCGATTCGTCTCATAATGGAGTCACTGGCTAGCTGCCCGGCCTATTCGATTGTCCAGGCAGAAGTAGGACCCTGGACACTTGGCCCAGCAGTCCTTGCCTCGGACACTGGAAACACAACGAGGTCTTTCTGAACAAGAAGATTCTCAATAGATGCGACAGGGCCATAGACAGACTGATTGTATCTGCTTACCGGACGTCTCGGTCTTTTTACTCGTCGAGCCCATTTCACTCTGCCAATTGGCAGCATCGCGCAAAATGGTCCAAATATTGCGTATGCCTGATCGATGCCGTGGTTGCCGTCTAAGCAGTGCGTGGAGTGACACACTCCTCTCCTCCACCATACTCGACTCGACGGGGTCAGCGAGCAACTTGTGAACAAGCTGGGTATTACAGCGCCAAGGGTGTCGCTCCACAAGAGTCACAAGCGCATGGAACCGTAGGCATGGGAATTCGGCTTTCCTTAGAGCTCAAGTCTTCCACATTTCGATGTTCTCAACACAATTACAGCATCGGCGGGATTCCGGCACCCAGAATGCTGTTTGTTTGCGATCGCCTGGGAGATACTCATCCTTCCCGTTTGACTATGTGAGACAAGATGCTTATAAGCGCGGGATATCTGTGGACGTCAGCCCCACCACTTGGAAAACAAAGTCGAATGAGGAATGCATAAGACTATGCCCCGATTCTCACGGGTGAAGAATCCTTGCTGCAGACTGGACCAGAATGTGCAGCTGTTTGGCCAAGTACCTGAGAGCATCCTTTGGGATCCAGCCACTTAACCTAGCAGGCGAGGGCCATATGGGTCCGAAGGCTTACCGATATACAAAGGAAAATTGCATTGGTGTGTAGGTACGGTGTTGGTACGCCGTCGTGGTCGTCCCACAGGCAAAATCAAGTACTCTCGCACGCATACTTATTCACAAATCAGACGAGTACCAACAGCCAAGTCCTAAGGCTGGTCTGTCATGTTCCCATGAATGCTGCTGTGATAGGTCAGTCCTTGTTGATCAGTAAACCTTTTCCACGACTAGAGCATTCTACAGTCAACGGCGACTCTTCCAAGAAACACAGAGGCGGCGCTGGTATGCACGCGTATGCCATATCATGGGTGGTGGAGATGAAAATGCAGGTACATCTTGACATGAGGTTGTCAAAGGTAATATACCATATCAAGTTAGATATTTGTGGTTGGCCACGGAAGAGGCGGCATAGCGGCATGGTCATACTTTGTAGTTCTGCGAAGAGGCGACGATGAGGAGGAGGCACGTTGACGAGGTTGACCAAGTTTGCCAAGTTCCAAAAATAGGCACCACGTAGGGCACCGTGTGCTGCCGCGACGCAGAGCACTTTTGCGCAGCCCTCGGCGGAAAATTTCAACCTCGACGTCCGTAGACTGCTCTCTTGCGAAGCTTCTATGATTATTGCAATCACTATCTCCTTAACAATACCATGTCTTTCGCGAGGGACTGCTCCCAAAATTGCGACCAGCGTCTTACACCCACGGAACCACACGGCCGAGCGAGGGCAGGAATATGGTGAGCCCTGCCTCACCCTGCCGCATGCACGCCAACCCCACCTGGGGAAGAACCTTTTCTTACAGGGTGGTGAGGGTGCCTCAAGACGTGCAGGGATGACGTTGAGCTCCTCGGTCACCGTTGCATTAGAACCGTTAAGTTCTTATGCATGTCTCAAGACACGTTGCCATAGAGTCGTCCTCGATGTGAGGCTCAGACTCCGCCAGGCCTCATCAGGCCCACCCTGTCCCAGAATACCAGCCGCTTACTTGACGTCAGGCTAGGTTTTCTTACCTGATGGCATCTGTACTTCCAGTACTGCATGGATTCTGCTTGCTAGCCTCTATGGCGGCAGTGCCGAAAAGCTTGTCGGCTGCTGGTCCAGTGCTGGTTCTTCGCTGTGTAAGACAACCTGTGGCTGGTGGAGGTCTACCATCACGAACTATTCGCTTATGGCCACGGGCTCTGCCTGGCAGTATGTCGGCTTATTCACAAGCCTCTCCCGCGAGCCAAAAACCCCGAAGGCATCCGGTATCCGATACTCATCATCACGGCGAGTGCTAACTACATCCATCGGTTTGTGGCGGCTGGGAACATGAACTACCAAGGGAACTCATGTCGAGGCAAGTGTCGTTGGATCCATTGTGGTCTGACCCAAATCACTGCAAGTGATGCCTTCAGGATGCTCCAAGCACATCCTTCCGTACTGCCTATATCGATTTATTTGCAGACAAGATGAGGTGAGTCGAGTGCTAACAATTTCTAAACTTGGGACTGTGATGACTTTCTATTGACGAGGCCTCCGAGCATTGAGGCTGGCTCTAGAACTGAACGGAAAGCCCGAAAAAGAGGAAGGCTGAATACTTTGGGGGCTGTCAGACACAGTTTCTTTTCCTGGTACACATGCAAAGTCTCTTGGCCCTTCGACGAACAGCCTCTCCACAAGTGCTGATCCTTCCATCCTTGAGGTTACTGTGCCTGAACATCGTTCACTCGTGTCTTCGATCTGACCCGATGTCTATACGAAGTTTAGCAACATGGCCCACCAAGGCGGAGTACGTTCCACACCCCTCAACAAAATGCAATGCAAGCCTGGGTGAGTCGCCACGACGCTGCATGGCCCACGATGGCGCGACTGAGCCTCCAGTTCTATGCTGATGACGATTTCAGCATGGCACTGCTCGAGGAATATAAGGGAAACAGGCAGGCCACCATTGCCGACTTTTCTTCTCGACAAGTTCTTACGTTGCATTCGCTCTTGCTTTCATAACTTTCATCCTCTCTTCTTTCGTACAGTTGCCGCACATTCGCTCCATACTGCCTAACATCATGGCAGCCAAGTCTCTCGTTCTTCTCTCGGTGTTGGCACCGGCCTTCGGTGCCGTCCTCCCTCGTGGTCAAGGGTCAGAAGCTGGTGGTTCATCCTCCGCAGCAGGCGAGACCTGGGGTGACTGGACCAGCTCAACCACAGTTGCTCCCACTACTCAAACCACTACCGCAGCTCAACAGACAACTACCCAATGGAGTGACTGGACCTCGAGCACCACCACCCCAGCTCAACAGACAACTACCACCAGCGTTTCCCAATGGGGTGACTGGACCTCGAGCACGACCACCGTGAAGCCAACCACTACCTCTACCAGTGCTTCTCAATGGGGTGACTGGACCTCAAGCACTACCACCGTGAAGCCAACCACTACCACTACCAGTGCTTCTCAATGGGGTGACTGGACCTCAAGCACTACCACCGTGAAGCCAACCACTACCACTACCAGTGCTTCTCAATGGGGTGACT